CGCGGATTAATAATGAAAAACGTAGAATAAGCTATCTAATAACTCTATCGTTATTCTTATTATTTTAATATCGAATAAAACTTATCTCTCTCGAATATACGAGAACTAATATGCTTAGTCGATTTATATTACGATTGAGAATCTTTAATAAAATACGCGATACGCGTATAGTAGATCGGATATAGCGATTCTAGAAATAATATCGATTATTGCGAAAAAGAAGCTAAGATCTAGATCTATTACTATATCTTAGATTTAATAATTAAAGATAACTTCTTATACTCTCGCGATATACTATTTATTAACGAAGTATATTTAATAATTAAAGAATACTTCGAATATAATATTAATATATAATACGCGAATAATCTAACTTGAAGATGTTATTTAATACTAGCTGTTATAATATTAGATTATAAGAAATAGATAATAATTACTTTAATCTTAAGTAATAGATATTATTCTATATATATAATCTCATCTATAAAGAGAAAGCGATTATATTCTCTAATTTTATATTCTAAGTAAATATCTAAATATATAGTCGAGTAACTAAGACTATAAAAGAGGTATATTAAAAAGATACTAAAACACTTACAGGATATAGTACTCTACGATCGTTATTCTTTTATTAATAATTACTTCGCTATCGATATATATCGACTATAATACTTCGATATCCTATACTTCTTAATAGTTAAGGGATTTATAAACTATTTATTTAAATAATAAATTAAATATATTAGAGTTATAAAGATAGAGAATAAGACGAATAAGCTTTTTAATACCCGTTTTTGGGCGATTTTTAGCTATATTAATCTAAGATATATTAAGTCTCTAAGTAAGAAGATATAGTAAATAGAAGAGAACGGCTGAATTTTATAGAGGATAATAATAACTATTTTTATATCGATCTTAGTTAAGTTAAATTCGAATACGCTATATATAGATCGCGCTATTCTTAATCTTATTATATTAATAAGATATCGTTTTTATAATAATAATATTATTTAATATCTACTCGCGGTCTTAGCTTAGATTAATTTATTAAAAGAGGTTTTTCGAGTATATAGACCTCTAGATAAAACGATAAATAAAGATTATTTTAACTTTTTAAAGTTTTATAGTATTAGTTATTTACTCGAAATAATATAATTATTCGATTTACTCGATAAATTAATTACTTAAATAAGAAAAAAGATATATATTAAATTCTTTAAAAAGTATTACGAATTAACGAATAAGTATAATAACTATATTAAATAGATTATGCGTTATAATATCGTATATTAGAAGATAATTACGATATATAATCTCGTTAAGTACTAAGATATAGAAGTATTATTACTTATAATTAAGAGATTATAAAAGAAAGAGAAGAAGATTAAGATAGAAACTTCTTTAGATCTTTATATCTAAGGTTAATAGGTGGATGATAAAAAGCGTAATATTATAAGATAGATGAATTATTATAATAGTTGTTATTAGTAACTAATAGAGGTCGTTACTAAATAATTAAAGTTAAATACTTTTTTTAAAGCTTTAGCCGCCTTTATTCGAATAGATTAAATAAAATTAAGAGAATATCATCTATTTAAGAAAGATAATAATATTAATATACGTAAGGCGGACTATAAATAAGTATGTTGATATCCGATTCGCATCTATTCTAATATTCGATATTAAAAGATTTTCGAAGAGGATTCTCTAGATATAGCTCGTCTATTTAAAGACGTCGTTATCTATAGATTTATTAGTTAACTCTTTTAAAAAAGATAATATAGAGACTACGCTTAGATTTACGAATATAATTAGTAGACCTTTAATACTAATAAGATTCTTTCGAGGAAATTAATAGAAGAAGTACTAGTTATAGTAAAAGTGATAGATCTAGCCCGCAGAGATTTTAGATAAAGATCGACTTATTTATAGAGTGTTTTTATAAAGATATTTAAGTATCGATATAATGAATAAGTTTAGAAATATTATAATATAATAGAAGTAGAAAGAGCGTAGCTATTAATAGCGCGGAATTTAAGAATTCTTAAAAAACGATAATTCTATAGCCTCGTAAATATCGAGAGAAGTATATATATTATACCCGCGTTAATAAAAGATAAGAAATTTTATTATATTAATAGCTTTATCGACTTTAATTAATATAATAATATCTATAATTTAAATTTTTTAAATAAGAGTTATAGAGTAGTAAAGGAGATTAATATACGCTATACTATAAGATAATAAAGATATTAAAAATCTAAATCTTAGAATATTAGAAATAAGACTAAATATATAACGGGTAAAATTGATTTTAGTTACTCTTCTCGACTTAGTTACTCTTCTCAACTCGAATATCTTTTTTAATTTAAATACTCTTCTTAATTTAAATACCCTTCTCGACTTAAATAACTTTTAAACTATCTTTAGAGTTTGTCGAGTGAAGAGAGATTTTATAATTATAGAATATGTGCGTAAATATCATAATTAGAAAGAGAAGAGAGGGTGGATTTTTTTCTAGTTAGGGAGATGTTAATACGCTTTAAAAAGTATCTAGTTAAGTATTTCGATGTCGAAGATTACTATTAGATTAATTCGCGATTTTTTATAATTTAAAGAATATTATCGCCTATAACGAAGACTATTATTTAAAGTTCTCTTAAGTTATTAATAGTTTATACGATAATACTAAAATCGAGATATATTATTTTAAAAATATGATAAATTAGAAGAAAGCTTTAATGTAAGCTATTATAGGGGGTATAAGATAGCGAGAGTTATTAATAGTCTATATAATAATATTAGAATCGAGATATGTTATTTTAAAAATATAATAAATTAGAAGAAAGTCTTAACGTAAGATGTTATAAAGGGAGATCTATATATATTACTACTCGCTATACTCTTATATATATAATTATTTAAAAGCTAAAACTTTTAACTTAAGAAAGCTGATTTCGATTTTATAAGAAAGATATCTAATACTTTAACGAGTATTAATATATATAAATCTTAAAGGAATTTAAATATTAAGAGAAGAGATTAGTAGAGCTAAGATCGAATAATAGAAATATAAATATATATTATCGATCTTTATATATATTATATTAACTTTAACGCGGTTATAGCGATAAGAAAGTATATTAATAATAATTTTTCTTCTTAGATAATTAGCGCTTATAAGATATATTATAAATAATAATACTCTTATCTTTAATAGAGAAGGTAGATTGCTTAATATAGTAATATAAACTTATATATATAAATCTAATATCTGGCGATAGTATTATTAAGTTAAGTCGAATCGAGTTTATAGTATAACTAAGTCGAGTCGAATTCGACTTATAGAGTTAAGTCGATATCGCGAATTATAGAAATAATAAAATATTAGTATAAGATAATTACTATTTCTAAAAAAATCATCTAAATAGTATATAGTAATTACTAAACTAGCGGATATTATTTAAATAGTATATAGTAATTACTAAATCGGCGAATATTATTTAAATAATATATAGTAATTACTAAATTAATAAATAGTATTTTAATAGTAAATAGTAATTACTAAATCGATGAATAGCGTATAAAAAGTAGACTATAGTTACTAATTAAGCGGAATTTAGGCGAATTTTAATTAGATTTACTAATTCGATAGATTTTATAATTTCCGCGACCAACGCGCGATTAGCAATTTCAAATTTTGCAGAAACTTTTCAGATTTGCAAATGCTCATCTTCCTCGAATAACTCTTCTTTCTTCTTCTTATAATTATTTATCGATATATTAATATAGGCGAAGTAGGCCTTAGTATAAACTTCTATACTATACGTCTATATAGTTAGCTTTAAGTACTATCTAAACGATATACTCTTCGCTAGCTTAAAATATCTCTTTAATCAAGTCTTAAGAATCGAAAAGAACTCTTTAATAGAATTAAAGTTCGGCGAATAGAGGAGTAAATATAAGAGTATAACGTCTTTATTCTTATATATTTATCTAACGCTAGCGATATAATATATAAAGTAATTATCTATAACGATAATCGACTTTAAATCGAGAAATAGATTATATCGAGAGAAAACTTCGTTTCTAAGAAATTACTTAAAATAGATATTATCGATACTACTCTAATAAATATAATAGTAAAAAATTTCATCTAAGTAGTATATTAATAAGACGCTATAACGCTTAGAATATTTAATTAGAATCTAAATCGTAAATCGAATTCCGAAGGCTATATAGCCTCGCTTTCTTCATATTATATACTTATTAGCGACGCTCTCGTTTAAAAAGATAAGCATATCGTGAGTAAACTTGCTAACCTTTAGGAAGTAATAATTATAATAGATTTATAAGCGTTTTAAGATCTTACGGCGAAGACTTTTTCTACTAATCTTTATAGAGCGTAAGGTCTTCGAGATCGTAGACACGCTTATAATAAGATCGAATTGATCGAAGAGTTTATATTACATCTTATCTAAATATAACTACGACTTGCTCTCGATAAAGGCTCTTAATTCGATTCTTACTACTTAAGATATCTTAAACGATCGCCCTCTCTTAGTTATAGTAGGCGCTATATAGATACTAAAGGCGAGGATATTATCGATAATACGGTATACGATACTTTTCCCAACGCCCTCGACGAAAGCAATAGAGGCGACAGCAAGCCTATTGACGATATAGTGTTAAATGCGATCCTTGTGAGCGTCGGATAGTAAAGGAAACGGCATTTTAGAGGCCTTCTATAAATCAGCAGGAGGCCCGACGAAAGAAACACCAAGGATTCTATACTAACGAGTAATTCCAGCCTCAATTTGACGATAGCGAGGTGTGGGGAGGGTTGTGGGAATGACAATATGGTGGGCATGTCTACAGTAGGATTTTAGGTGAGGGGGGTGCTAGCCCCAATGCTAATTTTCTAGTTTCCCAATGATTAAAAATAGGGGTATTGGCCGCAGGAATGGCTTCCCAAAGATTCGGCATTCGAGAATGTACGAATGCATAGCTTCGGGTATGACTCAGATTGGGTCAAGGGCAAGGACAACTGCCTGAACATTCATCACTTCGGCAAGTCTTTACTTGGCGAAATGAGCACGTCACCATATCTAAGCCAGGCAGATACGGCAATAGTGCTCATCGGGCATAGTATGGGAGGCCTGGTTATCAAGAAAGCCTACATGCTCGCAAGGCAAGGTGCAGCGTACAAGGACTTGGCCGAACGCGTCCACACAATCTGCTTTCTTGCGACGCCCCATAGAGGTTCTGACTCGGCCAAGCTCCTGAACAACATTCTGCACTTTGCTTATTCGTCCCGTGCCTACGTTGCTGACCTTGAGCGAGGCTCCGGAGCTGTCCAGTCTATCAATGATGAGTTTCGCAACTATAGTGCTGACGTAAATCTCTGGTCGTTCTACGAGACACAAAAGCTCAAAATAGGGGTCCTTAGCACGCTCATCGTTGATCCGACTGCCACGCTAGGTTATCGTGAAGAAAAGCAAATACCGATGAATGCTGATCACCGTTCAATTTGCAAATTTGAGACACCGACAGATCCCAACTACGTAGTCATTCGCAACGCGCTTGCGTCCATGGTTCAAACTACCTCCAACCTAGGTAGGGCAAACCATAAAGTTCATGGCGAATGTGCTCAATATTTTAATAGTGCTGAGATCGAAAGAGAGAACACGGCACATGCAGATCAAGGACCTGGAACAATACCTACAGATACCTGAGAAATCAGCAGATGACCTCGTCGCCAGCGAAGATGCCCGTATGGCGGGAACCTGCGAGTGGTTTTCAGCGAAAGAAAGCTACTTGAGATGGAGTACCTTTGCTCTAGAAGCTCCAAGTGTGCTCTGGGTCACTGGAAAACCGGCGGCTGGCAAGTCTGTTCTCGCAGGCTATGCAGTTGGTCATTTACAAAACCTCAACGCAGACTGCAGCTATTTTTTCTTCATATAAGGGGCAAATCTAAGTCGCGGCTTAGTGCCTGTCTTCGGTCTCTGGCTTTCCAAATGGCTTGTACTAACACCCAGGTGCGAGACACGCTCTTGGAGATGCAGAAAGATGGTATGAGATTTGACAAGGATAACGAACGCACTATATGGCATGCACTGTTCCTACGTGGCATTTTCCAGATGGCAATTCCGGAGCAATACTGGGTCATTGATCGCTAGATGAATGTACAAATTATGTATCATTTTTCGATTCAATGCTGGCGAAGCTTGACCAGTCCACACCGTTACGAGTTTTGATCACGAGCCGAGAGACTCCTAAATTGGCCAACCATTTCTCAAGTCTCGGCACTCATCGATTTCAGCATGAAAAGATCTCGACAGCGGATACTCTGCCTGACATCAAGCTTTTGGTTGAGGCGAAGGCGAAGTCTATAACTTTGAAAGACGACAAGGATCGTGCTACATTGGTAGAAAAGATACTGGCGAAATCGGAAGGATCTTTCCTGTGGACCGTCTTGGTCATTAGTGAATTGTCCAATTCCTACGGTGAGCAAGAAATGAGCAAAGCTCTCGAGGAGATTCCTAAGGATATGGAACCCTTATACCATAGGACACTGGAATTGATGACGCAAGCCCCGGGTGGGAAGAGACTCGCTAAAGCTATTCTCACCTGGACAACATGTGCAACAAGGCCAATGACAATGAAGGAGCTTGAAGGCGCTCTGACATTGGACATCAAGGATAATTTTCCTAAACTTGAGGAGTGTATCCAGGTACTTTTTGGCCACTTTGTGAATGTTGATAAGTTCGGCAAGGCGCAGATGGTGCATGGAACGGCCAGAGAATTCCTATTGAGCGATGACTTGGAATCCGAATTCGCTGTCAACAAAACGGAAGCACACAAGAGGCTTGCTAGAGCATGTCTCACGTATCTCACGGGGGAGGAGATGAGACCTCCTCGGACCGGCAGACGTGGTTCTGCCTTGGACATCGCGGGCAAAAGGGCCAAATTTTCAATTTACGCCTGTAGCGCATTCTCGTATCATCTAGCCAGGGCTAGCCCCTTTGCCAACGATGTCCTCTTTCTTGTCGACAAATTCTTTGAAGGCAAATGTCCTGTCATGGATCGAATTCGTTGCCCGAACACATAATCTCATCCTTTTAGTTCGCGCCGCGAAGCATCTTAGGACATATCTCGCCTCATGCGCCACCGAAAGGTCACCGCTTGACCGGTCGGTGCAGACGATCAGGGGCTGGAAAACAGACTTTGTCCGCATTGTTGCGAAGTTTGCTGATGCTCTCACAATGTCACCTTCAGCGATTTATTCCCTGATCCTGCCATTCTGTCCTACGGAGTCTGCAATTCACAAGACTGCAAACCATGGGCGGAAGCTCTCTGTGGTAGGTCTGTCAAATGCTCAGTGGGATGACCGGTTGTCTTGCATCGACTTTCATGAAGGCCAGACCAGCGCCATTTGTCACGGAGATGATTTCTTTGCAGTCGGCTTGACTACTGGAATGGTCGCCTTGTACCATGCGACGTCGTTTCAGGAACACAAGATGATAAATCACGGTGAGTCTGTGAGAATTCTGCGATTCAAGAGCAAGACGGGATTGATGGCATCTTGCGGAATAAAGGCGATCCGGATCTGGGACACCTACACGGGCGAAACTATCCACAAGTTCCATGCCCCTCAACGCTTTATGGATCTCGCCTTTGACCAGAACTTTCTAATAGCTGCGTCATCGAAAAACTACATTGCGTCATGGGATCTCGATAATGCCGGTGCCCAGCAACCCAACAGGCCATGGAGTGACTCAGGTGAGTTCTTGGACACGCGGTTACATCGTACACCGTGTGCTATATCCATCGCCGTGAGCCACAAAATGATGGCTGTTGCTTATAGCGGTCGACCGATAATACTCTGGGACCTTGAGGAAGATGCATATTACGGTAGCTGCGGCAAGAAGTTGGCTACTGGCGAAACGAGTACACGTATGGTCACCGCCATCGTTTTCAACCCAAACCCAAATATAGGCCTCATCGCATCATCTTATCTCGATGGTGAACTCGTACTCATTGATCCGTTTGATGATCAGGAGTTGGAGAGCTTCCGCGCAGACTGCCATACACTCGCTGCCAGCCCGGATGGACGCTTACTCGCAGGTGGCGCTGGGGGTGGAACAGTCCAGGTCTATGAATTTGACACGCTGCGATTGCTCTACCGGGTCAAGTCTTCCAACGTCTACATCAAGCAACTGGCTTTTAGCAGAGACAGCCTCCGGTTCTCTGACATTAGAGGGTCACATTGCAATGTCTGGGAACCTGCAGTCCTGCTACGGGACTCTTTGGGTGACTCAAGTAGCGAAGGCACATCAACCTCAGTCGTCGATGTGGTCTCTTCAGATACTAAAGCCAGGATAAGTGCTATGGCTCTACATCCCAAGGGAGATGCAGTGTTCTGCGGTAAGGATGATGGGACCGTTTCCTTGTACGACCTCAAGACTGGAACCGCGATACGAGTGCTCTACCGCCATAAGTCCCTGGTCCGTATCCTCACCTTGTGGCCTCAAGGCGATATTATCATGAGCGTCGACGCGTCAAACGGGCTCCTCGCGTGGAAATTGAAAATGTTGCAGAAGGAGGGATGGGTCACCGAAAAACTAGTGTTCCAGTCTCGCCTGGACTGCGGAAAGGCTATCATCCAGGTCTTACCAGGCGCGACAGCTGGCAAGTTCATCACGTCAACCCGTCAATCAGACCACCTTTGGACTACTGACGGCCAGCAGGAGGATGAGAGAACTTATTCGGACACGATAGGGATCCGAAAGTGGATACAGCACCAGCAGTCGCCCCTCCACATGATTTGTATTGAAGGTGCAGTCGCTCGAATCTACACCTGGACGGACTGGTCAGAAGTAGCGTGTGTACATCTTGAAGCTGACATAAGGGGACTCCAGTTGAAGAGCGCCACCCCTTATACTTCAGGCCGTCGATGCCAAATCCTCGTCGAGCTCTGCGAGCTGGATGGCTCGCCAGATACACGCGGCCTACAGCTCCTCGATTCCGTCTATTTCAACAACTTCGAGGATTTCTCGCGGAATGGAAGCATTGCCGAGGCAGCCACAGAGAGACAAGACGTGGACAAGTTCTCAACAACAACAACAACCACAACCACAACAACAACAACAATAGAACAAACCGCGCTAAATTATCTTACGCGTAAAATCGATCCTTAAACTCGTCTTCTTTTAACTTCCTAGACTCTATATTCGAGATTCTTTTTATTCTAGAAAAATATTCTTAAATTAATAATAGAGTAAGGTAGTTTTTAAATTTACTTGGAAACATGTTAAAGATTGAGCTAAGATTAAAGAAGTCAGAATCATATTAAAGTATTTTCGATCTCTAGGCCCTAAGACGACACCCCTTAATCTCGATAGCGAGATGGCGACCCTCTAGTCATGTATATCAAGCTACCTTTAACCTTATACACTGAATAAGTTCTTAGGCACTTAGGGTTTTGATCGAGGCAGTGAGGGGCGGGCGGGAGCAAGTCGTGCCAAGAAAAAGCCAGAGACCCTGATCTTCACTCCCGACGACTTCCCGTAAACAGGATTTGCCCGCTAAAGTACTACTTTATCAGTGAAGTATCAAGCTTGGCGCTGACTTTGAATACCCGCCTTCTTCGACAATCTTTATTTTCTACCTACGCCTTTCTTCAGCTTTGGCCAATTATTCAACTACAAAAGACAATCAGCAATGAATGAGGAGAAGGCCGTGTCACAGCCCAATGGCCACCGCAGCGTTGGGTACGCGACAAAATTCGATCAAAAGGCAGAGTCCTTCCAAGCCAAAGCGGAGAAGCACGGCAAAGGAAAGAAAAAGGATGATGGTGCACAACCTGCCGGAGGCTTCGATGACACTGCCATTCCTCGAGCTCCTCCAGGCTTCAATGTCAAATTCACTTTCCACCGAGCCTCGAAGCTCCCAATGGCTGACATTAACACCATGTCCTCGGATCCGTACGTGCTTGCTACTTTGACCACGAGCCTGCCGCCGAGACACAAACAAGACCCCCCCATGACATTCCGTACGCCTACTGTTAGAAGGAACTGTGATCCGGTATGGAATTCAGAATGGATTGTGGCTAATGTTCCGGCGAATGGCTTTGCGCTCAAAGCGCGAATCTACGACGAGGACCCCGCCGACCATGATGACCGCCTAGGCAATGTGCACGTGTATGTTGATAGTCTGACCAATAACTTCGGAGGCATACGAGAACAGTCTTACAAGATCAAGAAGCGAATGGGGAGCAAGCGCGCCTACTTCATACGAGGTTGCGCTGCCATGTTCAATCGAGGCGTTCATATGTCCGGCGAACTGTTCATTAGCGTGGAAGTGCTTGGGAAGACAGATACCGATAATGGTGGTAGACTCTGGACTGTTGGCCCTTGCAACTGGAGCCAGCATCTCAGTCCCATGGTTGGCAGGCTGGCGGGTACAAAAGAGCCAGGCAAAGATGGGAAGACAGAGAAATACGCGTAAGGAGCGCCATATCAACGTCGCTATCATGTGGAGAGCACCGCGCTAAATTATTCACAGCTTCCAAGCCAACCAGATTCAGCTTGCCGGCCCTGTCCCTGCATCCCTCTACCATCGTTATGTAGAATTCAGACCGTTCGTCAAAGGCATGTTTACATCGACCTCTCTACGCGGCCGCGTCCTCCACCACGCCCTACACCACCAACATAACCGTATCTACAATTACGACCGTGACACCATATATGGCTCCTTGCCTTCTCCCTCCCGGGACTTGACCTTACAATTCCTCGACCTCGTTCACCACGACAAAGGCGGCAGAATTTATACCTATGTGCTGACATTAGACGGGATATGGCGCTTCACAGAGACGGGCAAAGAATTTGGAATCGATCTGCTGAGCAAGCATACTATGCATAGTGACGTGAACATCTATATTGCCTTCTCTGGCGAATTCTTCATCCGGCGGCTCAAGACGCCGCACAAGGAAGGGTCTCCTGACGACCAACCCACACACCCTCCAAGTGACATAGGGGACGGACCCCCGCAAGACGAGCCGCCCAAGGATCCAGCCTACTATTCACTCATCATCGACAATGACAGCGGCACATATCGGCCCAACGCGAAATTACTTCCTCAGCTGAAAGAATTCTTGCAGAAAAATCTTCCCGGCATCAAGATCGTGACGTTAGATTGCAACGGCGATAAAGAGAAGATGGACAAGTGGAAGAATGAACAAAGAGAACGAAAGAAGGCGGAGGGAAAGCATACTGCCGTTGTACAGGGTGATAGTAGCAGTTTGAGTAGCAGTGACGAGGAGGATTTGGACCAGCAAGAAGGAATGGCTAAGGGCGAAGGGAAACGGAGTACCAAGGATAAGGTGAAAGAAAAGGTAGAGGAACCGTTGCAAAAGGTAGAGAACATAAGGAAGGGTGACCGGGAGAGGGAGGAAAGGGAGACTGAAGATGACATGGCCGAGTCGAGTCAATGATTCCAATAACCAGCACGGCGTTTTGTTCGGATCGACGAATTCTGGGAAAGCATTGGCGTCGGTGCAACCTTATGCTGGCTAGGATACTAGTTCCTAATGACACGACATAACCGTCTTCATTTCTCTATTTATTCTTTTGCAGGTGAACTAGCACTCTAGAGTCGCCGTCTGCTTGCTAAACATCCATAGTTGGTGGATTTGGGGCCCTATATCTTTTGAACGGGCTGTTCTTGACCCAATGATAGCTGTGTATCTAATATGTCCATCCATCTCTGAGGACTTTGCTGTGAAAAGCTCTTTACATGGCTACTAACGACGCGAGTAGGTAGCTGGAGGGCAATTCTCTCACCTGAGTTCGCGACTCTGTGAAGCTGTCAGTTGCCCCCTTTTTCACTCCCAGTCTTTTCATCAAGCGATGCAACAAGTACTCTGCAAGGCAATGAAAGCCCTTTCCATGTTGACTGTCCAGACTCCAACTCAATCGATGTGTGCCTTATTAGGTGTGGCCTATTCGTTGCATGCCGGCATCTGCTGGCTCATATTTGGAAGATCTCGTCGAGATGGAAATCTCCGTCTTCTCTCCTCTCGACAACCCCTTTCTCGGTTACGATGCAATCAATCAGACTATGGCAGGTCACATCGAATGCCGGATTCCAAGCGCCGGTAAGGTCCGCTGCAATAGCGATTTCTTGAATATCGCCTTCAACTTTTAAGCTTCCGTCCTTTAATCGCTTGATAGGACGGCCTTTCATCGTCGTTACCTCGGTGGGCGGGCGTTCTTCAATCGTAATATCTGCGCCAGAAGCCGTGCTTAAATCGATGGTGGTCCGTGGCGCTGCCACTATGAATTTGACGTTGTGGAAACTTGCCAGATTCGCCAAACCGTACGTGCCAATTTTGTTTGCGGTGTCCCCATTTGCAGCCACCCTGTCTGCTCCAACGATTATGCAAGAGATGTTCTCTGAATCCCTTTTAAGACCGAGGAGTGCTCCAACCATTGAGTCTGTGATGAGGGTTGCTGGTATTTTGTCATGAAGAAGCTCGTACCCTGTGAGGCGAGATCCCTGGTTGTACGGTCTTGTTTCTGTGTAATAGACTCGTTTGAGGAAACTACGAGCATGAAGGCTTCGTACGATACCCAGAGCGGTACCGTAGCCTGCAGTTGCCAGAGAACTTGAGAGAAGGCGTTAAAGAGAGATCAAGAAGATGAGCATGAGATGCCAGCAACGCTTACCCAGTATTGCAGTGTGTAATGACGGATATCTTCCCAACTGGTGGAATCAAATTGGAATTTCGTAGAATCCAATCAGCACCGAAACGCCCTATGTCCTCATTGTCTTGCACATCATCAACGAGCATCTGCTCTGCTGCTTGTATGTACGCCTCATTAATATTGAAGTCAGTCGCGCCAGCTGTGACCTGGGCCGAAGAAACAACTTTCTCTAGCTTTTTCACAGCATCCCCAAGATTGACCGCCGTAGGTCTACTCGTGAGAAGGAACCTTAGATTGTGAATAATCAAACCAGACCCTGTCATGTCTAGTCCGAGGCGCTCGGGACATGCTTCGTTCTTATTGCAATTGCTGAGACAGACTGCTACGCTGAGGGCAGCGACAATGGCTATTGCTGGAGCTCCTCGGACCTGCATAGAATGGATGGCATCCCATGCATCTTGCACTGTTCGTATGTCTATAAAGACCTCCTCGTGGGGTAGACGGAGCTGGTCGAGGATTTCAAGCTTTCCGCGGCTGTATTTGATGGCCTGGAGTACCATGACGGCCTAGCTGTGTAACACGTATCCCTTTAATGACGAATGCGCCGAATTTCAGAAAAAGATCGTAGGGACCGAGACACTTGGTCTCGAGGAATCTGCCGAGCACGCTAGGTGGGCCGCTAGCGCTTGGTCCAAGCTTCCAGAAGGCGCGTACCTCTGCCCTCCACATTCGTCAACCTCCAAGAGTTCAACTGTCCAACGCCTAGACGATACTGATAGATACTCCCTCTACCCTACCGGCCAATTGGACGCTGTTATAATCTCGGATCTGACGGCTTGGAACCTCACCACTTTTTGCCCCTGGGGCGAAGCAGGTCACTGATCTGGAAATCTCACATCTCACACTTCACCATCCCTTGTTGCAAGCATGGACGGCAAAGGAGACCCAGAGAGGGCTGATGCTCTGGAGCAGTTCAAGAACAAGTTGCTTGAGCTGAGGGAAATGGAAGCCAAGCTCAAGACACTGCGAATCGATATCAAAGGCCTACAGAAAGATTTCGATACTACGGAAGACAACATCAAGGCCTTACAGAGCGTGGGCCAGATCATAGGGGAGGTTCTGAAGCAGCTCGACGAGGAAAGATGTGAGTATTACATGTTCGAGACTTATTTGACTTAACAAAACCACGCGTAAGACTTTGCTAATACCATCGATCCTAGTCATCGTCAAAGCATCGTCCGGTCCACGTTACGTCGTTGGCTGCCGATCCAAGGTCGACAAAGCCAAGCTTAAGCAAGGCACACGCGTCGCTCTCGACATGACTACCCTTACCATAATGCGAATGCTACCTCGTGAAGTGGACCCACTGGTATACAACATGTCGCTGGAAGATCCGGGACAGGTCAGCTTCGGCGGAATTGGAGGGCTGAATGAACAGATAAGAGAACTCCGAGAGGTCATCGAGCTGCCGCTAAAGAATCCGGAGTTGTTCCTGAGGGTGGGCATCAAGCCGCCAAAGGGGGTTTTGCTCTACGGGCCCCCAGGCACAGGGAAGACACTGTTGGCAAGGGCGGTGGCAAGTGGCTTGGAGACCAATTTCCTGAAAGGTAGGGTTCGTCTGATTTAGCTTGCCAATACGTCTGCTGATACTAATTGCAGTTGTATCTTCGGCCATCGTGGACAAATATATCGGGGAATCAGCACGGTTGATCAGAGAAATGTTCGGATACGCCAAGGAGCATGAGCCATGTATCATTTTCATGGACGAGATCGATGCCATTGGAGGACGACGATTTTCAGAGGGCACGTCTGCTGACCGAGAAATCCAGCGCACGCTCATGGAACTGCTCAATCAGCTCGACGGCTTCGACTATTTGGGTAAGACCAAGATTATAATGGCAACCAATCGACCAGATACCTTAGATCCTGCACTCCTGAGAGCAGGTCGATTGGACAGGAAGATTGAAATACCACTACCAAATGAGGTCGGCAGATTAGAGATTCTTAAGATCCACACAAGCGGCGTATCTCTAGAAGGAGAGATTGATTTCGAGAGCGTCGTCAAGATGAGTGACCAGCTGAATGGTGCAGATCTTCGCAATGTGGTGACAGAAGCGTAAGTTATCTACGTTTATTGATTCGTACCGGCAACTAACTACTTATTGCAGAGGACTTTTCGCTATTAAAGATTACAGAGATTCAATAAATCAAGATGACTTCAACAAGGCAGTGAGGAAGGTCGCAGAATCCAAGAAGCTAGAAGGCAAGCTGGAATACCAGAAGCTGTAGATAGAATAATAGACAGTCCTCAAGCATAAGCATTAGCAAGGCGATCGATTCAAGTTCATCAGGCTTCCAAGAACACGCACGTATGTAGAGTAGTTGTAAAAGATATGTCGCCAGGGGTAAATCGAAAACGCCAAGGCTCGTCCAGTCAACGTTTCCAATTTCCACCTCACTTGTATCAGGACCAAAACACCTTTGAGCGTCGCGACTTCACCATTGCATATTGTTCTCTCGGGAGGCTCATATCCCCATATCACCAGAGTCTCACTTTTGGCGACTGGTAATTAGATGTCATGAAAGCTCAACACATCATTGAGCTGCTGTCCGAGTCCGCCCATTCTTTTCGAAGAAGCTTACTTCTAACCCTATAGCAGACTTCGAGGCAGCATTGGGGTTCGCGAGGGAGAATGATAATTCCGCAAGACGGGACATGTTGACCTTTGCCTTTGTCACAAAAGATGTCTCTAACACAACGTTCTCATGCCGAAGACTACTGGGGCAACTCGGGGCAACCAAGGTCACAGAACGGCAATGCAAACGGTGGCCTAGGGTCAAAATTGGAAAGCTTCATGGATAAGAAAGAGTTGCCCATGTACAAGGACAAGCCCTACAACTATGCGGGATCCAGAAAATACACACCTTTTTACAGACAAAAGCGGGTCATCAGCGGAGCTATCTTGGTTTTGATGGGGTTGGTATACTGGCTTGGCATCTTCTCGCCTTCTATGGTCAAGCCCAAACTGAGAGACACCAATAAGAGCGCGTGGAATTGGCTGAGCAGCCCTACGATATCGGAATCCGTGGATTGGAACGACAGACGAGAGAAAGTAAAGGAGGCATTCATCTTGAGTTGGGACGGTTACGAGCAGTATGCATGGGGTATGTGGCTTGCAGCGACTTCGATGACATGACACCCTTCGTCCCTGAGGAAGTCTCGAATCAGCCTCAAGATCAACAAGCTGATGACCGTATGTTGCAGGCCTCGATGAGTATCACCCAATTTCAAAAAAAGGGAAACAAATGGATACCAAAGGCAAAGGCATGGGCTGGATCATTGTCGATGCTCTGGACACTCTAATGATAATGAACCTAACCTCCCGATTGTCTCATGCCAGGGAATGGATATCCACGTCTTTGGATTACGACCAGGACCATGAGGTCAATACCTTCGAGACTACGATACGCATGCTGGGGGGCCTTCTTTCAGCGCACTACCTCTCCACTGCTTTCCCTGAGATGGCTCCTCTAACGGACGATGATCAGGGTGCTCCCGGAGAGGATCTGTATCTTGAGAAGGCTGCGGATTTGGCAGGTCGCCTGATGGGCGCCTTCGATTCCAACAGCGGTGTACCGTATGCAAGCGTCAATTTAAAGACCTCCAAGGGAAAGGAATCCCACATAGATGGAGGCGCATCATCGACCGCTGAAGCATCTAGTCTGCAATTAGAATTCAAGTATCTTGCCATGCTGACTGGGGAAAAGAACTACTGGGAAAGCGCAGAGAAAGTCATCCAAGTCATCGACGACAATGGCATGGAGGATGGTCTTGTACCAATATTCTTATACGCCACCACAGGTGGTTTCAGGGCCAATAATATACGACTAGGAAGCCGAGGCGACTCGTACTATGAATATCTCATCAAGCAATATCTGCAAACTTCCTGTGAAGAGCCCATCTATCAAGAAATGTGGAACCAGTCCCTCGCTGGTGTCAGAAAATGGCTAATTACATACTCGACTCCGAATCATTTCACGGTCCTGGCTGAGCGTCCTTTCGGTCTTGGTGGTAAACTTGAGGGGAAAATGGACCACCTCGTCTGCTTCATGCCCGGTACCATTGCCCTCGGCGTAACAGGAGGCCTTACCATCGAAGAAGTCAAGAAGGCTGGCCTTTGGAGCGAAAAGGAAGAAGAGGACATGGCACTCGCCATCGAACTAACCAAAACTTGCTGGGGAATGTACCGGATCACTCCGACAGGTTTAGCGCCAGAAATTGCTCATTTCCAAATTGGAGAAAACCCACACATGGAGTCCGATGGAATCTTAGCGTCTAAGGAGATGACGCAGGGAGCACATGCGGCGTGGAAGGATGACTATATCATCAAAGTTAACGACCGCCATAATTTACAGCGCCCAGAAACAGTTGAGTCGCTCTTCTATATGTGGCGGATCACTGGCGACGAGAAGTACCGCGAGTGGGGTTGGGAGATGTTCACGTCATTCGTTAAGTACAGTGCGGCAGAGGACGGAGCTGGCTTTACCAGCCTTGCCAATGCAAACGAGATACCCCCATTGCTGAAAGATAACATGGAGAGCTTTTGGCTGGTGAGTGGCACACCAGGTTGCTGCTGACGAGACCCACGAGCTGACAGTATCAGGCCGAGACTCTCAAATACTTCTATCTTCTTTTCTCGCCTAATGATTTATTACCATTGGAGTCTATTGTCATCAACACGGAAGCTCATATATTCCCACGCTTCAAGCTTACCCGCGGCCTGAAGACGGGCTGGGAGAGGAAGCCTAGAGATGAGAAGGGAAGGATCGTCCAGCCTACTAGGAGCGACGGCAAAGGGGACCGGAAGGCTCACCAGGACAGTAATCCAGCGGCAAACACGCATACGATCAAAGTCGAGGAGACTGGACAGGCACCAGTGGGCAAAGAAACTCCACCTTAGGGACTCCACCTTAGGGACCTTTTGGCGGCCTTCATAAGGGGGGATGGGTGGGTATCATTATATGTATTATAGCAATTTAGGCGCCGCCAAAAGCATGCAGTCTTGTCATTGGTTGAATAACAAGTAGGTCCCTTAGATGTGGAACGCCTATTATTTATTACACCGCTAATCCGGCCGGTAGCCACCGAGGGCCCTTTTGGCTACCCACAAATACCAGCCCTACGTACGTGCATGGAAATATTATGCAACCTTGGCGCCAAGATTAATACATCTTGGCCGGAAAGCGATATCCGAGGTCGAATATCTAGAGAACTCCAGTCGTATATTCAGAAGCGATTTGAATCTTGCGCTCTTCTAGGAGATTCGTAAACAAACTCCTTCTTTTCGATCGCACTCTGTCAGATATCTCAACTGTGTATAACAACTGGTTTTCGTTCCGGGGGCTTGAACCTCCCCTGAGGGCTATCACTAGAATCAACCCTAAAGAGAATGAATTACATACAAAAGTGGTTCTCTTGGCACGTAATCGTATCCCGGCTAGTAAATCAGAATCCAGCGGGAAAAATGTGGAAAAAAGGTGGTCGGTCACCAAACGAGTGCTGCCTCAGCGTCACTACCGAACAAGACGGAGAGCGTTCAGTAAAGTCCAAAAAAAAACAAAAAAAAGCTCAAACACTGATTCGAACAGCGGACCCTGGACACTGCAAATCCATGCTCTAAACCCCTGAGCTATTTGAGCCATTTGTGCGGAAGGTTGGCGCATTTCTCTATATGAACCACTTTTGAAACGATTGAGCCGTGACTCAGATGGGAGTGAGGTCCCAATCGGGGCTAGCGCCTGGAATGTGCTTTTGCAAGGGGTTGAGCCATAACTTTGAAGGATTAGAGCAGGAAATTTGCCAGTCCAGAGTCTGCTCGACGTCAAGAGTATGTTTATTGTGGGACCTTTTTCACAACGTCTGTCCGTTGGACCTCTGACTGAGAGAATCAAAATACTTGAGCAGCAAATGCGATCCTTCTAATTACTGTTTGAGCTTTGAAAATATACAAACGGTGGGGGTTTCTGGCCCACCAGGAACATGAATGGGACTCGTAGTTGTATCAATGCATGCTTTCGGCTGTATTTGAACCATGAAGATTGCCGCGTGCTTGCTGAGAAGGGAAGCTTTTTTCAAAGTTCTCTTTCGCACTGAGGCTGATGCATAGCGTCGGATCTATACTTTTCAGATCTGGGTCATGCATGATCGCCAGGGCTGCGAGACCGAGATTTGAGTGCAGGATGTCTGGATGGATCTGATGTTAGATTGCCGCTCAAGCTTGGTAGCTATGGAGGCATACGGACCAGGGACATCACCAGGCAGTTTACCAAAACCGCCGATCATATGTTGCGTCTTGTCTAGCAGATAGTGGCGAATGGCGTTGAAGTCTTGCAAATGTTCTCTGTTCAGCATCTATCCCGGGCGCTGGTCAGCTGACGCTCGGTGATACATTATAGCAGATACTCACCCCCAATGTTCCTCCAACCCAGAAAGCGTAGCATGTATCAGCTACCTTATTGCATCGACCGTTGAACCCAGCCCACTGAAGGTCGTGTTGTGACATCTCGATTAGACCGTTTGGAAGAATTGCGTCTGCGACCGACACGGGGAAGGCCCCTTGGACATGAAAGGTAGGAGGGAAGGATTCCGGCGTCGTATCGGGTGGCTCCTCGTCTGCCATTGGGAGTTCATCCTCTTCGTGCAGCATCAGCGTTTGCCGCAACACGAGCCATTTGGTCACGCTCTCCACGAACTCTGCGCTCATCCTCCCCTCGTCCTTTGAATCGCTCGTACGCCGTGGCAGCTTGCCAAGTACCATTAGTGCACCGACGCCAGAGTACGTATACCCAGCTGCACACGCAGATGAGTAGGGCTTCTTCACCCGGCAACAAGAGCGACATGTTGCGTACCATGTGCCTCATGGAACGGGCCCTGCGCAATGCCTCCTTCGTAAGTCTGACAAATTTAGCATCATGCGCATACCATGCCGTCATCAGACTTTCTACTCACCACGGAAGCTTCAATCCACTTTACCAACCCCTCAACGTCGATGTCCTCCACCTTTTCCATATCCTCTCCCCTCCTCAGGAACCACCTCGTCACTGCAGCCACGTAACAAAACCTCATGTCCTCAGCCCCTTCCACCACGCCTTCTTTTCCTATCCCCTCCCCAAAGCTCCCATTCGCTCTCTGCAACCTCCTCACCCACTCCAAACACTCTCTCCTCCTCACCCTCTCCATACCATCCCCTAGCACCGCCAATGACGCGCACGCAAAATACGTAGCAGCCAGGTTCGCCGCATCCCATTCGTTCCTGTTCTCATCCCCTGTCATCGTACCCGTAAACCCTCTGAAGCCTCCATCAGGGTGCTGACAACGTAGTATCCAATTCGCGTATCCTGCGCGCTCGGAGGCAGTGGTTTTGGTGTGGAGTGCGCCGAGGATATCGAGGGCGGAGAGAATGAAGAAGGCCAAGCTCATGCGCTGTGCTTCATTGGAGGTGTAAGCGTTTGGGAGGTAGGTTTTCAGGCAGCGGAGCCAGTATTTGACGTGCTTTTCTTTGTTCAGGGAGGCATGGGTGATGGAGGCGGGCATTGTTTCTTCATGCTAAGAACGAGCAACGAGTCTATACGAGTAGGAAGGGGAGGACAAGCGGAGAGCACCTCCCCCCCCGCGCGGGGAGCGGGGCGGGCAAACCTCGGTCCCACGTCGACACTGTTCGGCTTCAACTGTAGCTTCCTGCTTTTACTGCCAGAAAACCAATTGGGCGCATAAAAACCTTTCCAAAGCCCACAATGGCCATCCTTTCTGCTCAATCACTCCTCCGCACCCTCTCCCTCTTCCACCTAACCCTCTCCTATTACCTCTTCACCTCACCCTCGACCATCGCCTCGCAAAACCTCGTCTATGTCCTCGGCGCCGCAATGGACATCCCCGACCCTCCTATATCCCTTTCCACGCCCTCCCCCGCTTCCACCCTCGCCGCCTTGTTCCTCGCTCTATTCGCTATATCGGACTTGACGAGCTCAGGATTACCGGAAGAGGTGGGTAGCCATTACTGGAGCAGCCAGGCGCCGATCAGGTTGACGTTCTTCTTTGCGGTTACCGGGTACAGTTACGCGGGCAAGCCGGGGGGCTTGTGGGGTGGGAAGGGAAGGAGGGAAGGGGAGGTGCTGTGTAATAGTGTGGTGTTTACTTGGGGGTTTTTGGAGATGCTTTGGTGGTTTTGGGTGAGTGGCCGTGCTTGAGCCTTCGGACTTCCAGGGATGATTGCTGACAGCGGACCAGATTTATGTGACTTTGAGAGATGAGAAGAGGGAGCTGATGGTGAAGGTTCAGGAGAGGAGAAAGGCGGAAGAGGATCGGCTGTGAGCTTGAGAAGTCGGCGAATGCAAAGGTCACTGCATTGTAAGAGGGCAAAGCTCATCGCTCCTGCACCCCTGGCTCTATTTGGAGAAGCTATGAATGTCCAATGCGTAGGTAGTGTGCAAATGATTTGTTTGGGTTTCTCCATATACTCGGCCAGATGTCTCGCTGACCTTGTCAATGCAAAAGGGTATCTTGTGCTCGAAACGCCCCACGCTATGCAAATGAAGCCCCCTTTTTTTCCAAGCATGCAATCCCTCTCATAGTTCCTCAATTTATGCGACCTTGGTTCGTAATGATTCCATCTAATGCCTCGATCCAGCTTTCTTGTATGTCTTTGCAGATCATAGTTGACTCTTTCCCCAAGCAACGGAGCTCCGTCCCAATCACATCCTCCAATTCATCTTTGTTGGTAACCCTTGATACCTCTCCAGTGATTTCTTGAAGGACAGCGGGGCCTCGCAGCTTATCTCGCAGCTCTGTCACAGAGAGCCGAACATTGACAGACAGCTTTTTGCCTTCTTCTCGAAATCTTGCTAGCTTGGAGCCCAGCCAAGTGGCATCGACATGTTTGCATTTGCGATTCTCTGCAAGCACGTAGTCGAGGAGTGGAATCAAATATTTGCAAAGCTCCAAGTAGGTATACATAGAATGAAAGTAACTCCAAAGCGGTATTTTCAGGCTCTTCCCCAGTCGTGCAGAAGCATTCATTCCGGCTTTCATGTTTGACTCTAGGGTCTGCGAGCCGGTAGGAATATACACCTCGAGATTGTCCACAGTGTTGCGAAGCCATGCGCCGACAAACTTCCCTTCAATCGTTGGTGGCTTTTGGTAGAAGACCATGTATAGCTCCTGAAGGATTTCTAGAACCACGCCTATCGTGGACTCCGCGTCGGTAGAGGCATTTGGGTCTGACCCGCTGTTATGTTTCATTGCAGCCAATCCAGCCTCATCGATCGAGCTATGACCATTGTTGTGGAGCATGTCCCAGAACTTTGCCAGGCTGAGTTGGTGCTCCAACCATTTATCCTAGGATTTACAGGTCAGTGGGATATTCTTGTAATACCATGTTTCACCCTCACGCTTACGTTTGTATCAATGGTTGGGCCTGCTGAGGGTAGAGTTTCTTCGAATGTGAGCTGGCCATGAGCTTCGTAGTTTGGAAACGCCAATCGGTCCCGGGCATCCTTTGTCCGAGGAGGAATTAGCACTTTGATAGTGTTAGCAAGAATGCATTAAACCCATGAGTATTGACACTGCATCACTTACTGATATCCAGGCTTTGGATCTCATGAGACACGGAGACAAAGCGCGCTATCCGTTTAGTCTCAACGAGAAGCAGAAGCTTTGAGAATCCGGACTCGATATGAGTGCTGGTAGAGAGAGCGTCCAAGGACATGCTCCACTGGCCGTTTTCCTGCATCGATGTTACAGATCTTTTGCTGAGATCCGAGGCAGACTTATGCCAGTCTAACGCTTGGGCCATGTCGAATGCCGGGTCGATAGTTATCTGGCCTCCGCCGTTCGGACGAGATATGGTCACCAGATGCGGGTGCATTGTCGATATACGGGTATAAAGTACCCACGAGACTGTTGCATGTTGTAGGTTTTTTATTGACAGCCGAGAGTATCGCTCCATGGCCAGAGACCCTGCACCTAGAAATATGTAGAGCCGGACTAGGATCAATAACGCGTCGTAGTTGTGTTTGGAGCGCAGGAGCAGATGTTCCAGGACAACAACGCTTCGCAACAATGCGTTATTGTGCTCTGGGTACTTTTGCCGAGTTTTGTATAGACGAATGAGACCCATGGCAGCCAACAAAGCTGCGTCATCTCCGGGTAGGCGATCGCTCACTGGGAGTTTGAGATCATATTTCAATGAAAGCCTATAGAGTCGGAGACAATTGCAAACAAATTCTTGGAGGAGGCCATCCTTGAACGTATTGTCGTCTCTCGAGATAACGAGATTATATTCGAGCTTCAGCACGTTGATCTCTGATGTGATCCACAGCACCTTTTTTGACTGCGATTTGAGTTTAGCAAGGGTCAATCAATCCACTCGATTCACTGACCTCTGAACTCTCTGGCTCGGGTCGAATCTCTCGAGCAATATCACTTGAGAGCTCGACCAATTTCTCTTGCTTTACCCTGTCCAAAGATGAGATGTATGGCTGTAGATCATGGAAGCAGGCGACCTTTGTTGAAAAGTCTTTGAAGTATTCCCAGCACGAGGAAAGCAATTGATCCTGGCAATTTTTTCGTGCAGCAACCTTGCATGAGTAGAATTTGAGCAAAGCGAGTTGAGCGTTGCGAGAGCTAGGCATGCCAGTACCGAACGAATTAATCAAGTTTTCCGTGATCGTTGATCGCCTTTGATTGTCAGATTCGGCTTTTAACACAGACAAGGAGCGATGCCCACTCACTCTTCAGTACCGATGTTGCTGCTTGCCGTGATAAGTGCCTGCCACACTTTCCAGTCATCTCCCAGTTTACCAAAAGGATAATGTGTCAAATGAGATCGCCTCTCAGTAGATTCGTCACGAGCATCAACTAGGAGCTGCTGGCAGAGCTGCCATGAATCTACCCATTGATGGCTCATTTCCAGCAACTCGATTAAATGCCTGACAAGCTCCCATGAATTCCTTCCGAGCGGAGACTCCATACCCATACGAGAACCTCTGACGATGGCGGCCGCTTCTGAGTATTTCCCCTGCGCTCGATACACTCTGATTAGGAGTAGAAGATCTTCCAGTTTATTGATAGCTCTGGTGGGTTTGATCCCTTCTACCCCGTCTGAAACTTCTGAGGCAGCTTTCGACAGGAATTTATAGGCCAAAGATCGCAACAGCGTTCGTTCCGACTCCGGTGTGGCCGAGTCTTCGGCAAGCTTATGCATTGTGAGAATGTAGAGGAAGAAGGGTTCTCGGTTCTTCGGAAAATTCTTCATCCAAGACTGAGAGGCCTGTTGTGCAGCTCTCAGATTGCCGACCTGGAATTTCGACCGAAACCAGACCACGTGCAGCTTTTCATCCTGAGGGCGCACTCCTGCGGCTCTTTGCCATACTTGCCGTAGCCTTGGCTCATTCTGTCCTTTCGCCTCAGCGAGAGTATCTAGAGTACGAAGAGTTTCGATGTCGACCACTGGAGGATTTCTTTCCAGTAGGACGCCGAGCTCCTTCAATCCTTGCTGATGACGTGTCTTTTCTGGCCACAAAAGAAGTACCTTGATCTTTTTGACCTGCGCTTATTTGAGCATGAAGGCTCCAAGTCGTTAGTCATTGAGTACGGAGGGTCACAAACCAGCAGATAATCGCTACTATTTGCCTTCTTCAGCTTCTTCTCACACAGACTCAAGGCTTGCTTCCACTGTTTGGCTAGGATAAGCTCATCCAAAAGGTCATCTTGCCCGTCGAGAGTAGGCATGTTGGGCTCGATGCCCGACACTTTGTGATTGACTATTTACAATTTACGCAACTATTTCGTGGGATTTATGATGGATCGGGTTTAAGCTTCACAAGATTTATTATGTCCGTTCGGCCATTCGCTCGGCAAGCTATCAGAAAAGACAGCAGTGTGAAACTCGAAGAGAAACCTCAACTTTGACTGACTATGACTGCTTCAAGAAGAAGGTTAGACAGCGGATTTCCTCCTCGTTGGTGCTGCTATTGTTAGGGATTCGTACCTTCGACTTTTGTGTTGGCACCTTGCCAGGTTACCAGAATGCTTGGCGATCGCGCTTCACATCTCGTTGCACTTCATATCGGAATTGAGCGTTTGGCTTCATGAGAGCATGAGAACTCTTGCTGAGTGTTTTTGGACAACATTCCAATGCCTCGTTGAGTTCGTTCACCTCTGTCGGCTACGACCCCAAAGATTTTCTTACTACAAACGCTCTTCTCTTTTACCGGCCCCAAAGCTGGCAAATATCCCAACAGGCCGAGGTCTAGTAGCTGTAACTCTGATAGATAGTTGGATACTAATTTTCGAGCTCTCCCGTTCTTGCTCTCAGGAACGAGACGTTCCCAGTAAATCTCGATAACAAGGCGCACATGCGGTTGGGCACAAAGACGACAGGGCCAAGTAAAGGTGTAAGGAGGCTGCGGCCAAAACAGATAGATTGTAGTGCATCTAGATTTGTGACTGGGAAGATTGTGGCAAGGGGTCTCAGCGAATGTCGCGTTGGATCGGGTTGCATTGCAGTAACTGCTTGGTGCTGCCGCGCGATCGTGAGCTACACAGACTTTTCGATTGACAGCCGGCTTTGATACTCGTGTAATCCTATGCTCAATCCAGGTTTGTCTACGTGTGACAGAACACACGCGGGCGACTCGCAGAGCCGCCTCAATCCCCAAGTTATTTTCATCGCGTCATCAGCTCTCCGCGGCGAAATGGAGACAAGCCTCATAAGGTAAGCCCCGAGCCTACTCTTCCATTCGTGTTTCGAATTGGCTCTCTTCTGCTTTCGATACTTCTGAATACGATTGCCCCTCCACACTCTTTACTTGGGTATTTCCATTATCCCAGGACTCGTAATCACCGTGATATATGCCCGATTGTAGCTAACAATCGCAGTGCCTGTCGATCTCCACGGCCAGAACACTGATTACTATCCCTTTCTCCGGGTTTACCCAATACCACTAGCAGACTTCAGCTTATTCTGGGAAGAACCCCTTGGATTGCCTCCTTTTCGCCTCATTGCGCTCGGTAGTCTGCACTATCATCAGCATTTGTGCCCGACTAACGACTTTGCTTTCCGATGCTCACCCATGCCTTCTTGCAGTCTCTGTATGCCCTGCATTGATAAATAGGTTCATCAGCCAGTGGATTCACAAGACGGGTGGCGGGCTTCCGATATCGTCCTGGACTTGGAGCTCCCGAAAGCAGAGGTTAGGCAGACTCACTGGAAATAGTCGGAGCACAGTTGCCTATCTCCTCCATTGCGGTGCAAACATTTCATGCTACGGGACGCTGCTTCCTGACACGGGTCAAAATATTTGCTGTACTCCTTGCTACCAAGTCGTCAGTTCTGAGGCATTAGAAGGTATGAGGTCCAGGCAGGCACGCAGGCAGGCACGCAGGCACGCAGGCGTTATGAAATGAGTATTTCAGAATGCAGACAAGGTTTGGGAAGGCACCTTGTAAATGCGGCCTCTCCTTTGGCCCACGGGGACTCGTCAGATCCACCGGGCTGGGCCATATTTGTGAGTTGGTAGTGCAGGTGAAGGAGCAATTGATTGATGAAAGGTTGTTGCGTCCAGAGTTCCATACGCATGAATCGAGGTTCTATTCTTGTCTAGTAGTACAGTAGGTACTAGGTAGCGCTCAAGCTCGGGTAGGCTACTTTAGCGCTATCAGCACTTTAACCGATAAGGACCGAGGGGACTTCAACGTCATCTTTCCAACTAGGTACCTTAGACCAGTGCTATAACTTTCCAACCACATTACCCCTCTCAAGTCCGAAACCGACAGATTGCATATACTGACTGATGAAGTTGATCTGCATGATGCAGACTCTACCGATTTTTGCAAACCCAAGAAACAACCAGCGGCTAACATCGGCAGCAATCTTGCTTCGGTTCTGTCCCCTGGGTCCTAAGTGAAGGTTGGGCAGACAATCATCGTGTGGAAGCACGCTCGCTTCTCAAATCATGCAGGACAAATGTGCAGCTGCCGAATTTTCTGGGACCTATGCTTCACCACCTGGGTCGCTAGCTTGGAGCTTGCACTGCTCTCCAGCCTATCGAATGATGACTGTCTGTCCATATCAAGCATCTGGATCCAGACCGTCCTATGAGATTGCTAGATGAAATACGACTCGGTCGTATCCGTTCGCGTACTTCATTGGTTTTTGTCATCTTCCCTGCAGAGCGCTCGTTCTCGAATGTTACTTACTCCGAGTGTGGACGTCGAAAGTGTGTAATTGTTAGTCATTGATGTTAAGGCATTTGCTATTTGAGAGACATCTGGATAGAGTTTGAGAAGGTTTACTGCATGGCATCCCTGCATGACTGGTATAGACCTATAGGAAGAGAGTATTTCAAGCGTCAAGGATCTTAGTGCCCGTTGGAAGAGAGCAGATACTCGTGCGGTCGAGGAGTCGATCCTCATCAACAGTCCGACACGGATATACCCACCAATTAAGCTGTTCATAGAGGGTTGCAAACCCGACATTATTGGTGGATATCTCTGTGACAAAGAGATAGATGATTAGATTTCCTGGTCGCACGAGTATTTAGTCTCGGCACAATCGCATGATCCGGTCTAGCCGCATACCAAACCGAACAAAGTAACTGAATCCATATAACATATCAGCGATTGGTATCCTTTCCACCCCGGTCACCCTCTGGCTTTCCCACAGATGCTTTTACCATGGCCCATACCTTCCGTCGGTTCCTTTCCGATGCAGGAAGTGGCTGAGGCGGCGCTGGTGACAGCTTTACTCCGCAAATCCGTCTCCATCTCTATCCAGAAGAACTGCATGCATCTCGATGTGTGGAGGGGTATCAACCTAGATTGTAAATTAGAGGTGCCAACGTGCTTTGGGGAACCCCGCGTAAAAGCCAGAATTGGGTTTTCTTGCCATAACAAAGTGTCTATGTTGTAGGTGCATTGTACTCGTACGGCTGAAAAATCTATCTTTTTGATACGCATATATTCACCAACCAATGTCGGCTTTGGAACCTTCAGTGCACAACCCAACTGGTGCGAATGACGCGCCCAAGTATTGATACGCGTTAGAAAGATCGACTTCTCGCGAAATACCGTCCATCTCTTCACAAGACTCTGGCATATAAGAGTCGCCCGCGTCCGAGCAAGAACCTACTCTACTATCAACATTTATAAAGCTAAATTCCTGGCGCTCGCCAGATAAGAGCAGTAAGTGTGAAGATAACAACACTCTGGCCTTATCATACGGTCCTTCTGTGTCGTCTCACACACAGATTCGCTATTTTTCTCAATCCTTCAGATTCACTCTCTGTATCAGAACCTTCACTTATTCGTGGTTACAATCTAACGCGGACCATCTTTGTTACCTACTTATTGCTTGCTTCCTTCAGTCGTCTTTGTTGCTTCTAGCTGCTTCTAGCTCTTGCTTACAACATCATTTAGGCCCGGAAATCCACAACTTCATTAATTTCTTGCTGGCATGGCTACCGCGGAAGTTGAGTCACTCATAGACGACACGCGCGCACACGTCGGGCCAGTTATCAAAGCGATGTCGATGAACACGCTGAGCACCGACAATTTCGATCCCAAGAAGCACATAGATTTCACACCACCGGCCAAGACCCTGACGATGAGCGATTTGAAACTTCCTGAGGGTACCGGAGTGTCCCCATTTGCTGTCTCCGATCCCTTTCAGCTTTTCACTCAGGAGGCCGTGCAACGCATGAGGGCCGAGATATTCAGCAAAGAAGTTTTGGAAAACTGCAAATACTCGAGCAACCTAGCCCAGTGTCAGCTGAGAGGTTTCGCTGCAAAGTAAGCAAAGAACCACGACAACGTCTTCCATCCACTCATCTTCCTTCTCCTATTCCACTAACATCTTTTGTCAGATATGCACCCTTTGTGTACGATGCGTGGAAGAACCCTGAGACGCTCGCGATCATGTCTAATATTGCCGGTGTCCAACTTGTAACAGAGATGGATTTCGAGATTGCCCATATCAACATCTCCGTCAAATCAGAGAAGCAGAAAGCGGAAGAACTTGAGGCATTCTTGGACAGAAAGCTGACCGAGGACGATGAGGGTATTGCCGGCTGCCCATGGGAAGATGACAAACCCATCGTCGACTGGCACACTGACAGCTATCCTTTCGTTTGCGTTACCATGCTCAGCGACTGTACCAATATGATTGGCGGAGAGACTGCACTACGCACTGGAAATGGAGATGTCATCAAAGTCAGAGGACCTCAGATGGTATGTGAACCTAGGACTTGAAGCGAGATAAGCTTACGATTTGATAGGGTTGTGCTGTTGTGCTGCAAGGCCGCTACATCGAGCACCAAGCTCTACGCGCTCTCGGGTCAACGGAGCGGGTCACGATGGTGACATCCTTCCGTCCCAAATGCCACACCTTCAGGGACGACACCGTGCTTACCACTGTCCGCCCAGTCTCGAACTTGTCGGAACTCTACTCCCAATTCTGTGAGTACCGCCTGGAAATTCTCGAAGAGAGAATTCGCAATAAGCTCAAGGCAATGAGAGATGCGGAGAGAAGCGGTAGAAAAATGAGCACGAAGGCGCTCAAGGCATTCCTTCATGATCAGGAATTGTTTCTCGCACACATGAACAAGGAAATGATCGATGATGAGTTCGTGATAAAGGGCAGCATTGACAATAGCCATCTTTTCAGCGACTTTGGCGAGAGCAACCGCGCGAGGGTCGAGTGAGCGAGCCTTCAAATTCAGCGGGTGACAGAATGGAGCGAGAGTGATAACGGCAGCTGACGAATCTCATTGACGGCACATATTCAGCGAGTTGTGTACTTTGATCAGCGGCTTCCTTGACCGTGATGAACTTGTTTGGTCGCATATCTGCACCTTCGCTGCGATATACCCTGATAGAAGTAGACTAAAATGCTTGCGTACACAACATACTTCATCAGGATGCCGCCGCAGAGCGGTCTCTTCTCGTAGCTGTCTACGCAGAAATCCAGATTTGAGGCTGGCGAAATCTGAGCGATATCTTACCATTCAACCCACATAACGTTTTCTCTGCCAATCTTTTGTGGTCATAAGATACCTGACTACTATCTAAGAAATTCCGACTTCAGCGTTCTTTTTCCAAGGCAAATCCCGAGCAGTGACATAGATTGAAAAAGAACTAAGGGCAGCCTGGTCCCGAGATGTGTTTATGCAAACCGAAGAATGATCTGGAATAGAAAGAATTGACACTCCGAAATGTAAGATACAATCCTCTCCGTGCCTGCTTCAGGAAGCCTGGGAACTCGCACGACTCGGAAGAAAGAAGGAGCGGGATGGTGGCGCTAAAGTACCTTACTCTAGTGTGTTCAACCGAGCCCGAATCTAAGCCTGATTCGGCTCAACCAATCGTTCTTCTTCCCCTCCAGACTTATCAAACACCACCCTTCTCTTCTTTGAAGTACAACCTTCATTACACTTCATTTCAGCCATTTCACCAACGCCGCAAGCAGTCTGACTACTACAAGAGAACATCAGTCACATCAAAGGGGTTTGATGGCAAATGCTCAGCTGTGAATCCACCCTATTCTCCGCATTCTCGTCAATCTTACCTCTTTTTGGGCCTACCACCGCCGTCTTTCGGGCTTAGCACCGCAATTTGAATCACAATGGGAGATTCAGTCGCCAAAACAGTCAGGAGAGGCTCCGGCAGCAAACCAGAGCAGGGTCGAGATGGAAGAGATGACCCCGTCGGACTACTACAAACACTGGAAACGAGCCTCGACGACATACGAACCCTCGTTACCTGCCGAGTCTGTGTACGCCCTCTCTTTGAACCTTACACCATCGAATGTGGCCACACTTTCTGCTACGGTTGCCTTGTTCGTTGGTTTGAGAGGGACCGGACCAAGAAATCTTGCCCCGACTGCCGAGCCGATGTGCTACGTCCGCCCGCCCCGGCCTATCTTGTAAGCAATTGTCCCTATACCGCTCCAAGGCCCTCACTGAAGTTTACCAGATTCGTGATATGACGCAAATATTCGCAAAGCGGGCAGAGCTCATGCCTGTTGGTGAAACTACCCAGGAACACAAAAAATGGCAGGACGAGGAGGCGGCTTTGGTCGAAAAAGACAGGGCAACTACCGGCCTTAAAGGTGGCCTTTTCCGAGGTTGCTTCAAACTGACACGTCGAAGACAATTGAATGTCATTAGGGACGATGAAGATGGTGTTGATCGTTGCCCAAGGTGCACGTGGGAGCTTGAAGACGGACTTTGTGAATCTTGTGGATATCCAATGGGGGAAGACTCGGCCGAAATGAGTGATTCTGACGGCCATGGACATTGGGATGATGACCTCTACGATATGGAAGGGGCTACTATGGAAGAACTTGTGGGAGCCCTTGGTGAAGATGCTCGTATGGATGGGTATATCCCGAATCTCGACTTCTCCGAGCACGGATATTCGAGTGAAAATGGTTCTTCTGACGGAAACCCGCCGCAAATGCGTCACAGAGGTAGACGGATTACGGCACAGCTCAATCGACTGCGGGCAAATTCAGAGGACGAGCGCCCTTACGATAGTTTTCTTGATGATACAGATGAAGGCAGTCAAGGTGAGGAGGTTGGCTCACTAAATGATTTCGTTGTCAACGATGTCGAAAATGGTCATCACTCCGTTACAAGTTCGACCAGAAGCTTGCATTGGGAAACGGATGAAGGAACGGATGGGGAGGGTAACCAACTGCAAAATTCCGACAATGATCAAAACAGCCAAGAGGAAGACGCCTCAGCAATTGCGAATGGTGTTCGTAACGAAGCATCATCTGCAACTGCTCAATATGACCCTGGAGACGAGTCCGACGAAGGCCCAATCCTGCGTTCCAGGCGACAAGCTCGACGAAGATCAGTGCTGTCTAACCAGTCCAGTGGCAGTGATGGCAGTGGCGTTTCGCAGGCGTTGAATGCCCTTCGCGTGAGAAACGGATACAGCGGCAGCCGTGTATCTGTGAACGCGCAACGGAACATTCCCCATAGAAACCCAGGTGCAAGTGGTGAAAGATCCACAGGCGGCCCATTCGAGATTGAAAGTGATTCTGATTCCCCTGTGCCTGCTCAGCATACGAGAAGAAGGCGAGCTATTCCGAATCGTCTCACATCGGACGATGACAGTGCCGTGGAGGCCAGTAGTGGTACGGCTACTGTCGGTAGAGACTCCCCAAGACCGATTGCTGGTTGGATCGCTCGTAGGACTGGAGGCATCCTACCGGCCAGTCAGACCAGCAGTGCATCTTCGCCAATCTTGATCGAGTCAAGTCCGACGAGATCGGCAAACCGCCAGCTTCCTGTCCCTGGAGCTTTCCCCCAACGTTCCCGATCTGCCCGTCATCCAAACCGCTCTCTGAACATCGGCAGGCGGGCTCCTACTCGCACCAACCGTGGAGCGGATAACTCGCCTCAGGGCATTTTTACAAGACGTTCCCCAGCCAATGCTTTCCCGTCTAACGGGCTACAGCAGCGTCGAGGCACGCGGCGTCGCAGTCCACTTCCCCCTCCTGCGCATCCGCATAGCCCAACATCTAGGCAGTATCACTCACCAACGGCAATGGAAATGTTCGAGCAGGGAAGACGTGACCGTCAAGCACAGAAGATTGAGAGGAGAGCTGAACGTCGGCGCCTCAAGGCAGAGCGAGAGCAGAGAGCGAGGCCCCAAAGTGGACTGTCACCCTCGCCAGGCTCATCGAATCAATATGAAGACCTCTGATGAAACCCCGTAGGATCAAGAGACACCCGAACACGGACCAAGGGAAACGAGCGGGAAGAGACCGGTGCAGCTTGCCTGAAGGGTCACTAGGCTTTCATGCATGAGCTGACAATAGGTGTTTCTTGTGGTGCCTAGTCATCCCAAGCTGGTAAGGCGCGACATAGATGCCCGTCTGCTTAACATTGCTTACAGCGTCTTTGGCGGAAGCGGGAAGCGCTTCGGTGGCCCAACATCCATTTCGAGCTTGCGGGCTACTACTGTTGCATGTACACCAGCCCCTCAGCAGCCACAACTAATTTGCACAGCTTCATAGCATATCATACATGTTCAGTGCTGTACGAATTTGTGTGCGGCCGACCTTTGCCACGGATAGGCGACAGAGAGCTTGTTAAAACAATGCAGCTATACATCCTGCGGTTCTTTTTGCACAATCTCCTTCCCATCCCAACCTCTTTTCTCTTCCTTTGCCTCTGCCTCTGCCTCTGCAATTGTTACTATCTTAGGCACCTCAAAAACAATAGGTCTGTTCGAGCCATAGACTTTTTTCCATCTTCCCAGTCGATGCTCCGTTCCCAGTGCAGCGACAACACACAGTCCGTCTTTCCCTCTCTCTCCTCTCTCAAAAACAGAGAGGTCATTAACGATGCCCCGCACATTTTTCTCCTCCTGGACACCCTGTACGTCCACACCAGCCGTCTTTTCATCTTCATCTGCGCCTTGAACCTTTCCAACGACTCCCATCGACTCCAGCCTTTTCTTATCTTGACTTACTCGCCAGACCTTCACCTGACCATCCCAGCTGCCGCTCAAAACAACATCAGAATAAGGGACCGTTGCCAGCGCTGTGATCCATCTCGGCTGTCGCTCCGGAACCCTAGCATCCGGCTCGGCTTCTGCAGATGCCTCTTCCGGCTTCATTGGTGGATCGAGTCCATGTGCTAGTGGAATGGTGAATATTGGCTTCTTCTTGTGCAGTGTCCAAAGGGATATCGAGCCGTTGTCACTTCCAGTGACGAACGACTCTTCATCGACAAGGGCGACCCGGTCGATTGATCCTTCGCCATAGCTTCTCAGCGCCGCAATCTCCCCATCTTTATTTCGCGGTCGACGCTTTTCCGAACTGCCACCGCCACGGAAGACCAATTGTGTCTGTTCAACAACCTTCCACAAGCGAGCCGTGCGATCTCTAGCCCCAACGCTTATACACCGCTCGAGCGCCAGGCTTGCCACATCGAGCACTTCCTCTTGGTGCCCGAACAACGTCTCCACATAAGCTAATTCGTCCCATATCTTGACGGTGCGGTCGACACTACTGGAATATAACTGGTTCGTGCCTCTTCGAAATGCCAAGGAGGTGACAGCATCACGGTGCTGTGTAAAAACACGCAGCGGCTCGAGTTTGTCGGCGGACCAGATGATAAGCCGTTTGTCTGCTCCCCCGGTAGCAACAAATTTGCCAGTATCCGAAGCCGCGACACAGAGTATGGGGGCTGTGTGGTGTTGGTAGTTCGGATCCCCAGTCTTGCCCCTGTCTCCCCTGGTGGTCATGAGCTTCGTTGGCCGACGGCGGACCGGGCGTGAAGGTTTTATGGGGGGTTTTTCGATTTGGGGGCAGAGGAGGGGGCGGGGTGGGGAGCTCCCATTTTGTGAGGGTAAGGTCCTTGTGGACGGTATATGCGAAGGGAGCACAGGTAGCTATAGAGGTTGTGCTCAAGCATGCTGTGCGAAATGAGGTCTCCGTCGCAGAGGAGAAATCGAGCGTAGAGGCTATATGACGGTAAAGACGACCTTTGATTTCGGCCTGTAGAGCGATGAGGATCCAGGGAAGAGCAATGTGCAATTAGGCAGCCTACATACCACGTCTTCTTGTAATCGTTCGGCAATAAGATCTTTGTCAATTTCTTCTGCGTCAAACCCAACCTCGTCTACCTCCCCTTTTATATTCTCCAGATATTGTTCCGCTAATCGTAGACGTCTCTCCGCCCCCGTCTCATCGTCCTCTTCTGATTCGCTCTCCGAGACTGCCTCTGCATCGTTAACTCTTTTACGAATCACCTCGTCCTCTGAGCCGCTGCTTGATATAGATTCATCTCGTCGAGCTGTAGCGGATTTTTTACTCGGAGGCTTTGCACTGGTCTTAGTTGTATTTCTTCTTTTTGTTGATGGAACCACATTGGCCTCGTCTCTCTTGCGCTTTCGTTGCGATGCTGGGATAGTGAAGAAGGAAGACATGGGAGCCACTAGCTTCTCAAGCTGGTACAAGAGCTCGAATGTGGGAGTGTCCCAAGTGCAAATACCTGGATCGAGCTCCGAGAACTTTTGATAATTGCAGTGCCGCGAAATCTTGGCAGTCTCGCTAAACCTTCCTTCCCAATCCCAACCTAGTTCACGCGTAGACCTCTCGACCTGTAGCTAGCTACACCTCTCAACTTCATCCTCAACTCCGCACCAAGATGTAAGTCAACATCTACAAAAATGTACTACAGCAGCTAATAGGTCAGCAGGGAGGTTCTACTCGGCTTTACTGGCAAGGATTACACCATCGTTGCGGCTTCAAAGGCTGCAATGAGAGGTGCAACGATCCTCAAAGCTGCTGATGACAAGACGAAGCAGCTCAACAAACATACGTTGATGGCGTTCTCAGGAGAAGCAGGAGACACAGGTAAAGCGGCATCGAGATACGCTAATAGTATGGCTAGCTAATCTGCAGCGGGTAGTGCAATTTGCAGAATACATACAGGCCAACATCCAGCTCTACTCCATGCGAAATGATACCGATTTGGGACCTTCAGCCGTTGCAAGCTTTGTCCGCGGAGAGTTGGCAAGAAGTCTTAGGTCAAGGAAACCATACACTGTAAATTTGCTTCTTGGAGGAATGGATCCCATCACGAATGAACCGCATCTCTACTGGCTTGACTACTTGGCGTCGCTGGCCCCGCTTCCATATGCAGCCCATGGCTATGCCCAGTATGTCGTTTTCCTGTTCCTGAGCTCCCCGTTAGAGAAGTTCACAGCCGTGAGAATCATTTTGCTGAGCGAAGGCCTAGATACTATTGCTTATCAATACTCGACAAACACCACCACCCAGACATCGACTTCGAGCAGGGGCTCAAGATACTGAAGATGTGCACAGACGAGCTGAAGCGGAGGTTGCCTATAGACTTCAAAGGGGTGAGTATCGCTCAAGGCTGCACAGAATGGGCTAATTCTTCGTTCAGATGTTGGTCAAGGTCATAGATAAAGACGGTATCAGGGAGATTGACTATGATATGAGCAAGGAAGTTCTGCCCGCATAGCGATGGGCACTCAGTATTTAATGTAGCTTCAATGCTGGAAACCAATCTGTCAGACAGCGTTGTTGCCTCCTTGTTTTACGGTCCAATCCTTGTGACGTTCTATGATTTCGTGCTGAAAACAACCCCATTCACGGACCTTGAGACATGGCTTTCCATGGTTCGGGATTTTCGGGATGAGGCTGTGTTTGAAAAGATGATTCACGCGTTGATATTGACGACTTAAGGTCGACGCACAAGCGACGGGAAACAGCCCACCAAACCATCCATAAGCCCATCGACAAAGTACACTTTACCAAATCGAACGGGATTCCATACCAGCACCAGCTCAACGAGGTTGAATCGAGGTCCTCGGATCCCTGGCGTGTTGCCCGTGCTTTCCTTCATTCCATTGTGTATTTACCAAGTCAGCATGTCTTCTCAAGGGCCGATTGGAGTTGGAAATGGGTTCTAAAAGGGAGAGCGCTCCCGGAAAGTTGTCCAACTCGGCTCAGTTCGCCCTGAGAATGACGTGAAAACGGCCATTTCCGATTTCCAATCCCTCAACGTTCCACACCTTGCTTGGACATAAAGGTTCATCAGTAGAGATGAAGTTGTCAAAAAAAGAACTGAATCTTCCCCGTTCATTGAGACCTCAATGAGACAATACCTTCACGTATTTACAGGTCGCTGCCATCCATTCATCACTCCCTTACGGACGTTGGAGGTATCCGCCCTCGTCGATACGCCTAGAGACAGATGAAGTATATACAAAATCATAACCCACTTGAATTGCTCTCCTATTGGCCTCCAGCTATCCCTACCTGCCGAGAAGGGCTTTGACTCGGCCTCGTCACCCCTTGCGCGCTCCCTGTCCTTTGCACCATCGGCGTAGCACTTCTACTTCCACCATTCATTCCCTGCCCACCTGCCCCTCTCTGCTGACTTTGCTGCTGCTGCCGCATGAGCTGCGCGTATTGTTGTGAATTTCCAATATTGAACATGGGACCGCCGCCTCCATTTGTCATCATAGCCGCTTGTTGCTGCATTGAGCTTGGTACTTGAAGACCCATGTTCGCATTCGCGGCAACGGCAGCGGCGTTGGAGTTGCCCGCTGCTGCTTGCATGGCTTGTTGCCGGGCTTCGTTGGACATCTTGTAGAGCTGATCAGTGGTCATGCGAGTGATCTGTTCAGGACTGGCTTGAGGGTGGCGCGCTTTGAACTGCGAGGAGATCTGATTGACGGCTGGGGTCATGCCGCTGGAGAGGGCTTGGGGTTGTGTCATTCGTGGCGAGGAAGAAGAGCCTAGGGGAGGTGGTGCGCCGTTGATGGACGGGCTGGAGCGGCCTTGGAGGGAAGCGAGCATGGTGGAATTGTTCTGCGAGAGCATGTTCGGATGTTGCAGGGGCGGAGAGCCGGCTAAGCCGTTCGATTGAGCATGTTGCTGTTGCTGCTGCTGTCGCACGTATGCTTGCTGTTCTCGGAGTCGAGAAGCTTCATGAATCATGCGGTCGGGTGCCATTGGTGGCACGCGTTGTTGCATTTGCGCCTGCATGTTTGGCTGCATAGGAGCGTGAGGGACGCTGTGTGAGTTGGTGGGTAAAACGCCGTTCGTTTGGCCATTCATAAGCCTTGGTATCTGTGGAACTGGTCTGGAGGAATCGCCCCCGCTTCCTCTTATCTGTCCATGCGAATTCGCTGCTGCCATATTGGGACTGCTTCCGTTCGGTACTCCTGGCACTGGTCCTGGAATACGTACAGACTGCATCCCATTGCTTTGTTGAGTAGACTGTTGGTTAATCTTCTGCGCCTGTATAGCCTTCTCAACGGTTAGCAAAATATAGTAAGACTCACAAGATGGGAAAACGTTACCTTTTGATTTGCAATCGCGTTGGCCCTGAGTAATTTAGCTTGCTCTGCCATACGGAGTTGGCTTTCATACTTGATGCGACTGAACTCCTGGGGAGTGTGCATTTGGGGCCTCTGCTTCGTAGCTTCCCTGTCCTTTCGCATTGCAGCAAGACTAGCGACTAATGATGAAAGTCAGCTTGGAAGTTTCGCGACTTACGCTCGTGAGCAGAGAAATGAACATACCATGTTGTTGCTTGTGTATCGCGGTTTCGCGCTTCTTGGCCAGCTTCCGCATTGCATCAATGAGATGCAAGTGCCTAGCGTTCTTTCTACGTTCAACGGTGAAAGGCTGGGTGGTCCGACGTCTCAACGGCATCTGATTGGCGTTATTGCCCTGTTGCTGCTGTAATGCTTGGTGCTGAGCCTCGACCATCTTCTGAGCACACTGCAACCTATGATGGTACGTTCGGAAGTAGTTGATCTTGGCCATCTCTACAGGAAGACCTTCCAAGCTAATCCAACGCTCGAAGCATTCCCACGGTGTTCGTCTTTCAGCGCCAGACGAAAACATTGACGGCGAAGATAAACAGCTTGAAATCAGCGACCAATTATAGGCAAAATCTTTGACGAATTTTTTAAGCTCGTCATCCTCTGCTTGGGTCCACTGAGACGATTGGCGGGACTCAAAGAAATTCTGTGATGGCATGTTATGTTCTGATGGAGGTCTGAAGGCATGACCAGCGTGTATGCGATCCCTGATGTGCTTGTTTTCAGGATCGAACAAAGCGACGTCCTCTTGCTCTGGGCCAAAAGCATTCTCCGAGTCCTTGATAGCCAGATTAGAGGAGTAGCTGTGGGAACCAGGGGGGTCCTGATAATCAAATCGACTTCTTTTACGCGGCGGGCCTTCCTCCGGAGATATCATCTTGCCTTGCACGTACTTAGATACCGGCACGATGGGTTTCTTCCAAGCAGAATCGGACTCAATATCGTTAACCCGCAATGCAGCGTCCTGGACCAAAGTACTCGGCCGGTATAGCGGGAGTTCGAGCATCAGCTTTTCAGTCACAGGGCTCTTGCTGAGTCCAAACACAAATATTTCAGGGGGCAAAGAGAAGATCACTGCAGGAGGACTTCCCGCAGTACCATCCACACGGGAGAAGTCATCGTCGGTCACCTCGCTGGCCCCATCATCCGCCGAGTGTACCAGGTCTGGTGTCGATACTGAGAGTGACCTTGACATTGCCCTTGCAGGCACAGATCGAACTTTGATTTGTAGTAGTCTACGTTCCTCTGGGGAACTGGCGACCCATCTTGCACAGGCATATGCGGTGTGTTTGGCAGCTGCGTGCTTCCATTTTCTTTCTTCACGGAAGTCTGTCCTCAACCATTTCATTTGACCAAGCAATACGTCCCAGTGCGTCACTGATCTCTTGGGCTCTGCAGATCGCTCCACTTGCCGAAAAGACCAGCGATTGTTGGATTGCAGCTCGTGGATCCTTTTCAAGACAGCGCAAGCTTGTCGCTCATTGAAGTCGGTATAGTGATCCGACGTATTCAAGGTCTTGTGGGCCGTTTTCACTAGTGTATTGACAGATTGCGCTCTTATTACATTCCAAGCCTGAGCGGCAAACAATGTCAAAAAATAGTCCCTGTCCTTGACAGGGGACTCGTTATCATCTAGCCGTTGAGCTTGGGTGACTTCTGTATTCCTCGAACTAGCAAACACCACGGTCGACAGCTTACTTCTTTCTTTGTCTTTCAATTCACTAAGCCGCTGCTTGAACACCGCAGCATCGGGGGAAGTGAACGACGATGCAGATTTTGGGGTCTGCAAAAAGCCATGATCTTCTCTATGGGATTCGACTAAAGCTCGGTCTATGGCCGCTCTCTCAGCCTGAACAGGGGTAGCCTTAGGCGTCTCACCAAGAATCTCAGAGACAGATTTATGTCGAAGTGCTCCAGAAGACACTCTTGTGGTCATCCGCTCCGGGGGCGACTGGATACTCGTTGCTGGCGTTGCAGTCTTGCTAGGCGTTGCAGACCCCAAAGGAGTGGGACCATTTGTCGTACTTATGGGTGCGGGCCGTGGCCCAGCCATTGAACTTGAAGAATCGAACGTTGACGGAACTCCAGTATCGATTCGCATGGGTGGTCGTCGGCTAAGGGTAAGATCCCTAAGTGACTCCCCATTCATTCCAGAGAACATGCGATCTCGTAGAGCTGAGGAGGGGTTTGGCAAAGTGTCGTTCTGCTCACTCAGGTCTCGAGAAACGCCATCTTCTTTCAAACTCATCTCATTGCTCACATCTGAGATGTCAGGTATTGTGCTTTCCTCGCCGAGATTGTCATTTATGAATTGGGAAGGTAGGCTAGACGGCGCTGGCATCGAGTGTGAGTCTTTCAGATCATCGGCCTGCCCACCAAATGTACTCTCCGGAACCTTGGGTTGCATTGAACGGGCTTCTTCAAGCCGTAGCTGTTCATCAGGTGTAGAAGGAGCCCCACTAAAAGCCTCCGCTCTAGCGATATCCATCTGCGACTTGAGGATCGCATCATGCCCAGAGCCATCATCCGTAGGCTGCGCTTGGTCATATCTTGACCGAGAAGCCGTATCTTCTCGTGAAGCCGGCGGTGTAAGTCCGTTGACATTCAGATGACCTTTGCTTGCGTATACTGGCCCCTGCTCTTCATCACGAGATCCCCGTCCATCGGGGTGCTCCAGACGCTCCTCCTGAGCTTCTTTTGACGGCAGATGAACAACAGCAGGACGTGCGGACCTTTGTTCGGTGGTCAGGCTTTTGATCGCTATCGCATCCAAGGAGCCGACGTCGTCGGACGCCACGGGTAGAGCTTCAGATGGACGAATGCTAGGTTCGCCAGCTGCACGTTTCGTCGCTGTTATCTCCTGCGGTCCTAGACCCGTTGAGCCTTGAATTGAGGATTCAGAAAATGTAAATCCGTCCTCACCCCATCGTGATGACTCTGTGTTTTTCAATTGCGTAGAAACCAGGTCTGGCTCTCGGTCCAGCTCTTCTGGACGAGCCGCAGCATTCCCATCTCTTGGAGGCCCAGACTGTTCCTGCGAGACGAATTTCGAGACTGCTTGGGGTTCACGCAAGGCTTGGTTTGGATCTGTTGTTTGCGCCTTGAGATAACCTAATAGCGAATCTGTAGGTGGAAGGGTCGCTGGATCGAAGGAACGGTCCCTGCGCAATGATGAGTGGCAGGATTCGATGTATATTCTACGTGCACTCACTGTGTTATGTCATTTGCTTCGAGAAATGAAGCTAGACTGGCTTTGTGAGGTTTGAAATTATTGATCTCGATGATGGTCACCGTCGCATAGTATAGGGCGGCGAGATGATTCTGTCGCCTTTGAAGACTACGTCTTCAAATACCAAAACACAGCAAATATCAGCGATCCAGGCTAATGTCATACGTATGACACTTATCTTTCCAACAATTCTTGGAATGAAGCTTTGGAAATAATAGGGACTCACGAAAGGGCATCGTTTAGCGGAGACTGGAGCATCGCAAATTACGATGTATGTTTCGTAGCAAGATCATCACAATTCTTCATTACGATGTATATTTCGTAGCAAAACCATCACAGTTCTTTGTGATATTTCATCAATACCTTTTTTCAGAATTCTTTTGATGAAATTCGTGTTGTTGCCGTCATGATCATTGATGATTTGGTGTGATGGGTGGATGGATGGTGGAATGAAATAGGGCTCAAGCATGAGGGGTCCCAGGCCCGAAAGTCTCAAAATTACTGCCCGCAAAATTCTACTTCTCTATCTCAACACTCCGTCCACAGTCTACATTTCCAACATCACTCGAGGGGGCATATAGTTTACTTTAACGGCAGGGAAGATGGGAAAGAGAAAAAGGACTGCCGCCGAAGGGGATAAAGAATTGCCCCGCCCGGCGGGCGAGGCAAAGAAAAAAAAGGTCGCACATCAGGAAGGAGCAACTCCAGTGACAATTCAGATAATCATTGGGACATACGAGAAGGTCTTACACGGGATAACAGCCTCGATAACGAGTCAGGCAAAGGGACACCGTGAACAGAAAATAATCGAATTTGCGGATACTTTCCTTCTTAACGCCCATACCTCAGCCATACGTTGCCTCGCTGTACGTTTCTTTTGGAGCAGTCTCTCCCTTTCGCTACCCAATCCTGGGTCGCAAGACTCGTGTCGAGAGCGAAGACCGTTTTGGACTTCTTGCACGTGTCTTATAGCTCGCGCTCTTACCCTTGGAAGCGATGCTGACTCGGAAATGTGCGTAGATCTCGCCCTCCTCAACAGGTTCTCTCAAGTCTCAGAAAATCATACTTGCCAGTGGCAGCTCTGACCAAATGATTAATCTTTACCACTTATCTACAACACTACCGCAAAAGTCCAAAGGCTCCTCAATACCAACATTGGCCGGCAGCACCATCAAGGAGAATCCCAGAAATCGAGAGTTGGGGTCTTTGCAACATCACAATGCGGGCATTAATGCTTTGTACTTCCCTACACGCTCGAAGCTTTTGTCGGGGGGCCGAGGATAACACAATAGCGGTGGCTCGAACACGGGACTGGACTGTGCTCTCAACAATAAAAGCTCCGATACCGAAAGCTCATGGACGTCCAAGCGGGGATACTGCACCTTTTGGAGGGACTCCTGCCGGTGTTAATGATTTTGCAATCCACCCAAGTATGAAGCTCATGGTGAGCGTGGGAAAAGGAGAAAAGTGTATGCGCTTATGGAACCTGGTGACCGGCAAAAAGGCGGGCGTCCTGAACTTCGGAAGAGAACTTTTGCAAGGCGTTGGAGAGGGTAAATGGGCAAGGGGGGAAGGCAGAAGGGTGGAGTGGAACACCCTTGGCGAAGAATTCGTAGTGGCATTTGAAAGAGGTTGTGCTGTGTTCGGCATGGTATGAGTATACTTGTATGTTCCGCCTCCAGAAAGCTAATTACTATGGCAGGACTCGAAGCCAAAATGTCGAATATTGCCTTTGCCACTTACCAAGATCCATCAAGTACACTACATGACCTTATCTGGGACCGATGGCGGAACCAAAGACCTTCTGGCTGTCTCAACAGAAGATGGTCGCATATTGTTCTATGATACCACAGACGTCGTCGGAACACAGATCACCAAGTCCGCCTCGAAACTCGAGACACCCATCTCTGACCCCATCTGCCAATTAGGAGGCGCTGCAGATGAAATAACTGGCCGTGTGAAAGATTTTGAAATCTTGAAACCACTAGGTTCAGAAGACTTCATCATCGTTACTGGTAGTAGCGATGGTGCTGTACGCCTTTGGACGGTTGACGAGTCAGAGCTCGTAGACGAGGCATCAAAATCGAGAGTAGTGAATGATGAAGTAAGCATCTCGGCCGATGGCGATGATAGTAAAGCGAACGGGAACACAACGAAACTGCCCACCACAAGGCAAATCGGATTGCTCTTAGGCACATACGAAGCGGGGAACAGGATCACCTGTTTGAAGGCCTTTGTCATGTCAGAACTAGAAAGCTACAAGACCAACGGTTCGGATAACGGCATCGATGGCAAACGTGGTAACGAACTGAACTCTGGGGATGAGAACAGTACGAGTAGCTGAACGGTCTCGCTGTCTTGTTGTGAACATTTATGAGGATACTCTCCGTACTTCCACGGAAGGCAAATTCCAAAGTCAGCTAGCATAGCATGTGACTGAAAACGGACAAGACGGTCGTAAAGCATCTCGATCCAGTGTCACACGCTGCAACAACAGAGCAAAATTGCAGACCTCCTGCTTTGCGTATGGTGTTGGAGAACTCTGAGTGAAACTGCAGTTGTTGGAATGCAATAGCTTGCACGGATATTAAACGCTTCTACAAACACGTGATGAGCTGCTATAGACAACATGACAATCCCTCTTGGAAACATGCTGGACGAGACCTTCGTGAGCGCTTTGCTATGGGGACCGGATGTGCTGGAGCAAGCGCAAACCCGCCCTCAACAGAGTAGGTTCGGGTGGGAGTGGCATGAGCCTGTAGGAAATCGCAGCTAGTCCTTTTGCTCATTGAGATGGGTCAGATGCTCCTCCAGGACCCCCGACGGCTCCTCCTGACCAATAATAGCCTTGATCTGATTGGCGAAAGCGAGCGTGAAGCCGCATCTTGAATGCGAAATCCCATTATTACTGTAGTAGCCATGACCATTATCCGGGACAGGATACTCCAAGCATCGCAGCGAACGCAGCTTGTCCGCAAAGGCCATCACGCTCGACTCGACATCGGACGCTTCCGCACGCTTGGGGAATAGCTTGAGGCTTTGCAGACCTTTGATCAGGCAGCCGTAGACTAGGGAGTCGCATCCGTTGGGCGAGTGACCGCGGCGGGTGCAGATGGTGGTGTCTTCAGGAGCCATTAGGGTAGTCGATTCGTATCGGTCTACCAGCCCGTAGCACATTTCGAGGAGTGCGGAGATGCGCTCTGAGCGGGCTTCGATGATGGCGCCTACGTAATTGTGAGCAAAATGAAAGGGAGACGCAATTTGGCACCAGAGCCCAGGTTAGTCACTAACCTACGGAACCTGGAGGCATAATATCACCGACCATATTTCCCTGTGCGTTCACTATCCGTTTCTCGCCGTTGACTGTGGTGACTGTCGACGTCAACACCAACGAGCGAGAGATCTTTCTGAACACGGCCTCATCGCCAAATGTCCAAGCGATGAACAGCCAGGTCTCGTAACCTTCGTAGCCCTCTCCGCCACTCTGACGACACTCCTCTGCCTGAGCTTGCAGTGGAGCTTGCCATTTCGAGATCCAGGGACGAACGAGTCTGACGGTATTATATCTGTTGGTCAGCCGGTAATCAGCAAGCAACCCTGTAAAAACATCAAGGGGTCCAGGAGCCGCCATACTTGTCACACAGGACCGCCAACTGCAGAAGATGCTCGTAGATGAGGAGCGCGTCCGGTAAATCCGAGAACTGCAAGTGAGCAATTTGGAGTATGATCAAGAGGGCGTCGGAATCATCGTCCGGGAAGCTGAAAACGCCCGATGAATGCCTGGCCCAGTGGCCTTGGGGATCAAACATTGCACGCCATACGGGGCTGGCAAGGCACATGACTTTGGATGAGACGACGAAGTCTTGCGTGTTGGTACTCAATCGCAGGTCACCTGAAGGGTCCAGGACGGGGTAAGACTGATCTTCTTCCATCATTGGCGTTGGTGATCTTTCACTGCTGAATTTGCCGGTGTGGTCAATTTTTGAGTCAAGCGGGGGCCGTTGAAATTTGACTGGCTCTTTATGAGTTGTCCAGTTGTTTGCTACCCTGTCCAGCTACAGGCATTTAACTTGCAGTAGCGCGGCCTTGAAGCACGTTGCCATTTCGACGCTATTGATCGACCTGGTTGTCTCTCTGATGCTGGTATCTGGTCGCCACCTTCTTCACCCTTGCTCTTGCTATTAACTATGTCTGTTGCCTGTTCAAGACCTGTCCAGAAAAGGGCGCCTTGCGTCATCAATAAAATCTCTGAATTATATACAAGAAGTCAGATACTCTTTTGGCCTCTCACAGAACATTACTACATGATTAATGCAATACCCAGAATGTACCCAAGCACAACAAAGTAATTCCCAAAGACCCGCGACCAACTCATTACTCTGGGGCCCGTCCCATGAGCTGGTCTAGACGGCGACGCCTTGTTCCCAGGCATCGAAGTCGAACTTGGAGAACTTCCCGCCTGAGACGTTGGGATCGAAGTCACAGTACTGTTCACCAGAACAATGGATGGCAACACCGACGAATTCATTGGTGTGGACCCATTGCCAGGTACAGCACCGAAACCAGCCAGAATCAAACCGCCGAGTGGAACATCGCTTGGCGCAGCTGCGGTTGCTGTTTTCCCATTTAGAACGTACTGCAGAGCTGATGGCGATACCTCTACAAACAGTTGTTCAGGTGTCGCGTATACTGATGCTTCAACGAAGACCTGGCTGGGCAAAGCGGATGCTTGTTGGGGCACGGTAGTGGTGCCGATGACGCTTGATGTCGCTTCTGTGAGAACGGAGGGGATTGATCCAGTGTAGGTGATGATGTGACCGCTTGATGAGTACGTGACGCCCGGTATGAGGGTTGTTTCAATGTTGGATGTCCCGTATACAAGACTCGCCACGGATTGCTGCCCAGCAACTTTAGTGTTAGCTGCAAAAGCGAGAGTTTTGCCATCTTCGACCAAATTATCGGCACCCACTGAGACGACATGTCCAAACAGACCGATCTGACTCCCCTGTGGTATCGTGACACCTGCAAGGACCAATCCACCGTTCGCAGCTTCCATTACAGGCTGGTTAGCAATTTCGAATGGAGTCGGTGTCTCAAGAGGATGTGCAGTAACAGGTCCGAACGCATGAGTCGTGCCGTCCAGAACGATATTACCTAAACCAACAGAAATAGCATGACCGAGCAGACGAGTCATGCTCCCTTGAGATACCGTGCTGCCCGCTATGACTAGGTCGCCATTTGCAGCTTTTAATACGGGCTCATTGGCTATTTCGAGTGGTGTCGATGTCGGTGTCTCAACAGGATAAGCAGTGACAGGTGCGAGGGAATGGGTTGTACCATCCAAAACGACGTTATCGGAGTTAGCCACTATGACATGTCCGAGCAAGCTAGTTGTGCTTCCCTGAGATATCGTAGTACCTGCTACTATCAAGTCACCGTTCACGGCTTTTAGCACTGGGTTTCTACCCACCGAAAGTGGTGCTGGCGTTTCCATTGCAACAGCGTTTGATGACTGAACATTACTAGGCTGGAAGGTTATGCCACCAGCCACGACAGGCTCATGGGTATCTTCCCCAACGCTTTGTAGTATTGGCGCAAATGTGATCCCGCCTGCAACTACAGGAGAGGCCTTTTCCACCCATGGCGCAAATGTGATGCCATTTGTGACGACTGACGAGGGGGTCTGTATCGTTGGGGCGAAAGTAACCCCGGCCACAACCACCGGCGGGTGGTTTTGTTGGCCTTGCGTTGATGTGGGAATCGCAACTGGAGTGGAGTCGTAATAGATCGAACCTGCCTTGTACAGGGCAGTCTTCCCACCGAGAAACGCAGAAGGGCCATTTTCCGTAAGCGTTTGGCCTTGGGCAACAACCACGTTAGTCGGAGAAGCCTTAGGAATTGGTATGGGAGTTGAGTCGTAATAGAGGGACCCGGCAGAGTACACGGCCGCCTTCCCACCAATGCTGGCGGTTAGACCGTTTTCCGTGAGTGTCTGACCCTGGGCAACCACCACGTTAGTGTCCTCGGCTTTAGGAACGGCAATTGGAGTCGAGGAGTCCAGGTAAATGGAGCCTGCGGAATACACGGCAGCCTTTCCGCCGAAATTGGCTGAGGACCCACCTTCTGTAAGCGTCTGGCCTTGAGCAACGACAATGTTAGCCGGAGTGACTTGCGCGCTGGTAGGAACCGCCACCGGAGTCGAATCCACATAAACAGAGCCCGAGGAATACACAGCAGCTTTCCCACCAATATTCGCTGAAGGACCATTTTCCGTCAGCGTTTTACCTTGGGCAACAACGATGTTAGCCGCAGACGCTGGAGTTTGAACAGGTGACTTGACAATGACTGCAGCAGCAGACCCTGGTACCTGGCCACTTGGATCGTCGTTGCCCGTAGCTACTTTCTGCGAGTCCGGGTCAGTTCCAGACGCTGGGGTTTGAGTAGGGTTGTTCGCCACGACCGCTGCTGTAGGCGCAATCAACTGGCCGCTCGGATCATTATTGGCCGCAGCTGCTTCCTGCGAGGTCGGATCACTATCCTCCGGTGAAGCCGCAGGTGTTGCCACCACTTCATGGGTGTTCCCATTCAACAAGGTTATATCATTCGACTTGATGACAGATGCTGGTGGGTCATTTGCTCCTGCCATTTGTCCAGCGTTGTTTGGCGCTATTGTCGCAGGGGGAATTCCAGCAGTAGGAGTCGCCTGAGCTACGGCGGGCAAAGCTGGAACAGGAGGCGGAGGGGGCGTGACTGCTGCAGGACTGGCTTGAGCGGGAGCGAGACCACTAGCCTTCGTCAAGATGCTTGGCGGATCAAAAGCTCCATAGAAAAGAGGTTGGCATGTCTCCCAAGCAGGGACGACATCAATCAGGTCCGCAGGCAAAGACAAACGCGGATTCGCGTAGGGAGTACAGCCCGGTTTGTAGACTGTACTCGTGACAATAGGCGTGTAATAGAGCTCGCTGAAGTCGATAGTGTGAAATCCACCCTCGATGTACTGCTCATCGCAATTCGGTCCTGGATTTGTGACTGTTCCATAAGCAAGGAAACGCGAAGAATACCCGATTGTCTTCGCTGCATAGGATGGTCCCACAGGATCTCCGGAAGCTGACAAGTCGCACTGACCCGTCGCCGACACCGTTGCCTGCAGCTCGCTGTATATCACGTATACCGAAGGAGATGTACTTGGCGAAGATCAGCTGCAATAACCTGAAGATGGCCGCTCTGCTGGCTTACTACGTGAATCCATTATCCACTGTGGTGTACGGTTGAGTTGGGTTTGCGTTTGCGGTGACATTCCCTTGAGATCCCACACCGTCCGGTTCCTGTAGAGATTTCAGTCAATATTTCTCCTACGAGGCCCAAAAATCGAGCAATGAAACACAGCGGAGAGGTATCAAGGATTTTTGCTCCAGCAGCGCTCCCTCTAGGCTAAAAATGCGAGCAATCAAACACCTCGGAGAGGGATTAAGGATCTCTTGCGACTTGAATAATGGTTCGAAACGGGAAGGATCGCTCCGAAGATATACATACCCAGTATACCAAACGAATCCCTCCGGGAGCCTCTATAATGCATAGTCCACAGTAGTCTGCAGGTGCTTGGGGGAGCAGAGTCGATGCTGGATCGAGGGACGAAAAGGATGCTGGATCGAGGGATAGAGAAGATACTGGAGGGAGTAAACCGGATACATTCAGGTGGCGAGGGTGAACTCCATTGCCCGACAACTTCCCTGCAAACACAAGAACGTAATTAGCAGACGTGAACCAGAAGGATAGACGCACACATGGAGAAAACACTCATGTATCATCTCTAGCGTAAGATAGAAGCAACATATCCTGCACTCTTTCACTACATCAAGCAACAAGGGAAGTTATTGACTTACTAGCCGTAATACTGTTCACCAAAATGCCCCAGGATATCCCCCATCGCCAAACGTTATTGAAGGTCAACATAAGAGACAATGAAGGATAAGATCAGATACAATGAAGACAGCGTAAGCCAGGCATTATACCTGACATAAGGTTCCCATGAGGATATCAGCTTCTTATGGGCACTTTCCATGTAGAAACGCCCGCCGGGGGTGCTGATTCTGGCCTGGTCTCACGCACGAAATGGTGTGATGCGAGTAGTCCTTCAAAATCAGATGAGTGGATGGATGTTCGAACGAGGCAGGATGCCTTATGCTTGCGGATGGCAATGGCATGTACTCTACCGTGCCACCAGGAGGTTCGTGAGTAATGCAGGGGCTGAAAGCAGATGCCACTTGCTTATACTTTTCATGATGAAGATTGAAGAGAAAACTTGTCAACGATTGAAGGAAGCAGTCCATGATTTTCGAAGAGAAGACGGAGATTCGTCTGGGCGGGTGGTGGGATGAAAGCATCAAAGTGACACAGAGATGGTCTCATCATCTCATGATTGGGTACGGCATTCAATTCTCATAGCGCTGAAACAGACCCTTAGCTTCCCGCCTTAAGCCTCATGTCAGCATATATGCAGGAACTAGCGACGAGCAGACAGAAGCTGCCTGTCAAAATTTGGACCGCATCGTCCCGCTAAACATTCTAATAATTGCTTGGGCGTAACAAGCATCAATCCATTCCGAGACAGAAATTCTCCTCACCATCCTGACTACCTACTGTACTGTTGCTACATTGCAATTTCGTCACTTTCTGTGCTGCCGGAGGCCTGACTCCTTATTACGAATGCCTACATATTTTATTCTCACTCATCTCGCAGCTTCGCGATTATCAATAGTCTAACGCATATTTTCAGTGGCTCGGTCGGTCCGAGGATGGCGGCGGGCATTTGACAGCTCGGCTCTGGAATCATGATGAGGCTGAAAGAGAAATGGGAGCTGAAAGTTCCAAGCGAACATGATGTTGACAGAAGCAATCTGTTTCAAACAATCGACACAGTGCCACGGTGGTGTGGCCAACCTCGTTTTGGCCATGGCCTTCACATCCGATCTCTCTTCCATCTCCCCGTATGCGACGCAATTGACGAAGCATTTGGGGGCGAAATCCAATGGCAAAAGCTTCCCACTATTCACTAATCAGTACTGACAATCGAATGATTCGGCGCTGAGAAGTCTCGAGATGGTGATGCTACTCCAGCAATCATGCAGGATGGCAACCACACACTTTTAGGGGGGCATGCTCCCTCACTCTTCTCCTGTTACGGTAAGCGATGCTCACAATGGCAGCTGATCGACCCGAAGCAATTGTCAGCGCTGGCAGTATAATAGGTAAGCACCGTGGGAAGATCAGGGCCATACTGCTCACACCCTCACACTCTGTTCAATCAGGCAGGCACAGACTTTTGCCGGCCATCATGCGAATCCAGAGAAATTAGATTTTGTTTTGCGATGGCGATGAGTATGCATGAGATATATATATGGCGTGGTGGTCAGTGTTCGGACACGGGAGTGAAACAATGATTAATAGGCCAAATAGAAATTGTCTTCATCAGGGTAGAAACAAGACAGGAGAAGGCTACACGGAAGTCTTAAGCAGAAATTCATCCAAAGTCAACATAGAAAGTCGTCATCTAATTTTATACGGTTGAGCCAGACTATAGTGCGTATAAGTATGGAAGAGTGAAGTAAGAAAGTTCCGCGGATCAGGATCAGCGGTAAAATAGGATTCGGGTTCAAAGGCCCATCTTGTTCAGCCATCTTGATGATGAGAGCCTTCTTTGTCAAATCCACAGCTTGTGAGCTTTGAGTCTAATCAAATTGGACGCTCGACTGTTTTCAGGATTGGTATTTTGCGAGGTGCCAGCTGACAGTACCTTGAAAACAAAGTGGCCAAGCAAGACTAGGTACCTAGTACTAAGGTAGTACCTACAGTATTAGAGCCATGTCAAAAAGCGGCTAGCGCAGAACTCCTCTATGACTCCAGTGACTGAATCTGTAGAAGCTTGAGATTTTGCCATCTCTACAACCAGCACATCTACCAGTCGTCATGCCCTCCGCCGAGCCTCCCTCTTTGTCCTCCAGGCCTTCAAAGCCATTCTCCATCTCCTTTGGGTCCGCAAGACCTAAGACTGCCCCCACCCCGGGCCCCAAGAAGCGTCCCCACTCTGCCCTCGCAGACCACTCAGACGGTGAAGATGAAGCACAGCCTGCGGCCGAGCTAGTGTCCGGATTTGACCAATCCGGTGCTGTTGTCACTAATGGAAGGAAAGAAGAGAAGGCGCCACTTATCATACAGGTGGAGAAGAACCGCGACTGGAGGGAAGAGAGCAGGAAGAAGAGGCGGAAAAACCTTTTACCAGCGGAGGTACAGGCCGGTCGATCAGGAAGGTCGGTGGAGCTGAAGGCCGCCCAAGTGGAACGGGATGAAGTCTCGAGACAGTCGGGCATATCCTTTGTGCAGAAGGATCAAGATGGCGACACCACAATGGCTGAGGGGCAGGCCTCCCAACATGCCATAGAGCAGACACCCAAATCTACGAAGACTGCCGATGAAGAAGCGATGGAGGCCCTACTGGGTGGCGAGAAGAAGTCGAACCTCGTCGTCCCCGCCCTAGAGAACGAAAGGGATGGCTACCAGCCCGAGGAAGACGCCTACGAAGACAATACGAATGAAGATGACCGTTTCAAGGCCGACGTCGCATCCCGTCCTGACGTTCCCACATTAGATGATTACGAGGCCACCCCTGTCTTCGACTTTGGTCCGGCCATGCTCCGCGGCATGGGCTGGAAAGATGGAGAGCCAATCGGCAAACGAAGAACCCAAGGTACCACGACCAACAAACCTCGTATCGTGGAGAGGCGACCGGCTTTGTTGGGTATTGGTGCGAAAGAGGTGCCGACCGGTGTCGGCGACGATGAGCTTGGGAGCGTGGGGTAAAGGGGCGAAGGGGAAGCGGAAGACAGATCTGACGTACAATCCCGTGATACTGAAGAATTCGAAGACTGGGGAGATGGTGACGGAGGAAGAGTTGGCGAAGAAGAAGTTGGAGCAGAACGGGAAAGGGGAGGAGGAGGACTCATGGAGGGAGAGGAAGGATAGGAATCTTGCTATTGATGCGAGGAAGAAGGAGGAGAGACGAGAGAGATTACTGATCGAGGAGAATGGCCACAGCTCATCCCGACACAGCTCATCCAGACGGGAAAGAAGCCGGTCGAAGGATCGAAAACGAAGGGATCGAAGCCGGTCGAATGAGCGAAGTAGTCACAGCTCTTCACGCCGACGCTCAAGATCGAGGGACAGAAGCCACCACTATGGCTCATCGCGAAGGGACCGAAGCCCATATAAATCCTCAAGACGAGACCGAAGCCGATCTGATGAGCGCAGACATCGGCGGTATTGATATCCTTGAGGGTCAAAGCCCATCACATAAAGATATCTATTGATGATCAAAAGCCAAATGCGCCCAACGATTGGGGTATCTGGTGCCCCCAAACAACTGAAACATGGCTTCAATGAAATTCTCAGCACGCCGCCCTTCCGTATGTTCTGAGCTTTTATCCGTCACTGAATCGCACATTCATAGCCTTCCCCACTCAAACCACTTCCTCCCAACCCACCAACTTAAACCCACGCTAACCTGCCAAACAGCAAATCCAACCCCCATTTCTAGTCCGTGCACCAGCACCATCTTGCCCACGTAGTCAGCTACGCCCCTCCATCCCCCTCTCAACCCCATTCCGAACCACCCTCCTAGTGGATAGACTTCCCCCTTCCACCTCTCCGACGCCACCTTCGCCCCAACATTCGCAGCAGGCCAGGATAGGAAAGACAACGCGACAGAACGCACATACAGCGCCTCGAGCGGGAAAAGGAGTATGTCAGTAATATAGCCGGAAAGGTGCTGCGCCATGCTGTCCGCGGCCTGTGCGCTGAGTGTGGTAATGCGGTGATAGGGGTAGTAGACATTGTTGGGACCAGTCGTGGACGGAGAAGGTGGGTCTCGAGGGTGACTGTTGTGATGACGGCGGCGGGGAAGGGATGAGACGGGCACAGGAATGGCGAAGCTCATATGGACAGTGCCGCTCGAGGTGGTGGAGCCGGTGATTTCGATTTGACGGCGTGGAGTCGAAGTGCGAGAGGAGGAGGAGGATGAGGAGGCGTCGTCTTCAAGAGGGTCCATGGGGGCAGGCGTCGGTGTTGGAAGTGGTAGTGGTTCCGTTGCTGGTGAGCTGCTGGGTTTTCTGGACGTGCCTGCGAACAGACCCCAGAATTGGTCGTACAAGATCTGAAAATTCCTGCCAACGTACTGCAAGTCCTTTGCAAGCTCTTCCGTTACGCTTCTGCTCTCCCATAGCTCGGGAGTGTCGACTGCATTACCGAGTCCAGGGATGTTGTCCCTATCAATCTCATCCTCAATGGCAGCCTGAATAGAGTATATGTCAGGGAAGTCTGGTGCGGGGAGAGCGGCGCGCGTGTATTTCTGAACCTTGCGTTCCACTAGAGGTTTCATCCACGATCGTACACATAGCAAGACCACCGGACTGACAGCGAGGGACGCCAGAAATCGAACGCAAGATGCGCCGTCTAGCCGATCTGGGAGATTAGGTAGGCGTAAAGGTGATGACGGAGAGAACGGGACGAAAGCCTTGGGATGCGGTAAAAGTGGCCATGCAGGAAGGAGACCTTGATGCTGTAATGTTGAGAAGATTTTGAAGGGGGTAAGAAGCCCAAGGGTTGTCAAGTTGAACCTGGTTTCTCGGATGTTAGCGTAGAGCAGTCGGATCCAGTGGAGTGACACCCACAATCTCCGTGCGTTCTTCAAGACGAACCATGTCATCTTTCGTGTGATGAAAGAATCAAAAGGTATGTCAAGCTGACTAGCAAGTCTCTCGATGAGCATATTCATACCCAAAATTCGACCGGCATTGAGAAAGATATACACCGTATCTGCAGCACTACCCGCAAACAGACCCTTGAAAAAGCCGAGTGTCAACCATTCTGATTTGATGATGGCCGTCAGAGGTACTTCAGAGTAAAAGCGAAATGTCTAGGTCTGCGGTCAATAACCCTTCACGTGCTTCATTCTCATCCGCATACCTGTAATCTATATCTCAAGCCAGTGGTGCACATGCCAGCCAAATTATCTACAGCCGCCTCGGTAAAGCCAACGAGCATGCCGATCTCATTCTCTCTGATGACGCCAGTGACCTTGGACTTGTCCAGAGCGACTATGCTACCATCATGGACCGGCCTTATCTGGCCATCGGCATCTACTCCAACACACACACCCACTGTGGTTAGGACATCGTTGATGGCCCTTCTAGACTGCCTGCTCAGAGCCCTTGAGGCCAAATTCTCCGGGTATCCTTTCCGATCATATTGCTGTTGGTAAGACCCAGAGTCAGCTTGGCGAAGGGTGTTTGTGGCTGGCTCAGTGGTTTCTCCTGGATTATCTGCAATGCTCTGTAAAGCTTGATTTTCATTTCCTGTGGTGCCTGTCCCTGTCAGAGGTTCGAACGCAGATCGACCCTGACGAAGCTACATTAGATCTTATGTTCCACTTGCTGGCTGCTTATATACTCGCAAGTCATGATTGCTCAAGAGGTTACACTTCGTTCTTGATGAAGCCATGATCAAATGTTTGTGAAGAAAGACCGGCAAGTTTGTTGAAATGGTAAGATATCGAACACAATCTCAACGAAGGAAAATTAGCAAACTTGTACTCACCAAACAAACGCGGGTCAAGTAGGCCTGACGGCCCATTTGAGGTCAGACTGCAGGCCTACCTCTTTTGGCCTTCTGGGTGGTATTGAGTCTGGTTGCGCTGAGATAGAGCCTGTTCTGCAAGTTGAGGTTGTTGCATAAGCATTGTTGCAGTGCGTGGGTGTTTTGCAGTCTTTCTTGTGGTCTAATCATTATGCCTACCTGCTGCGCTAACCGTATGTAGAATCATGTATAGATATCCTTCAACGTGCCATTGTCTATGTCCACAGACCACTTTTGATTGCGCCACCTCTTGGGTCTAATCGTCATTCGAGCAGCTTCCGCCGGCTTCCGACTACATACTGCGAACGATATGATACATGAGACGCAAGCATGGTGAAGATTAATACGAAGATAATCTAGTAAGGGCGTGCTCCAAGTATATGGCGGTGGATCTCGCCCCTCCATAAGAACATGAAGGCAAGTTGGGCATCCTGAAATGAATCGTCGCCAGCCTATGAGGCGTGACAGCAGCTTCATTTCCCTTGTGCAATACCTTGTCTTGGGCTTTATACAAAGATTCACCAAGTGTTGCTCCATTATTTCTCTCCTTCTTTATCTCTCTGCCTGCCTCCAGTGCTTAACATGGCAGATACGAAAAGAAACACGGATGGATACAAATATAAGAACGGCAGCCTTTCTAATTGTTGCAGTAGTTCGTTGGCGAAGACAACAGAGGGATCCCACTTCCAATCTCGATTTGTATTGGACTCTGTGAGGGTTCACTTATGCGCAGGAGAGGGTTTCAAGCCAACGGAGGGCGACCTGGAAGTTTGGAAGATATGTGTAGTGAACGTTCCCGTACTCATAAGAGAAAGAGTATGAGAAGTGAGCTCTAGGGATGTATGGAGAACAGCTTCGGATCAGTCTGGGAAACTGCTTTTGAGCAATGCTCACCATCGAGATGAGTCGTTTGTGAAGATATTTGGGAGGGAGGTATTCCGGCATCGTCGCTTCATACATCCCTCAAGATCGCGGTCTGCAACCTGGCATATCTAATTATTTTACTGACTTGATATTCACAGTCCGGATCACAATAGGTATACTTACCACAGAGATCTTTCATATTGGCGCCGACATGGACTCGACGCTAGAAGATTCGTTCCGAGAATCCAAAGCAGGGAAAGAAATTGGACCCACTTTGAAAGTTAATTTTAGCGGCCGTCAGGGTTCAGGTCAGGGTCCAGGTCAGGGTCCAGGCTAATGAACCGAGTTTTTCGATCCGATCAGCCTGAGTTTCACTGCATTCGGCCACACGTGTTCCTTACCAATATTAGGTTAAGGACACATAACATTTGGCGCTCCACAGAAGGCCGCGCAATGGAAAACGGACGTGGCGTGCAAAGAGAGATTCAGGGGTCTTTGTCGATCGATCGAGCCGGACAATAAAGTAAGGTAGGTATTTAATCATAGCAATTAGCAAGTGCGAAGTACCTTAAGTCCGCAACTCGCGATTTTGGGCGTATTCCGCTACTCTGATCTTTTAGCACCGCCCCTACCAATTCATGTTCCAACAACATTCTTCTCTTCACTTCCCCCACACCACCCCCTGTCTCTCAACCTCTGCCTCCAGAACCCACCATGCAGCATACCTCTACATCTCTACCAACACACCTATATCAACGCTTCTCCGGCTTACAGCCACCATGGACCACAACCAGATATTCTCTCGAAGAAGGATCGAAGCACTCATCGCTGCTGGCCGTGTCATCGTTATCACAGAAGGGAGAGTACTGCAGCTTGACGGCTGGCTAGACAAACACCCTGGCGGACGGTTGGCCGTACTTCATATGGTTGGAAGAGATGCTACCGATGAGATTAATGTGTAAACACTCCTGCCCAACCTTGTTTGGTCAAATTCCTGCAACCTTCCTTTCCGAGGACGGTAAGTATTCGATCGTCGACCACGCTCCTTAGCCTGGCTGACTCTCATGTTCGTGATGCTTTGCCTTGTCCATACTGCAAGTCAACACTTGGCTGACATGGTTCCTTTGTGTCTGCAGCTACCACTCCCACAAGGCATTGCAAATGATGAACAAATACCGCATAGGCCTGATAGCTGGGCCGTGGGTAAACTTTACACCACCAATAAGAGGAGGCATCTACCGGGATAACACAGAAGCTGCTCAATACATTCCTGACGACGAAGATGGCGACGACGCTGGCAGCTCCTGGAGCTCAAGCCTAGAGTCTTTGAATTCCAGTACGACAAGCCTCGACTCCATGACAACTGAGGATACCAGCCACTCGGCTATGATCAGTAGTCATCCCAACAAGGGCCTTGACCAGTACTCCTCATCTGTACACCATGATCAAGGCACGGAACATAGACATAAATCTTCAAATGCCCAACTGAACGATCATCAGCACTTGTCGCCCACGGACTACACATCGTCTGCTGTACAGAAAGCCATCGACAACGATGTCCGGGACAATCCCTCATTAGATGCAGAGACACAGCGCGCGATCACCTTGAAATATCAGACATTGCATCAGCGAGTCAAAGACGAAGGTTTCTATGAATGCCATTACATCGAATACGGCAAGGAAATTATACGATACATCCTCCTGTTCTCTCTTTTTTTGACTTTCCTTCGAGCGGAGTGGTATCTGACTTCCGCATGCTTTCTCGGTCTATTCTGGGTAAGCTCATGTACTCCATTCAGCAGTCCTCAATTTGCTGATCCGCCAATAGCATCAGATCATGTTCACGGCGCATGACGCAGGCCATAGAGGCATTACGCACAATTTTGTGGCTGATACCATGATTGGTATTTTCATTGCCGACTTTTGTTGCGGACTGTCGATAGGCTGGTGGAAAAGCAGCCATAATGTTCATCACCTTGTGACCAACCACCCAGTATGTGATATGACTTCAGTGGAAAGTATCTGCTGATCTGAACAGGAACATGACCCTGATATTCAAAACGTACCTTTGTTCGCCACTTGTCCATCCTTCTTTCGCTCCCTCCATTCCAGCTATTACGACTTCACCTACACCTGGGATGCCTTCGCCAACATTGCGGTCAAGTACCAGGCTTACACCTACTACCCAGTCATGGGCATTGCCCGATTCAACCTATACCTCCTATCATGGCTGCACCTCCTCTCTTCTCGCTCCACAAACCTTGGCTGCGCAGCCTGGACTCGGCCTACCGAGATAGCATTCATGTTGGGCTATTGGTTTCTGTTCGGGTATTGCTTGTTATGGCGAAGTATTCCGACCTGGACTCTACGCGTCGCTTTCGTTCTCGTTTCTCACATTATCACTATGCCGCTACATGTGCAGATCACACTTTCGCATTGGGCAATGCCAACTGCCGACCTCGGCGATGCAGAGTCTTTCCCTCAACGGCAGTTGAGAACAACAATGGACGTTGACTGTCCTGCTTGGTTTGACTTTGTCCATGGTGGTCTGCAGTTCCAAGCCGTGCATCACCTCTTTCCTCGGGTTCCTCGGCACAACTTGAGGAGACTGCAAGTGCTCGTAAGAGAGTTTTGTGAGGATACGAACATTGAGTATAAGATCTTTGGGTTTGTTGAGGGTAATAAGCAAGTGCTGGGAAAGCTGGGCGAGGTGGCAGCGCAGGTGGAAATGATGGTCAAATGTCAAACGTACATGGCTGCAACTGGGGAGAGTGGGCTGCATTGAGACATTGTGGGCGGTCTCCTGGTAGGGCAAAAGCGAGTCTGTAATAATATTAAGTGCGAATTTCCATTTTTTTCTTTCTTTCTTTCCAGACCCTGAAAGGATCGTTATCTCTGCTGCTCTTAATAGCTGTGCCAATAGAATCCCACACTCGATCAATTGCGATTACGAGATAGGGGTCCACAACGCGCGGCGGCGCAAGGTGGGTGCGCCTAGAAACAAGTTATTAGCGGAAGTAGCTTTGCATAAAATAGATAACAAACCTGCAAGTAACACACAAGTTCCAAGGGTACACCACAGACCAAACTTATCTTCTGCGACTTGAAGAAAACGCGGGTACTTAATAATTAATGGACTTGCTCGGTGAAACGCGTACCCGGATTGAATGTTTACCCATCAACTCTGTTGGGCTTAGATCTCCCGGGTCTCCGATCTCCCGCTAATTTCCATGCATGTCATTTTGATCTCCCGCCGCACCACCTAACCTAAACCTTACTTTATCGTGAAAGTGAAAGAAATTTTGGAGCAGCTTCATTCTACACTTGAGCCATATTACAGTTGATCATTCTCACTGCTTTAGTTGTAAAAGGCATCAAACCCAACAAATGCGACCATCAGTAGAGGACATGGCCCATGTTTCGCACCATTTATGAGGGAGTTTGATCTTCCTTATTAGTGAATCACTTGTCTCTCCTTGCACTTGAAGGCAGCGAGCATGTCTGTGAGGAAGAAGCTTACGACCACCTATGACCCTGAGCGGACTATACAGCCAATCTATACCAGCGGTGATGTTGCCCTTGACCGAGAAGGACGGATCCTAGCAACATGCTTGGGCGAAGAAGCTCTGCTCACGGATTTGGGCACTGGGGAGCTACTGGCTCGCATAGAGGGTGTATGTAGAGATGATCTGGCAGTCAACATATCACGCTGAGGGTTTGATAGGATGGCGAGGTCCTAACGACGCTCTCACGTAACTACCCCTCTCGATACATCCATGTGGCCGGGCTAACCCTTTCATTCAGTCACGCCAAGCGCGTCGCATCTCATAGCATGTTCTCGTTCGTTATCCATGAAGATGTATGCATTACAGCACTCCGAGAACGACACACCCTTAGTCAATGCATCACTATTAAGAACATTGAAGCCTCACACAACCCCGGTGATTACGGCTGCAGTAGACAGTACCGGGACCCTACTGGCAACAGGAGGCGCTGATGGAGTCCTCAAAGTATGGGATATCAGGGGAGGATATGTCACGCATACCTTCCGTGGCCATGCTGGTGTCATCTCTGCTCTACATTTCTTTGAAGTCTCGGCTGCCGAGCATGACAAGAACACGAAGTCCAATAAGAAGCGACGATCGAGGAGTGATTTGCAACGAGATGAAGACATGTCTAAAGGTCATGATTTGGGAGCAGCATTCCGCCTGGCATCCGGCAGCGAGGATGGCAAGATAAGGATCTGGGACCTCGCAAAGCGTAAATCAGTGGCAACGTTAGATTCTCATGTTTCTGTCGTTCGGAGTCTCGATTATTCGGCAGACTCGCATACCTTTGTTTCTGCCAGCAGAGACAAGACTGCCATTGTTTGGGATGCCCGCACTTGGAAATCGAGAAAAGTCATGCCCATCCTTGAGAGCGTTGAGGCCGTAGGACTACTCGAGGAAGGTACCCTGCTTTACGCTGGAGGCGAACGCGGAAGACTGAGAATATGGAATGTCGAGACTGGAAGAGAGGTAACAAAAGAGCAGGAAGCTGGTGGAGAAGGACATGGAATTGTGCACGTTTTGCAAAATTTCAGTCAGAGGTTCCTACTTTCTGTACATGCAGATCAATCATTGATACTCCATTCGACTGCTTCCCTCTCAGAAATACCGTCTGACGTCCTCATCGAACCGCTGCCTATCATTCGTCGGATATCTGGAACGCATGACGAGATCATAGACCTAGCTTATGTGACGCCAGATCGGGCGCTGTTGGCCTTAGCCACCAACTCTGAAGATATCCGTCTTGTCTCTTTGGCAAGCTCGAAATCAGATTCACTATCAGCAACTTCTGCGAGGTACTTCGGCGCTGACGTCGCCCTCCTCGAGGGCCATGAGGATATTATCATATGCCTCTCTGTCGATTGGTCTGGCTGCTGGCTCGCAACAGGTGCCAAAGATAACACAGCACGTCTATGGCGAATAGACCACGCCTCAAATTTGTACCAGCTATACGCGACATTTACAGGCCATGCCGAATCAATCGGAGCAATATCTCTCCCCTCGTCAGCACCACCTCAAAACCCACCTGAACGTACGAATCCTCTCGAGCATACTCCACCGTTCTTTTTGACAGGTTCCCAAGACCGCACCATTAAACGCTGGAACGTTCCCAAAACGTCAACATCATCCTCCAGAGCGCTATACACTCGCAAAGCCCACGACAAAGACATCAACGCCATATCCCTCTCTTCAACCTCCTCTCTTTTCGCCTCCGCCTCCCAAGATCGAACCGTCAAGATCTGGTCAACAGAAGAAGGTGAAGTCCAAGGCATCCTCCGCGGCCACCGTCGCGGCGTTTGGTCCGTCGTCTTCGCACCTAAAGACACCCCCCCCAATATCTGGGGAGAATGGACCTGCAAGCTCCAATCGAGGACTAGTACTAACAGGCAGCGGGGACAAGACTGTCAAGATCTGGAGTCTGAATGATTACAGCTGTCTGCGCACACTAGAAGGCCATACCAACAGCGTACTCAAAGTGCTCTGGCTTCCAACCACATCTTCATCAATCACATTGAATGCTTCGGCCTCATCAACACGTCCCCCTCTCATCGCTTCCGCTGGAGGCGACGGTCTCCTGAAAGTCTGGGATGCATCAACAGGCGAAGTCGCAGCAACGTTAGACAACCACACCGACCGCATCTGGGCGCTTACCGTCAACCCAGACACCGGCATGCTGGTGTCCGGTGGCGGCGACAGCGTTGTTACGTTCTGGAAAGACACGAGTAGTGAGACGGCGGCCAAGACTTCCGCAGCGGCTACGAGGCGTGTGGAGCAGGATCAGGAGCTGCAGAACCACATCCACCGGGGGAATTACCGGGAAGCCATCACCCTGGCGCTGGCGTTGAATCACCCGGCAAGGCTGCTGAGCCTGTTGCAAGGCGTGGTGGACACGCAGCCGCGGGAAGCGGGGTCGATATCCGGGTCGACCGCGGTCGATCAGGTCCTCGGCTCCCTCGGCGACGAGCAACTCCTCTCCCTCCTCGCCCGGGCCCGGGACTGGAACACCAACGCCCGCACCTGCGCGGTGGCGCAGAGGGTGCTGGGTGTGGTGGTCCGGAGCTACGGTGCCGAGCGGCTGGCCGGGCTGGGGAAGAGGAGGGGCGGGAGGGAGGTGGTGGAGGCGTTGAGGGTGTACACGGAGAGGCACTACAGGAGGATCGAGGAACTGTGGGGGGAAAGCTGGCTGGTTGAGTTTTTGCTGGGGGAGATGGAGCAGTTGGGTGTGGCGGGGGAGGATGTGGTGGGTGCGGAGGGAGGAGGCGGTGGGGATGTCGTTGTGGTAGAATAGCGTGGGTACAGTCAAAATGCCTTTGAGCAAGATCGGTGCAATGCTAAAGGTCAGCTTCCCATGGGGAGGCAGATTTCTGGACATTTTGTGTTCCTCAACAATGCTGAGAGAGAGCCATTTCAAACATGCTGCTTTCTGCCCTCCTTGGTACATCATTTCTCCTTCCCCTTCCCCTCTTTCCGCCTCTCCCACACCATCAACACACTCTCCTTCGTAAACAACGTCTCGGTAACGACCCTCTCAACGTACAGATCCTGTATTTCCAACCATTCATCCCGCGCTCGATCGCGGACCTGTACCCTCCAGACCTTCCTTTCCGCCTCTCCCTCTACACTATCATCCCGCGTCCTCACGGCTTCGTGCGTCACGTTGGCCACAAGATCATACCATATCGGCTCGCCGGGTGAATGCAATGAAGGGTTCGGTTCCACGTATGGTGACATGTCGAGGGACCTGGTGGGGAAAGTGACGATTGTTGGATTATGTTCCACGACGAATTTGTTTTTGGAGAACCGTTTGATGTGGAAGAGGAGGTAAGGTGGTAATGGATGTAACAGTCGGTATCGTTTCCGCGTGTTGAGATGTTCTTGGGATTTCAATCCATCGTACTTCGATAAGATAGAGGTTAGTGGCACCTGCGGTATGATGTTCTTCTCCAATTCGTCCTGGAAGAGCGGCGCCGCCGGCAAGTCAAGGGTTAGCATCAAGTAAGGTGTAGTGTCCACCAGAACTTCTGCAGCCTCTTCGAAGCGAAGACGGTCACCAGCATCCGCTTTGGCGGTGATCTGCTGCGATTCAATTTTCAGCTTTCCTTGGAAAACCCGTTGAATAATGCTAGTTCCGGGTTTCGTTTTGCTGCCCCCGAGGGCGAGGTGCATATTGTTCAAAAACCAACTGAGAAAGTCGACGGGATCGGATTGGTGAAGGAGGTCGAAGCGTTTGTTAGATTGTCGGGAGATTTGCTGGAGAAGCTCGTGAGGGGAGACGTGGGTTTTGAAGGCGCGCGTATTCCATATTTTGCGGACGAGGACCGAGAACCGTTGGACGAGCTCAGATCTTTGGGATAGGTCTTCGAGCATGATGAAGTTTCGTAAGGGAGGGATGTGCGCTAAGGCTTGTATGATGACGTTGAAGTAGTCGTTTTCTTTGATGTTGTTCATTCCTACGAAGCCTACTGGGTGGTCAGCAAGGATTCGAGTCAGAGAACGCAAAACTCGTCATAGCTGAAACCACATCAAAGCAATATGACCAATGAAAGACACACACGACTTCTGATGTCTGTGGGCCAATGCTCTAGCCATAGGGCTTTTGTAAACTGAGACTGGCTCAAAATCAGGATGACATCTCAATCTTACAGCCCAGCTCTCTAGACATCCGAAGAAAAAGAGATATGTTCGTACCTGGTCTATACTTCTTCCCACCCAAATCCCACGCGTCCTTTGCCTCCCTGTCCAATTGCACGATTTCTTCCCTTGCGAGCTGAGGATCCACCACAAATTTGATGTCATCCAAACTCTTGCTCTTCACCTCATAACCTTCTGGCAACACATAAACCCTTTTCGTTTGCATATTGACGTAAACATGGTGACCCACCTCCAAAGCATGAAAGTAGGCATGCGACTTCGGGCCTCGTCCTTGATAATACTTTCCACACACCAAGCACGCGTAGACGTTGATGTTCGATAGAGTGATTGAACAGAGCTTCTCGAAGTCAAAATCCAGTACCGACCGATTTATGGTGTCCAGATAGAGGTCGGAATAGCCCTCGGTTGGGGCTTGCTGCCGTGATGTTACTGAATATGCCGACTTCTCGTCTTGATCGACAGGCTCGCCTGCTGCCTCTTCTAGCTCCTCCTCTTCCTGATCCGCTGCCGCCAAGACATCGTCGCCGTTTCTCTCATCCTCTTCGCGTACCTCTCCATCCACGAGTACGGATCTCCCTAGTACATGACTCGAGCCATTGGTCTGTCGATGGAGGTATGGAAGGTCGTCGACTCGAGCTTTCTTCGACGCGGGAGAGTCAGCAGTCAGTACATCTTCAAGTGACTCTTCCGCCTGCCTCTTGACCATTGTAAGTGTTGCATGTAAGGACTGTTGACTTCAGGTTCGTACGGCGAGACCTTAGGGCGGGCTTGGCAGAGCAAGCCGCCGCTTTAGCGAGTGAGCACTGAGAGGCAACACAGGAGTAAAGCGACACTCGATCCACTTAAATATCTACTTGAATTTTCGATCTGCTTGAATTCTCAAGACCTGCAAGAAGAGCTTTGCCAAGCATAAGCTCAAAGCTTTGTACTGACTGTTGAGGCCTCGATGACCGATTGTATTTCGAAAGACTGTGCAATGACCATGCATTAGCTCCTGACTCACATTGTTGCACCTCTTGTCTAGCCGTTTTCCTCGCAATGTTTATTACAAAATACATTTCTCTTGCACCCGATTGACCTTACACAATGTCATCACCAACAATACACCGTCCTAGCGACACAATCACCACCGAGCGCCTCCTTCTCCGTGCTCTCTCTCCCACAGACAGAGAAGGTGTCTTTGCTATTCGCTCTGAACCCAGGGTACTCTATTGGACCGAACCCGATACGCTGGAGAAGAGTGACGAATGGCTCAGGATAAGGCTGGAAAGTGAAAAGAGCATGACTTATGCCGTCTCGCTACTCCCTTCTACCGACAATCGTTGCCCTCAGATAATCGGCGTGACAGGCGCCCACTCCCTCCCCGAGATCGGCTACATCTTCCACCCCTCCTCTTGGGGCCACGGCTACGCTACGGAAGCTTTGAAGGCTTGGATCCACATGTATTGGCAGAGGTATCCAGATGGGCATCCTGTGCTACATGAGAGTGAGAGGGCGTATCTAAAGGCGGTGACGGGACCGGGTGGAGAGGGAAGTCGGGGGGTATTGAGGAAGTGTGGGTTCAGGTGGTTTAGGGAGGATGAGGTGTGCGATGAGAGGAAAGGGGCTAAGGAGAAAGGTCTCAGCGTGGTGCTGCAAGAATTCAGGCTTGCGAGGCCGGGCGTGGAAGAGTGAGCGGGCCTGCGGCATTTTGTGTGAGATCTATAGAGAGGAAGAAGAGGACAATTTCTGTGTTGATTTGGGCTGGCCTTTGAATTGATGCTTGAGCTGTTATTGGATTCCCTTCTCGTCTCCCCACTTTCTTGGCTTCGACTCCGCTGGTCGCGAATGACTAAGATTGATCGTGTTTGTCCTCATCTTTGTTTTTGGGTAATACGAGACTTTGGCGCTTGCTGGCATGGTTCGCCATATCTTTAGCATTGGGATTGCTGTTGGCGCGATGATATAGGATAGTCATCTAAGTAGACTTGTCTTCAACGTTCGTAGAGTTGAATCGTAGTCGAGATGCGGAGTGTACGATAAGACGGCGGTCACCCTAGGCCTGATAGGGAATGATGCCGGGGGCACATTTCTTCTGGCTTAGCGCTCACGGCGCTGTGCCCGCGGCAAGAAACAGCCGCCAGACTTTTTTGGGAATCATTTTCAAGACGGATTCAGATTTCTACAATTAGACGCTCACCTCGGTCTCAAGCTTCAGGAAACCTTTACAGCCTCTTTCTAAGGAATACCCAAGTGAACTCATCTGATCACAAGATCAGGGCAAGAATTGAACAGCTAAATCTAGAAGTGGGACAAGCAGAACCCTCATTTTGAGGAGGGACAAGCACTGATTCACCGCAATCATGGCGACAAACGGCGATATGCCCTCGGAAGAGGAGTCGGGACCGGAGTCTCCCCAAATGGAGCCCGTCGACGGCCAGGAAAACCACGAGGTCGAAGATCAAGAGCCGCTCGATCAGCCAAAATCGGTGCTCAAAAAATCAGAGCCACTGCCTGAGATAAAGAGACCCGAGCTCCCAGAGCAACCAGATCCAGAAAACCTCGATACTTCGCTATTGACGCCACTTTCGCCTGAAATCATCGCAAGGCAAGCTACGATCAATATTGGCACAATAGGGCACGTGGCACACGGTAAATCGACGGTGGTGAAGGCAATATCTGGGGTGCAGACTGTCAGGTTCAAGAACGAGTTGGAAAGAAACATCACGATCAAGCTGGGTTATGCGAATGCCAAGATCTATAAGTGTGACAACGAGAAGTGCCCTAGGCCAACGTGCTATAAGAGCTACAAGAGTGAAAAGGAGGTAGATCCACCGTGTGAGAGGCCAGGCTGTGAAGGTCAATATAAATTGGTCAGACATGTATCGTGAGTTGCGCCTTTCCCATATCCAGACACTTTGCTGATCAACGTGAAGATTTGTGGATTGCCCTGGTCACGATATTCTCATGAGCACCATGTTGTCAGGCGCAGCCGTCATGGACGCAGCCCTGCTTCTTATCGCTGGGAATGAATCATGCCCTCAACCGCAGACCTCTGAGCATTTAGCAGCTATCGAGATCATGAAGCTTGACCACATCATCATTCTCCAGAATAAGGTCGACTTGATGCGATCAGAAGGCGCGGAGCAACACTTCCAGTCCATCGAAAATTTCGTTCGGGGCACAGTAGCAGATAAATCACCCATCATCCCGATATCCGCCCAGCTAAAGTACAATATTGACGCCATCAATGAGAGAATAGTCAACAAAATCCCTGTTCCCGTCCGAGACTTTGGCGCTGCACCGCATATGATCATTATCAGGTCCTTCGACGTCAACAAACCGGGAGCTGAGATAGAAGAACTGAAAGGGGGTGTGGCAGGAGGCAGTATCCTGACCGGTGTCCTGAAGCTCGGCGATGAAATCGAGATTCGACCCGGTTTAGTGACGAAAGACGAGCAAGGGAAGATCAAGTGCCGACCTATCTTCAGCAGAGTTGTTTCGCTCTTTGCCGAGCACAATGACCTGAAATTTGCCGTTCCGGGCGGTCTCATCGGTGTAGGTACTCGAGTAGATCCCACACTGTGCCGTGCCGATCGTCTCGTTGGTTTCGTTCTCGGTCTTAAAGGTCAATTACCATCGATATATACGGAGCTCGAAGTCTCCTTCGTGCTGCTCCGCCGCTTACTAGGGGTCAAGACTGCCGATGGCAAGCAGGCGAAGGTGGAAAAGCTGTCCAAGGCTGAGGTTTTGATGGTCAATATTGGATCAACGGCCACAGGTGCCAAGATCATGAACGTCAAGAAAGACGCCGCCAAGATTCAATTGACGAGTCCCGCTTGCACAGAAATAGGAGAGAAAATAGCACTGAGCAGGAGAATCGACAAGCATTGGCGGTTGATTGGGTGGGCGAATATCGTTGCGTAAGTCTCTTCTTCCTCGGATCCACGGGATTTTGCGACACTGACATCTGGATCCAGGGGCGTGACACTAGAGCCGAGTCTCGACTAGGCGGTTGCAACGACCGTTATAGAAGCTAATTGCTGTATAAACACGAGGCGGGGAAAAGCTGTTTTCTCTCATCATCGTGATGGAGTTTTGTGTCTTTGAGCATTGCATGCGTCTTACTAGGTGTACTGAGAGCTTGACTCAAAAGCGATTGAGGTCTCGTCGTTCATGCGCAAGCGCTACCTATGAGAAGCCCGACCTTAGATATGTCAGTTGCAAGGCAACACATGTGATGGACAGCGTGTGCGTTTCTCCGAATTGTAACTAGCCTAAAGTAGGAATGAGAACACGATTGTACGTCAGTCAGAGGTTCGCACTAAGTAACATCGAGCCCCCATGCTATGAATGTCTGCATTTCATCTATGCCTTTCCGCCTGGGCCGACCTCTCCGGGCACCAGCCGCTATCTCTGTCATCTCTCGTGCGTCATACTCCGTGGACGCGACTGCTCGAATCTTCTCTTTTAGTCTTGCCTTGGCCCTCTCAAGTGCCCCTTCTCACCATCTCAATGACTCAGGGTACTCCTGCCCTTTAATTGCCTCCTCTTCAACACCATCCTTCCTTTCCTCGTCTTAAGTCTTGCCAGAAATCCAGCCCGCCTCTTCCGCACCCTATGACTTGGATTATATGTATCTCGAGGTCCATTGCGCACCTGTACTGAGGCGAGGGAGGGATGAGTGGAGATGCGGGGGAGGAGGTCGAGGGCAGGCTGAGTAGGGTCGGATTGCGGTGACGATGATGGCGATGGAGCTGACGCGTCTCGACGGAGCATGGAAGGACGGATTGAGGAGAGTATGCTGAAGGCTCTGGTAGTCTGTCAGAAGGGTTTTCGATGGTGACATATATGGGGCGTTACCGTCGCGATGACTTTGGTTTTGTGGAGGGTCGGGCGCGGGGGAGGTTTGAGCGGGCGAGGAATCGAAGGGCACGAAGACACAGCATGATGGCTACTGTGTTGCCTTGCTCAAACCGAGCTGAAGGTAATGGTCGCTGCAAGTGTACATCCAGCGGACAGCCCTATCACACTAAGTTTTATTCTAGCGCAAGACTATAATTTACACTCCCGGAGGCCCGCTTTTCGTGTTTAGCTTCGGACCGAGGCTGCAGCGATATTCACTCTTGCACCACTTGTGATTTCCTTCCTCTTCCAACATAGTCCATTTCAACCCATCAAACATATCTTGGCTTATATCACATGTACCATCTATCTCGTTAGGATTGCAAAATACAAACGTGAGCTGGTTAAAGCCGGATGCCGCGAGGATCAGCAACTCAATCCATCTCTCTCGGGCCAATGTGGGCCGTGACGGGAGAGTGAAAGAAGCAATTTGAGAAGGATTTCGGTTGTTGTGGCCAAATAACCCACCATGACAGAAGACGTTACAACTTTGCTCCATCCTCAGCCGCGAAGGCACTACGACCTCACTCCCACCTCCACCAATTCCTCTCCTTCCTCTCCAACGACGCCCTCTCGAGATTATTCCCGGCAGACCAGTGATTCCTCTCGGATGGAGGCGGAATCAATGCAGAGGGAGATATCTAACAATCGAAACCGGTCCATTCTCAACCTCACCTCCTCCACTCTTTTCGGTATATACACACCTTCCGGCCCCGGTTTCGAGACAAGTCGTGATCAACCATGGGGAAATGGTAGCCAGACACCTCGGCATAGCATCGACGACCAAAAACCACCGGTTATTGGTGCCTACAAGCGTCCGCAACCACGAAGATCACATTCTCATCAACCCCATCAGAGCTTCTTGGAATACATTCTACCTTTAGGCTTACGGACAATCTTGCTTTTCTCTTTCGGCGTGGCGTACGGAGTCATAGTATCACATCTACACGACCATCAGCAGGTGGCACCTGTGCAGCTGGAAGGTATTGAGCAATCATCATGGGCATACTTGATGGCTTGGGGCGTTGTCGGCGTTCTCCTCGGCGGACTGCTGCCGTGGATCGATGTATTCTGGGAAGAGGTCTTGGGGAGGGACAAGGAAGTCTTTGCTTCGGAAGCACAAGATTCGAGGCCTGCAGATGTTAGTGAAGATCAGGACCCGAGACCTGGGTCGAAGTCGGGGAGTGGCTTGGGGGCGGACTGGAATCCTGTTGTTAGGAGCGTAGGGGCCTTCATTGGAATTGCGTTTGCAATTGTAAGCAGTGGCATCAAATCATTAAATGTATAATATGAAGCTAACAGATGATACAGCGCAGGCTCCCCTGGCAGTCGACATCACAGGTATCTCTCACCTTAGCACTCGTCAATCCCGTACTTTGGTACCTGGTCGACCGTTCGAAACCTGGCTTCCTTCTCTCCATGCTTGTCGGCCTTGCGGGGACAGCCATTGCTTTTGGAGTCAACCCGGAGATAGTACCCTCACCAGCGGCTTCATCACCACGAGCAGGTGTAATGAACACGACTCACGATAGCGCGGCTTATGACGGTCTCATCAGTAACGAGAGCATTGGTGTTGGGATTTGGATTGCGAGCGTGCTCTTTTGCAGTAGTGTATGTTTTGGGAATATTGGGAGGAGATTGGCTGGTAGTAGGAGACCAAGTGTCTCGACATAGCACTTATATCCGTAACTTCGACACGCTTGAGAAATGTACTTCACTCAATAGAAATCTCGACTACAGCCACAATGTGAAGTAGATAAGAGGATATGGACATGCGTGAGAATGTACAGCCAGTCATTGCGGCCCTCCCCAAAGCGCGGGAAAAGAGCGCCGCACCCAAGACCGGCCCTTGTGCTTTCGTTCTCCATTCTATTTGACGGTTCCCTGATTTCATGGAGGTCGCATACGCAGCCGTCTCATCGGAATGCTTTTATGAAGAATGTTCATTTTTGCGTTGTTCATGTAGAAAAAAGATCTGTTGCTCGGCTGCAGAAATTCATGTTAGTTTCATTTTACTGCTAGTGACTAGTGTGAGTGTACCGTATTTTATCAATACCGTCTAGGATGCGAAGACGACATTTGACCCCTATGACAGTAGGACGGTCATACGGTGACAGGCCGTTGACCTGACAAATGACAGCGCTAACCGTATACAGTAGGTGTCTAACCGTGAAAGATATAAGGCTAACAAAGTCGGGCGTAGTAAATAGAGGCTTGGCGTTATTAATCCCTAGCTTGGTATGGTATCACTGGTGATACTGGATTTCAGCCCTAATAACCTCTGAGTCCTACCGTTTCCCTCGAATCTCACGCTTTACCTTACTACAACCTTTTGCAGTGCGGTCATTTGGCTATATATGACTGTCAAATGACCGAGTAGGTCTGACCTGACGTCACGTGTCATATGACACATCCGCATCCCTAAATTACCGTCCATCGAATGGAGAAATTTCCGGATGGGCTACGACTACTTCACTGTGACATGGAAGTGAGACACCGCAAGTCTCCCGCCCTGAGAAGGATGGTCTTACGGAGACTTTGAAAGATCGCTAATATAATCATCACCTGAAGTCCCTTGAACGACAAAAACTCTCAACAACTCTGCCAGAGGAGTCACCACAATATAACGAATACTTCTAGGTGAATATTCTTCAAAATGCCAAAAAGCCCATCAATGATGCAGGTCAAGTTTACTTCTCCGAAATGGTGCATGGCTACTGGCGATATGTCGCAGTGACCTCCCTAGGGAGCCAGGTATCATTCCCGGACAGATTCGATCATAGCATCTTGCCATTCTACCGGCAGCGCTACATCCTCGGTGGTCACAATGTAAGTCGATGGCACATCCACGTCCCAGCAAGCCCGCAGTAGTGGCGTTGTACAGTGATTGTGCCAAGATGCTGCCATGATTATGTATGGGATAAAATAGTTGTAGATAAGACAATAATCGTCATGTGAGAGAGTGTGGTCGAAAGATCTCATAGAAAGTACTCGGTATAGACTCCTGAAACTGCAATTTGTAAAGATAGATTGAAAACAGGACGCCATGGATTGATATGGAGTTCTAAATCGGGTTCAATATTTGTGCCAGATATTGGTGCGTTCTCCAAGTACCTATTCTGTACCAGTGCAATCCAATGCCAGTAACTTCAAGGACAATACAGGCTCCGGTCTCAGATGTTCCTGATGCGTGTTCCAGAGGTGAAAATAGTTGGAGGCTGCGCGCGGAAACTCTGAAGGATCGGTGATTTACACCCAGCGTCCCAGCCTTAAAAATCTTGGCACGAGGCAGCTAAAGATTCAGGAGCTTTCCGGCATGGAAGTCAACAACATCACCACATCTAATTTCTTCCCCTTCCTTTTCTTCACACTCATATTGAGGGCGCTCTTCAACGTCTAGTCATTCATTTTGAGCCTACCAGTCAGCTATTTCCTGGCTCCTCAGAGTCCGGCAAGCGCGGAGTTGGTGGATGAGCACTGTGCAACACCTCAATCATGGCGGCCAACGCCCTGCCTATACGCTTTACTGAGCTACTTCAGGTGAGTCTCATGGCCGGCTATATCTGGGCAGATTGGGGGGTACCAGCTAACAGGTCCTTTTGTACAGTTGACGCATACAGAGATTGACGTACGTCCGTCGAAGCTATAACTCATATTCCATCCTCCGCAAGGTCATACTGACATTAGAAAAGCAAAAATCCATAGGCTTCAATTCTTGTGTGAGTGCCACAGCCTCGCAAGCGTGGTCGTAGACTCTGACTGTGAGCAGACACTAGAGTCCGACCACTACATCTGCGTCCGCCAGGCCATTCCGGAAGGCGCCAACCCTGAGGTGATCATAGTCAACCTCAAAAATAACAATGAAATCATCAAGAGGCCGATCAAGGCCGACAGTGCCATCATGCATTGGTACAAGCAGGTCATTGCCCTCAAAGCGCAGCAGCGAACCCTACAGATCTTCGATCTCGGACAGAAGATTAAAGTCAATTCCAACACAATGCTGGAAGACGTGATATACTGGAAATGGTACAGCCCGGATAGCTTGGGGCTAGTAACGGAGAACTCGGTGTATCACTGGAATGTCTTCGAACAACCGTCTTCTACCCCACAGAAAATGTTCGACCGGAACGCAAATCTTTCTGTGAGTGCTACTATATCTTCTACAGGGCACCCCTGACACTGATTTCACAGGGCTGTCAAATCATCAACTACCGTGTGAACGAGGACGAAAAATGGATGGCTGTTGTAGGAATCACCCAACAACAAGGTCGTGTTGTTGGTCAGATGCAATTATACTCAAGAGAGCGTGGTATCAGCCAGGCAATTGAGGCTCATGCCGCAGCCTTCGGGACCGTTCGATTAGAAGGGGCCCCGGCAGACACAAGAGTCTTCACTTTCGCAGTCCGATCTGCGGCGTCAGCAAAGCTACACGTTGTGGAGATTGACCACCAGGCGTCAAACCCTCCTTTCGCGAAAAAAGCTGTCGACGTGTACTTTCCTCCTGAAGCGGTCAATGATTTTCCCGTGGCCATGCAGGTGTCTCAGAAATACAGCGTCATCTATATGGTGACAAAATATGGCTTCATCCACCTATACGACTTGGAGACCGCCGCTTGCATCTTCATGAACCGTATCTCAAGCGAGACAATCTTTACGACGGCCCCAGATTCTGACTCTTCTGGCATTGTGGGGGTCAACCGCAAAGGCCAAGTCCTCTCCGTTAGCGTAGATGAGAATACCATCATCCCATATCTACTGCAAAATCCTGCAAACGGCGCCCTCGCACTTAAGCTTGCTTCACGAGCTGGACTACCAGGAGCCGATAATCTGTACGCTCATCAGTTCGAGAACCTCATGGCTTCCGGTCAATATACGGATGCCGCCAAGATTGCTGCTAATTCTCCTCGGGGATTCTTGAGGACGCCCCAAACGACTGCGAGGTTTCAAGGCTTACCTTCACAGGGGGGGTGGATTGACTCCTCATCTACAATACTTTGGTACTTTACTGGACAAGGGACCACTCAATAGAGCAGAGAGTCTTGAGCTCGGTCGACTTGTGCTTCAACAAAATCGAAAGCACTTGATAGAGAAGTGGTTGAATGAAAACAAATTGGAGTGCTCGGAAGAATTGGGAGATGCTGCCCAACCATATGACCCTGCGCTTGCGTTGCAGATCTACTCGCGGGCCAACGTGCCACACAAAGTCATTGCAGCACTCGCAATGACAGGGCAAATTGACCAGATCCTCCCCTTCGTCAAGAAGACTGGATATCAGCCGGATTTTGCTATGCTGATCCGAAACATCGTACAAACAAATCCTGACAAAGGTGCTGAATTTGCCATCGCGCTTGCAAATGACGAGAACGGACCACTGGTAGATATCGAGCGAGTTGTTGATGTCTTCCAATCTCAAAACCTGGTTCAGCCAGCTACGGCATTCCTTCTAGATGCGCTCAAAGACAACCGGCCCGAGCAAGGTCAACTGCAGACACGCTTGTTGGAAATGAATCTAATCAATGCACCCCAAGTTGCCGACGCCATACTTGGCAATCAAATGTTCTCCTACTATGACAAGGCCCGGATTGCCCAGCTTTGTGAGAATGCTCAGCTCTACCAGCGAGTCCTAGAGAATACCGAAGATCCAGCCGTGATCAAGAGGAACATCGTTCGTACCGACAAGCTCAATAATCCCGAAGGGTGGCTAGTCGACTACTTTGGACGATTGTCTGTTGATCAGTCACTGGACTGCTTGAATGAAATGCTCAAGGCCAATATTCGTCAGAACCTTCATGCCGTCTACCAAATTGCGACCAAGTACTCTGATTCATTGGGACCACACCGTTTGATCGACCTGTTCGAGAGGTATCGAACAGCTGAGGGCCTGTATTACTATCTGGGTAGCATCGTGAACCTGAGCGAAGATCCGGAGGTCGTTTTCAAATACATTGAGGCTGCCACTGCGATGAAGCAGACTACAGAAGTCGAGCGGATTTGCCGAGATAACAACTTTTACAACCCGGAAAAGGTAAAGAATTTCCTGAAAGAAGCCAAATTGACGGAGCAATTGCCACTAATTATCGTCTGCGACCGCTTCAACTTCATACATGACTTGGTTCTTTACCTCTACCAGAACCAGCAATTCAAGTCGATCGAGGTTTACGTTCAGCGCGTCAATCCTGCAAGAACACCGTTTGTCATCGGTGGACTCCTTGATGTTGATTGCGATGAATCAATTATCAAGAATCTTCTCCAATCCGTCGATCCTGCCTCTATTCCGATTAACGATCTCGTTTCCGAAGTCGAATCACGGAACCGCCTCAAGCTGCTTCTACCATTCCTCGAAGCTACACTCGCCAGTGGGAACCAGCAGCAAGCTGTCTACAACGCACTGGCGAAGATTTACATCGACAGCAACAACAACCCCGAGAAGTTCCTCAAAGAGAACGATATGTACGACCCGTTGACTGTTGGTAAATACTGTGAGAAGCGAGACCCCAACCTCGCATACATTGCATACCGGAAAGGCCAGAACGACCTCGAACTCATCAACGTTACCAACGAAAATTCGATGTACAAGGCACAAGCTCGGTATCTCCTCGAGCGAGCTGATCCCGAGATCTGGGCTTTCGTTCTTAACGGCAATAACATCCACCGACGTTCGCTGGTTGATCAGGTTATTTCGACCGCAGTCCCTGAGTCTACTGAACCCGAGAAAGTCTCTGTAGCTGTCAAAGCATTCCTGGATGCCGATTTACCCGCCGAGCTCATTGAGCTTCTCGAGAAAATCATCCTTGAACCGTCTCCATTCAGCGACAACGGCAGCCTTCAAAATCTGCTCATGCTCACAGCCGCCAAAGCTGACAAGGGCCGTCTGATGGAGTACATACATCAACTCTCGGCTTACAATGCAGAAGAGATAGCCAACATGTGCATATCGGTTGGCCTGCTAGAGGAGGCATTCGAAATCTACAAGAAGGGGGAGAACCATGCCGCAGCAACAACCGTGCTGGTTGAGCACATTGTCAGCATTGACCGTGCCCAAGAGTATGCCGAGCGCGTCGAAATGCCCGAAGTCTGGAGCAAGGTTGCCAAAGCTCAACTAGATGGTCTCCGTATTGGTGATGCGATTGAGTCCTACATCCGTGCAGAGGATCCAAGCAATCACAATGAAGTGATTGATATTGCTACTCACGCTGGAAAAGACGAAGAATTGGTCAAGTATCTGCGTATGGCACGAAAGACTCAGCGAGAGCCAGCGATCGACACCGCTCTTGCTTTCTGCTACGCTCGACTGGACCAGCTAAGCGAGCTTGAGGACTTCTTGCACTCTTCCAACGTTGCGGATGTCGAAGCTTCAGGCGACAAGGCTTACGAAGAAGGCTACCACCCGGCTGCGAAGATCTTCTTCACTAGTATCTCGAATTGGGCGAAACTTGCAACAACGCTTGTGCATCTGGAAGACTATCAAGCAGCCGTCGAATGTGCGCGGAAGGCAAATAGCGTCAAAGTTTGGAAGCAGGTCAACGAGGCCTGCGTCGCAAAGAAGGAGTTCCGACTGGCTCAGATCTGTGGTCTCAATTTGATTGTTCATGCCGAAGAGCTTCCGAACTTGATTAAACAATATGAGCGCAACGGCTATTTCGACGAGCTCATATCGCTGCTCGAGGCCGGGCTGGGTCTTGAACGTGCGCATAAGGCCATGTTTACGAGCCTTGGCGTTGTGCTGTCCAAGTATCATCCTGATCGGGTGATGGAGCATCTCAAGCTGTTCTGGGCCCGTATTAACATGCCTGGGATGATCCGCGCTTGTGAGGAAGCACACCTATGGCCTGAACTGATCTTCCTCTATTGTCACGATGACGAATGGGACAATGCTGCCCTGGCGATGATAGAGCGCTCTTCCAATGCCTGGGAACACCATTCCTTCAAAGACATCATCGCCAAAGTCGCCAACCTCGAGATCTACTATCGCGCTCTCAATTTCTACCGTGAACAGCAACCAACATTACTTACGGACCTACTTCAAGCCCTGACTCCTCGTATTGAAGTCAACCGGGTAGTGAAAATGTTCAAGAAGACTGATGACCACCCCCTCATCAAGCCGTTCTTGCTTAACGTTCAAAGCCAAAACAAGAGGACTGTCAATGATGCCATTAATGATCTGCTTATCGAAGAGGAAGATTACAAGACGTTGCGTGATTCAGTTGAGAACTACGACAATTACGATTGGGCAGATCTTGCATCACGGCTTGAGAAACATGAACTTGTCTTCTTCCGGCAAATCGCTGCCAACATCTACCGCAAAAATAAGAGATGGGAGAAATCGATAGGTTTATCCAAGCAAGACAAATTGTACAAGGACGCGATTGAGACGGCGGCGCTCTCTAGCAAGAGTGATGTCGTGGAAGACTTGCTTCGTTACGTAAGTGTCCTCCGACTCCAAAAGTATTTTTTAAAGGCACTTACTGACACAACATAGTTTGTTGATATTGGCAGCCGAGAATGCTACGTTGGCATGCTCTACGCTTGTTACGATCTCATTCGCCTCAACGTCGTGATGGAGCTGTCCTGGCGTCACGGTCTTACAGACTTCAGCATGCCTTTCATGATCAATTACATGAGCCAGCAGGCATCTACGATTGAGGGACTCAAGAAAGATAACGAAGAGCGCAAGGCTCGCGAAGCAAAAGAGCAGAAAGAAGAGGACAGCACGCCCATCCTGGGAGGATCGAGACTAATGCTGACGCAAGGAAGCAGTCCCATGCCAGCACCTTACTCTCAGACCAATGGCATAACTCCTCAGCCCACCGGCTACCGAGCCTTCTAGATCCCTCGACGGCGTTACGGGATTTAGTTGACAAAAGTTGCCGAGTAGTTCTCAACAGGGTTGCACCACTTACTCCGTCGTCGAGGCGTATTCTCGTGGTGGTGCTTTTCGACGTGAACATACAAAGCAATTGGTGATGATTAGCAGGAACCTACGACAGCTCGGACGTGTTCTATGCAAGCGTTCAAGAGTTTTAGCAAGCTTCCAACGTGTACTTAATAGATAGGAACTTAAATGAGCAGAGCAAAATCATCGAAATTCTGTACCGTTACCCGTATTGTTGTGCTCTTCCTTGACCAGCAGTCGGAGAAAGCTTAGTAACAGTGTCGTACCTTTGCCCGGTCTATCTGCTTTCGCTCTTCAGACGGACTTTGCGAAATTTGTAAAGCCTGTCAAAATGTGCGAAATATGTAGGCGGACATTTCAGGGGAGAGTGGTGGAGTGGAAAAAGCAAACCGTAAATTGGCCAGTCACCACTGTCCTTATCGGTTTTCGGCCAAATCGTTCTCGGCGAACCATCCGTCATATTTCCCATCCTCCAACACACTCTCCTCTTATCACCTGAGAACCTTTCGTCTTGACAACATTGCTTTTCCTAAACCTCCTACAGCTTCGCCCGTTTACATCCCTCGCCCACGCCATCAATTGGCCCACCTTCAACCTTTCCGCTCCTCCGCTCTGCAGCGGGACCTCTACATTTCCTCTCATTATGGCACACAACGACAACGACAAGTATGCTGAATTTTTCGATGCCGGTCACTCCGGCAAGGATCATACCGTGCATCAGAGGCTGCGAGCGAATTCGACAATCATGGAATTGAAGAAGATCTTGGGTGCGTCCAGAACCCCCGCATCCCGCGTCTGTCGCACCGTGGGATGCTACCTTTGCTAACGTGGGGTGATTGATGTAGTTGCCAACAGGGGCGAAATCCCTATACGGATTTTCCGAACTGCCCACGAGCTCTCGCTACAGACGGTAGCTGTCTTCAGCTATGAAGACCGTCTTAGCATGCATAGGCAGAAAGCCGACGAAGCCTACGTAATTGGGAAAAGAGGGCAATACACTCCTGTGGGCGCATACTTGGCAGGTGACGAGATCATCAAGATTGCAAAGCAGCATGGGGTCAATTTGATCCACCCTGGCTACGGATTTCTCTCTGAGAACGCGGGTTTCGCAAGAGCTGTCGAGGCGGCAGGTTTGATCTTTGTTGGGCCCACCGCTGAAACCATTGACTCCTTGGGAGACAAAGTCTCTGCCCGAACACTCGCCATGAAATGCAATGTACCCGTTGTGCCCGGAACCGATGGCCCTGTTGAGAAATTCGAAGACGTCAAGTCTTTCACAGACGAGTACGGGTTTCCCATCATCATCAAGGCAGCATTTGGAGGTGGTGGACGAGGTATGAGAGTCGTACGAGAGCAAGCATCCCTGAAAGACTCTTTTGAGCGAGCTACTTCCGAGGCAAAATCTGCTTTTGGTAACGGAACGGTGTTCGTGGAGAGATTCTTGGACCGGCCGAAGCACATCGAGGTCCAGCTCCTGGGAGACAACACAGGAAACGTGGTGCACCTGTTCGAGAGAGACTGCAGTGTCCAGAGACGCCACCAGAAAGTCGTAGAGTTGGCTCCGGCAAAGGATCTGCCTACTGAGGTCCGAGATAAGATCTTGTCGGACGCTGTCAAGTTGGCCAAGTCAGTCAACTACCGCAATGCAGGCACTGCAGAGTTTCTCGTGGACCAGCAGCAAAGGTATTACTTCATCGAAATCAATCCACGTATTCAAGTCGAGCACACCATTACAGAGGAGATCACCGGCATCGATATTGTTGCAGCACAGATCCAGATAGCTGCAGGTGCATCATTAGAACAGCTGGGCCTGACGCAGGATCGCATCTCAACTCGTGGGTTTGCTATCCAGTGCCGAATTACTACTGAGGATCCCGCAAATGGTTTCTCTCCGGATACTGGTAAGATCGAGGTCTATCGATCCGCTGGCGGCAACGGTGTGCGTCTGGATGGTGGCAATGGATTTGCTGGTGCAATCATTACCCCTCATTATGATTCTATGTTGGTCAAGTGCACATGCCTCGCCTCGACCTATGAAATCGTGCGGAGGAAGATGCTTCGTGCTCTAGTCGAATTCCGAATCCGTGGAGTAAAAACCAACATCCCTTTCCTCGGATCGTTGCTTACCCATCCAACGTTTATCGATGGTACTTGCTGGACTACCTTCATTGACGACACACCAGAGCTGTTTAGACTTGTGGGAAGTCAAAACAGAGCACAGAAGCTGCTGAGCTACCTTGGAGATGTGGCCGTCAATGGTAGTAGCATCAAAGGCCAAATTGGTGAGCCGAAGCTCAAGGGCGATATCATCATGCCCGAGCTCCACGACGATAATGGGAAACTTATCGATATGTCTGAACCTTGTACCAAAGGTTGGAAATACATCATTGACAAGGAAGGTCCCGCTGCATATGCGAAAGCAGTGCGGGAAAACAAAGGATGCCTTATCATGGATACGACATGGCGTGATGCGCATCAGTCACTGCTTGCTACTAGGGTCCGCACAGTGGATCTATTGAACATCTCGAAGGAGACAAGTCATGCTTATAGCAACGCATACAGTCTGGAATGCTGGGGTGGAGCTACTTTCGACGTGGCCATGCGTTTCCTCTACGAAGACCCCTGGGATCGTTTACGGAAGATGAGGAGAGCTATTCCCAACATCCCCTTCCAGATGCTGCTCCGAGGCGCTAACGGTGTGGCTTACTCATCGCTACCAGACAACGCAATCTATCATTTCTGCGAGCAGGCGAAGCGATACGGTGTGGATATCTTTCGAATCTTCGATGCTCTTAATGACATCGATCAATTGGAGGTAGGCATCAAGGCCGTCCAGAAAGCTGGAGGCGTGGTGGAGGCCACCGTCTGCTACAGCGGTGACATGCTCAATCCTCACAAGAAGTACAATCTGGAGTACTACATGGGCTTGATCGAAAAGATAGTGAAGATTGGCACTCACATCATCGGCATCAAGGACATGGCGGGTGTACTGAAGCCAAAAGCCGCGACAATGCTTATTGGATCAATCAGGAAGAAGTATCCGGATATACCAATCCATGTCCACACACATGACTCGGCGGGTACAGGAGTAGCAACCTACGTTGCCTGTGCAAATGCTGGTGCAGACGCCGTGGATACAGCCACTGACAGCATGTCGGGCATGACTTCTCAGCCCAGTGTTGGTGCCTTACTTGCATCTCTTGAGGGGACTGGACTGGAGCCAGGGCTAAACGGCCATCACGTCCGAGCGATAGACACCTACTGGGCCCAGCTTCGTTTGCTCTACTCACCCTTCGAGGCTGGTCTGACCGGACCCGATCCAGAAGTCTACGAACATGAGATACCAGGTGGCCAGCTGACCAATTTGATTTTCCAAGCCTCTCAACTGGGCCTTGGCGCACAGTGGGCCGAGACGAAGAAGGCCTATGAGCAAGCCAACGACCTTCTCGGCGACATTGTCAAGGTGACGCCGACTTCGAAGGTCGTTGGTGACCTGGCTCAATTCATGGTGTCCAACAAGCTTGGCGAAGAAGACGTCAAGAGGAAGGCCAAAGAGCTCGACTTTCCTGGGTCGGTACTGGAGTTCTTCGAAGGATTAATGGGTCAGCCATACGGTGGCTTCCCAGAACCTCTGCGGTCCGACGCTCTTCGCGGCCGACAAAAGCTTGACAAGCGGCCTGGACTGACCCTCGAACCGATGGACCTTGCAAAAATCAAGAAGGACATCAACTCCAAGTTCGGCAGTGCTTCTGAATGCGATGTTGCAAGCTACGCCATGTATCCCAAGGTATTCGAAGAGTACAGGAAGTTTGTTAGCAAGTACGGAGATTTGAGCGTACTGCCTACTCGGTTCTTCCTTAGCAAGCCCGAGGTGGGTGAGGAGTTCCACGTAGAGCTGGAGAAGGGTAAGGTGCTCATCCTGAAGCTGCTGGCTATCGGCCCACTTTCGGAGCAGACTGGTCAGCGTGAGGTCTTCTATGAGATGAACGGAGAGGTCAGACAGGTCACTGTCGAGGACAAGAAGGCTGGGGTAGAGAACCTGAGCAGGCCGAAGGCGGACAGCAACGACAGCAGTCAAGTTGGGGCACCCATGTCTGGTGTGGTGGTTGAAGTCCGGGTGCATGATGGAGGAGAGGTGAAGAAGGGAGATCCGGTTGCTGTTCTGAGTGCTATGAAGATGGTATGTTGCCCCAAATTATTGTCACTTGAGTTATCCAAAAACTCTCGCTAACAAAACGGACAGGAAATGGTCATCAGTGCTCCACACTCTGGGAAGATTGCAGAGCTGAAGGTGAAGGAGGGAGACTCGGTGGATGGGCAAGATCTTGTGTGCAAGATAGTGAAATCGTGAAAAAGGGGATGAGTATGACGGGATGACTTAATGGAGGCTGCTTGTGTGTTGCTTGAGACGGCCTTTATGTTTGAACATCTTTTCCTATCAATAGAGTGGAGTGTCTCAGTATACCTATCATTCTTATTAGAGCTACGACTGGGAGGGAGCCTGTTCTTCTGTTCTCGTGATCTCGTGATCGTTCGATTGCGGGGTAATTGTTAGGGCAGAAACCCCTAATGGTGGGGGATGGTGGGGGCGGGGGTGGGGCTGTTTGTTAGAAGGCCACCGGCCAGTCACTGGGCTTTGAGATCTCGACGCGCTATCATGACCTCACTACCTGGACGCCTAGTGCACCAAATCTTGGGCAAACAATTGAAGCTATTTGCCCTTACTCGGCGTGGTGCGAGCGTGTGAGTAAGGTAGGTAAGGTAGAGAAAGAGCAAGCGCAGCCGGACAATCTTTCTTCTTCCTTACATTTTGTTCATCCTACACATCTCCTATCCCTCACACATCCACCCCCCCCCCCATCAATTCCACTTATATCAAAATCTTGCATACTACAAAATCAATACACCTCCGCATTCCAAGCTGGTCTACCCTCTATCAATCTCAACCTGATCTTTTTTCCCTCAAATACACATCGAAGCAGCCATGTCGAACTCCGGCAACAAGGGCGTCTTCAGCAACAACATCGGCAGCAGTGTCGGTGGATTCACAAAGCGTAAAAGCGGTGATGCTGGCAGTGACGCTGGTAGTGTTAGTACTGCTGAACGTAGACGCGTGAGTCGTCTAATCTTTTTTTCGTCTCGGCTCTCTTGTTCCACTTCCCCGTCAATCTTCCTCGCTCCTTACCCCAGGAGTCCCATCCTCAATATCGACCTCGACTACCCATGCAACTCTACTCCGCCCTTGGTTACTTTCAATGATCATTCACAAGGCCTCTAAGAAATCAGATAGCAATGCTGACATCTGTACGCACCACAGTCCTCCGTGACCAAATTCGCAGGCCTCAACAGCCAAAAGCGTAACTCGCAGGACGCATCAGCTGCAGCCCGCAAGGCGAGTTTCGCGGAGCAGAACAAGGCACCCGGGTTCCTCGGCGGCATGTGGCAGAATTGGACTAAAGGCAGTGGGAAATGAGAGGGGAGAGAGGGCATTGAGTCAGGAGTGAAGACGTGGGAACATCGGGAGCTTGATGATGGCTTAAGCGAGAAGATGCACAATGTTACGGATTGGTATGGATTAGCATGGATCAGGTACCAGGCGTTCGACGAGTGGACTCGTATGTTTTTCAGGCTTGCTTGTATTGGCTGATGCTAGGATGAATGGGCAACTGCTTGCGAATTGTAAGCTGGGGGGCCAAAGGTGTGATGGCTTTTGATACATGAATAGGTCAAAAATGAGAAAGAAATTGCAGTCCTCTTTCTGGCTTGTCCACCATGCATCACGTATTCCGCAGTGTGGATGCAAGAGCGTTGATGGTGTGGTGCGCGGTAGACAAATCAATCCCTTCCTTAGTGCAACTGGACTGGGCCTGAGACGACCTAGACGTAGGTCCCTAAGGTAGAGTATGATCAGCAGCAGGGGGGGGCAAACAACAAAAAGGAAGTTAAAAAAACCACCAACGCATCCTCATTATTGTCATCACTTCATCATAAAATTTGAACGTGGATTGCGCACAATTAAATAAATGATGCACGAGGGCTGCATGAGACACTGGGCTTTTCACTGTCACCATGTGCTTTGCCGGGTGATGGCTCCCTGCATTTCTGCAGCTGCAGGTGGAAATTAGGCATGATCTGACAGTACTCTACAGTACCGCCATTCGTAGACAACCCCCATCCTCATCCTCATCCTCATTTACCTCTTCCTCTTTCAAAATCTTATAGCATCACACAAAGTTCATATTCGCAACTAGTCGCTTCAAAATGTTCAAAAGTCAGTCTCTCCTGGCCGGTATAGTAATCATAGCCCAACCTGTTATATGCGAGAGTCAGAAAATGTGTTTGTCCCTTCTCTTTGAAACATTTGCTAGCCTTTCTTAGTGCTTTGTATATTGTACAACCTCAACACAGCCCCGTTTCGTCAGCTCGTTCAGGAGTAGAGTAGTCTCAACGGACGAGGGGGATCAAACCAAATCATAAGGTACTGAACCAAACCATGCCACGCCTTTACATTGCATTCCTTTTCTGGCGCTTACCATCAGCTGTTTGCCTTCCTCCATCTTTTGTACTTCTATCATCATCTTCATGCATCCTTCAATTCAGTCTCTCATTCACTACTACTTCTTCTTCTTCTTCTTCTTGCTCCCAACTCCTCTCCTTCTCCTTCACCTATCCGAACCATAGCTTCCTCGAGCCTTGAGTCACCTTCACGCCAGCCTTATACGTAAGCCTTGTCGAATGATAGGCCATAGCACCCGTCGCCACTGGCCGATCACGAAATGTACGATAATCGACTTACTAGCCATCTATACAACTACCCTTACCAAGCTCAGGCCCTTACAGCTCCTGGAAAGACGCCTGATACCGTCAAGTCTACTCCTCCACTGGAATCAGGCAACATCGCTATGCTCAACAGAGACCATAGGGTCGACATAATGACAACAACTCGCGGCTCTATTCGTGTGTCACCACGAACACTCACAATCACACCTCCAAGACCCGCCTCACCAATCTCATCCGACGCCGATAGTGACTGCTGGGACGATGGCTCTGATTCCCCATGCTCCTTCACTGGCGAGGAGTGCCCCGACTTATGCGGAGGCCCTAAGAATTCGTGCAGAAGCTGGACTCCTCCTGCCTCCCCTTTCTATTACACCAATGAAAGTGGAATCTTCCTCCTGGACGATCGTCAGGGTTACGAAGAGAGGCAGAAGATTGAACTAGAGCATACGCTGCATGACTTGGCTACAAGCCTACAACGGCTGAGGGAGACCATGTCACCCCCAAGGTTCTTGAGTCGGCTTCATGAATTCGAAGGGTTGGCACCATCGTCTCGTACTGGAATGTCTCACGGGCCCAGCGAAGAGTTCCCACGGTCACCAACCAAAAGCCTCGCGGAACACTTTCGCGTTACGGCAACTTCTCCTGGACCGTCGTGCCCCTGTGATTGTGCCGGTACCCCATGCCGCTGCAAGCTTTCTCCAACACAAAGCGCTTCCACAGATCTACTACACCAATCAATGAATACCCAGGAGAAGGACGAGTTTGGGACTGCGGACCTTGGAAAGCTCATACAAGCCAGCTTACAACATGTCCAATCGACCAACTCGCCCCCAAAATACCTCGCCAGCGTGTCTGAAATTGAAGCCCAGCCTCTGCTCGGAAAGCAAATCACCATCCCGAATTCACACGAACAGCTGCGTGACGAGGCTTTCTTAGTGAGGGATGCCTCGCCACAGCTACACCTCGGGAATACAGCGTACCCGACTCCACTTCCAAGCTCTCCGGAATCGAAGCCGAGTCGGAAGAGGGGACGGGATGAAAGCTCCCAAGAGAGTAGCGGCCGTAAGAGGCGCCGCGGAGAGGATGATGAATGTATTACGACGTTTTGGAGATTGCGGAACGACTAATTCTAGGATGCCATTCTGCCACAGTTTGTTGATCACCCTTTTGAGAAGGCCTTAACATTCGTGCAGTAGGCAAGGATGCGGCTATGGGAAATGCCTACCCCGGATGGGCGTTGCTGGAGGGCAATGGTGATATTCCCGATACTCGCGGTTCTTCACTTAAGGGGACTCTTAATGCACTAGATGTTACATTCCATGACTGCATGACACAGTGTTAATGGAGATTTGCGCGAAATTATTGTGAGATGCTGCATCCCTTTCCCGCTCGCATCGACCCGCAAAACCACGCCTAGCATGCGCGTCAATGCATCGATTGATTGCTGCAATTGTGATTTATCTTTCTTTGTCGTTACCGTCTTCTCGTCGGTATCCATTCTTACCAGTTTTTGCTCTCGAACACCTCGCCTCAGGTTTCTATTTTGCTATCTGGCTCAACTCCAACAACGTTGTTTAAACGATGCGCTCTTCCCTACGCTTGCTGTTGCCGTTACAGGTCTGTCTGCTTCTATTTTTATCATACACTATCCAGACCTGCTCAGCAAACCCACTCTCCTCCCAGAGCGCTGTCCTCGACCATCAGAACGTCAAGCAGCTACTTCAAACCCCCGGCTTCCATCTCCATCTTCCCACTACCATCGCCAATTCTCTAGTCGAGAAACCGCAAACATTCCACACCCTCTCCAAACGGCGCGTCCCAAGCCGGCCCCCAGGAACCATCCCTTTCAGCGCCCAGCCTTCCTCAACCCACGTCTTCCGCTTCTACAAATTCACCTACATCATCAGTTCCGACCACCTCACGTCCCAAATAACCAGACTCAACATCTGGATGCAGAACTTCTTCTGCGACTTCCTCGCCGCCTCTCCCCTTGGCATCGAGCTGCAACCCCGGCGGCGCATACTCCTGCGCGCGGGACAGCTGACGCTGAACCTGCAGTCTGTCGTCGGTGCGCTGAGTCAGGAGATTGTGACGGCGGTGGTGAAAGAGGTTGGGACGGATGGCGACGGAAGGATTGACGGCGTTTTTTCCAGCGGGCGAGGTGGCGCAGGTGGGGGCCGGGGTGAGGGTGTTGTTCGCGGTTGGGTTGGAGTTGAGAGGAGCCGTTGAGTTTGGGCTTGTGAGCGGTTGGTGCAGGGGAAGCGGAGGTATGTGGGTGCGATACGTCTCCGCCGTGGCTAATGCGGTGCCTGCACTCCCTGCGTCGAGGCCGTCTTCCCCACATGCCGCCGATTTGACTCTCAACCTATCGGGTCATCCAAAGCGATCATCTCAATATGCCCTTTGTAAAAAGTGTTTGGTACATGAGTCCAGCCAACGCTCAGATCGCCCTTGTTTGCGTAAGACCCTTCTTTGTCAGGGTTTTAGCACTGCTTTCTTCCTACCTGAATATTTTCGACCCTGTCTACTTCTCCAGAACTACAGTCTTCCTCATCCTGCCAGTCTCAGGCGACCACCAAGGTCTCCCTCGTCCACCGATAGAAGGCCCCGTGCCACTGATGCACGCTACTCCATCGTAAACTCTCGACCAGCCGCTACCAAAAAAAAGCTCAACCCCGCCATCTCAGATGCTCCCCAAGCGCCATACGCCCAAACGGGGACAGCCAAGCCAACGCCGAACCGACCCCGAGGCCCAAGCCGCCCGAGCAAAGTCCACGACGGATCGCACCGCGCGGGTACCGACCTCTCCGACAACCACGGCCACAACGTAACGTCGACCCTTCACCAAACGCGAACGACACCCCCCCCGGCGTTGGCAGAGATAGCCGCCTCGCGCGACGAATTTCGACACCCCACTTCGGAAAGACACGGACGGGAGTTGCTCGGTAGATGGGACACCCGGCGGTAGCAGGGCCGGAGTCGGAGCGCCGTCGACGCCGGTACGATCCGGGCGCCACTGCTCGAAGCACCGTGTGGGACGGCCGACTGCGGCGATGGGCGGGGGGGAGACGGGCACGGGGTTTGAAGCGCGTGCGTGGTGGGATGTAGTGGTGGATGAGAGGATGGCGGGGCGGGGCGGCTCGTCGGGGGTTAGAGGGAGTTGGGGGGGGGGGAGGTGGGGTGAGGGGAGCTGGAGCATGGGGTGCGGATATGCTGTGAAAGATGTGTGGGTTTGGGTGGTTGGAGGGAGCGGGGGGAAGGGGAAGGCAATGTATGGCATTGAGGGACTGGGGCTTGGAGAATTCGAAAGGATTGCGTTTGTGTTAGGATCGGAAGCTTAGCCGGCCGCCCTTCATGTGATATTAATTTTGTTCCTCGGTACCATCCCAAAAAGCTCTCGTCCCTTCGATCGTTCTCTACCTCACTCCCCTTCGACCTCTGATCTCGGCCACTGCGCCCCTCCGATGCGGGGTGTCCGCAAACAAAGCCACAACCAGATCGACCAATTCTTCGGTGTCAAATTCGAGTCCGAGTTCCCCCTCCGTCCATAAATACTTGATGTCCACCAGGGGGCTCTCCAAGATGTTAGCCAGATACTGGAACTTGAGCCAGTGAGGCGCGTAAAGCGCCGTCAGCGGAACAGGATCTTGCTCGTTGCTGTGAGGTTGAGCCGCAGCTGTTGCATCTGTGAGTGGCGGGGGGATCGGTAGGAAGAGGGCTTCGAGAGCGGCTATTCGATTGCAGTAGCCAGCCAGTTGTTGAGATTCAGGCTCCGATATGTCAGACATGTCCTCGATGTCGACTACCATCTTGTTCGTGACGGTTGATAGCAGTGAGCCCAGACTCTGCAGTAAAGCCGAGTGTGAAAGCACGTCTTTCCATTGCTTGTGCAAGCCGCGGAGACGGTCGACAGTGGAAGCTATGGCAATGTCGCACTCCTGATTGAAGGGATGTTCGGTGCAGTGGACGAAGCCTTGGGCGCCGTCGAGCAGGTCGGTGATGATGGTGCGCTGAGATTCCATCTCTTTGGCGTACGCACGTTTACCGTAGCTTTCAAGGGCGAGAACATGAGCTTCAAGGTTGAGGTTGTGCGCCGTTCGACTTTGGATATGCTTTCCTGACCGCGTTATGTGGTGAGAAGCGAGCTGCTGAAGGCGTTCCGCAAGCCAAAGACTGTCGTTATAGAGGAACATGCTGCCGCTCGAGTGAGTGGCATAGCTGGCTGAGGCGCTGGCGCGATACATGGCTAACAACAGACCTGGTAGAGAGAGCAGATCTGGAGCGGCAGAGGCGATGGGCGAGTGGGCGAGATCGGACGTTTCGAGCTTCTCAGCATCTGAGACAATCTGGGTAATCATTTCTAGTATCTCCTTAGGTAGAGACGTAATATTGTACCTCTCTTTCAGGGTTACTTCGCGTGCAGCCTGTTCGGGTGCCCTGGCTAGTCCGTTTCTTTGGGTCGTTTTGATATTGGGTTGCGAGGGTTGGGGCGCCTTCTTGCTTCCTTCACCCTCGTTCTCATCCCCCCATCCCCATGCATCTTCATCATCAACATCAACATCAGCAGCAGAATTTTCTTGGTCGCCTTGACCGGTCCCATTCTCTTTCTCGTCATCAAGCCCCCAAGCGCTGACATCCTCTTCATCCTCACCTTCTGCTGCGTTGCTAACACTGGGTGCGTGCATTTTGGTGGGTGACCCAGACTCTTCATCAGACCATCCAGCATTCCAATCATCGCCACCACTGTTGCTTGCGAAAACTTGGTCGTGCCGTGAGAGCACTTGCGTCTCCACACGCTCGACCGTCTCGATTGTTCTAATCCCATGGGAAAGCAAATTTCGGATCTTCTTGAGTGAAGTCTCTTGACGCTTTCGAAGCCACACATTGGGTATGCTCCTAGTCCAGTCACCCAAGTCACGTTTGCCCGGCCATTTGTATGAGTCCAAAGAGTTGCCGAAATTCTGGACCAAGGACATTGTCTCTTGAAAATCATCCATTCCGTCCAGGTCTTCCGGTACCGCTGAGGCGAGCCACGTTGAGATCAACCTTGAGATCAGACGTGGCATCAAATGTTGAGCCAGGGGTTCAACCACGGAAGACGGTAGTCTTGTGCGCAAGAAAGCAATAATTGAATCGAGGTCCAAGAATAGAGCTTCAGCGCTCAAGTCTGACGATTGCCCAGACACGCTAACCTCGTCACCGTCAATCTCCAAGAAGCCGACTTCACCGTCGGCTCCCACCTGCAGACGAGGTGCTACTACAAGCATTTCGAAGTCTCTGCAAAACGGAAGTAGTACGTTGTCGAATACTTGTAGCTTGGTCATTGCGGCTACCAACGTTTGAATATCCACTGTAGAAGAGTCTGGAAATTAGTGAGCCCAGGGTCAGAAGGAGAAAACGCAGGAGACCTACCATTAAGGCTACGTGAGATCTTGATTGAAGATCTAATTGAATCAACGCAAATGTATGCCTTCCAAGACTCTATCAACCTCTCAACCACATCATTTCGTAGATCGGCAGCCTTGGCACCAACGACGCCAGCTACTCTGGCGCTTTGAGGCACAGGGATTGAGTCGAGTTCCCCTTCCACCTGTCTCGAAAGGTCCACGGCTGACAGTAGTTGGCCAGCCAGTATAGCTCTTTGGACAAGATCCAAAGTCCTTTTTGTTGCCTGTAGAGCCTCCAACGTCGCCGCCAAGCTCTTGTTGAAGGCCACCTCGCCATTCAATAATGCTACCTTGCTGGTAGCATCGTTGACCTGCTCCTCCAAAAGTTCAGCCTGCCGGGCTTGTTCCACAATCTCTCGGGCTATCTCCTGGGATTTCTCTATGTCGACACGTAGCTGCTTTGCTTGGGAAATCCAGCCTTCGATATCCGGGGCGCTGTCCCGGCTGGCTTTCCTGATACTGACCTGTGACCAGGGTTATCAATCATCCTCAAATGCTAGTAAACGAGCCGTGAATCCAAACCTTGACATCTTCTCGTGCTTGCTCTATGAGCTTCGAAACTTCGGGTAACGCTGATGGAGGGAAATCCGCTGACACGACCTCCTCAGACTCGGGATACGCGCCGGTCTGCACATGTTCAAGCACGGCCAGGCCATACTGCTGAGGCGTGATACGCGACGGCATGGAGATGGTCGAAGCAGTGATCACGGCGCATGGAAGTCGTAAAGCCGAAGTTACGCCTCGGTGGTAGGGCTGAGATCCTGTGTGTTAAGTTTGATCTTGACATTTCTTCCCTCCTGGTGCACCCTCCATACCATTCCTTTGGCAACTTTTCCATAGAAAGCACAGATAGTTTGGATCAGCCTGCAACAACCATATTTTTGCTGAATCCTCCCGGCCGTACTTCTCTTCACAAAGCGTTCATTCCATGATTTAATTCTGTCATCCTTATATCCAGTGTCTTTTTCTCAATTCATAAAGGTTCATAACCCTGTTTCAATATGTGGATAGGAGAGCTGACCTGCTTGAATCTAGCAATATTTTTACGGTTCTGAGCAAAAGGAATCGCTTACCTATCTGTTTGTAGCTACCCCTGTTGGCAGCAGCTTCGTTGTATTTTCATTTGGTCTAGCACCTTGAAAGCTTTACGAAGTAAACTTTCCTTTTCACCTCGGTCAAATCCCTTGAGAATATTTTCGGAGCATCATGTTATGCGTACAGTTCTCGTAAGCGTAACATATTGCTCAACAGTCCTATCAATTTTGCTTGGTCTTCTAGCAGTCTGGTATGCTTTGATACATGGTCGATATTCTCCGAGCCATACAAGCATCTCCTCAGAGACAGCCAAAACACTGCAAATCATCATGTCAACAACGTCTACGCCTCACAAAGCAAACGCAACGCACTTCAAAGAGATTCAGAAATTCAGCACGGAGTATTCGCCTACTACTATAACGCAGTATGAGTCTACAAGAACGGGAATGAGGATTGTGATAGTTGATAAAGAGGGTCCCAAAGTTGACGGTCTTTTCACTCTTGCAACAGAGATTCATGACGATTCAGGGGCACCTCATACTCTCGAGCATCTATGTTTCATGGGGTCTAAGAGCTATCAGTACAAAGGAATGCTGGACAAGCTTGCCACAAGAGCGTATTCCTATACCAATGCATACACAGCGACCGATCACACTGCCTACGAACTAAGCACTGCTGGCTGGGAAGGATTTGCGCAGATACTTCCAGTTTATTTGGAACATATCGTTGCGCCCACATTAACAGATGCCAGCTGTTATACAGAGATACATCATGTGGATGGCTCTGGAAATGACGCTGGTGTAGTGTACTCCGAGATGCAGGCGGAAGAAAATCAGAAAGGCGGGCTCATGTGGAGAAAGTCCAAACGACTATTGTATCCTGAGGGGGTAGGCTTCAGGTATGAAACTTTTGGAATGATGGAATCTCTGCGGGCATTAAGTGCACACCGGATCCGCGAGTTTCAACATGATATGTACCAGCCGAAGAACTTGTGTTTGGTCATTGTGGGCGCCGTCGATCATGTGAACCTGTTGGACGTTCTGGAACATTTTGAGGGTACCATATTGGAAGATATACCCAAACCTGGCGCACCTTTTAGCCGGCCTTGGTTAGAATCCAAGCAGACGCTGCCGCTGGAAAAATCAACCGTCGAATACGTTGAATTCCCCGAAGCAGACGAGTCTTCAGGCGAAATACTCATGAACTTTTTCGGACCTGACTTGGCGGATAACCTTCTTTGTTAGTGTTCGGCCTTCGTTCAATACGCGTGTCAATGTAGCTGATAATGACTCTGTAGGCGGTGCCATGAATGTTCTCCTTAGGTATCTTGCCGGCTCATCTGCCTCAGTCCTGGACAACACGCTTGTAGAGAAGGAGCAAATTGCTAGTGGGGTGTTCTACGAATGTGAATATCGACCCAAGACAGTCATTCAATTTACCTTGACTGGCGTTGCTACAGAAGAATTGGAGCAAGTCGAAGCTAGGTTTCATGAGCTTCTTAGGGAGACCGCTGCGAAGCCAATTGATCTCGAGTACATGAAAGACTGCATTCGGCGCGAAAAGCGTCAAGTGAAATTCTACGCCGAGAGCTCAGGAGGATTCTTCACTGAACCAATTGTCAAGGACTTTCTGTTCGGCAAACGTGACGGATCAACATTAAAGGCTGATCTCGAAAATTTGGGAGAGTACGATACTTTGGAGACTTGGGAAGACTCCCAATGGAGACACTGGCTGAGGGTCTGGATGTCAGAAGCCCATCATATCAGTGTAATTGGTAAACCCTCGGCTGCTCTGCCTGATAAGATCGAGTCCAGAGAAAAGGCTCGCATTGCGGCACGAAAGGAGCGACTGGGAGTCGAAGGACTTGAGGACTTGTCGGCAAGGCTTGCAGCCGCAAAGGCGGAGAATGATAAAGAGGTCCCCAAAGAAGTTCTCGAGCAGTTTGAGGTTCCAAATACATCATCAATCCACTTTATCAATACGACAACTGCACGAGCTGGTGCGGCCCGAAAGATGGGCTCCCTCCAAAATCCAGCACAGCAAGTTATTGACAGGGACAGCGATCTGCCCGTTTTCTTACATTTCGAACATGTGCAGTCAAATTTTGTTTACTTGACGCTTGTGCTGGGTACTGAAGCGATTCCGGTCTCCCTCAGACCGCTACTGACCATCTACATGGAGGGATTTTTTAGCACACCGATGCTGCGCGACGGGAAGACAATCGGCTTTGAACAAGTCATCATGGAGCTGGAAAGGGACACTGTAGGCTATGCTGTCGACTCAGGTCAGCCTATTGGCAATCCTGAAGTCGTCACAATCAGAATGCAGGTCGAGGTCGAAAAATATCAAACGGCTATCCATTGGCTGAGAGAGTTGATGTATTCCTCTATTTTTGATCTCGACAGAGTCAAATCCATAACATCAAGGCTCCTGGCAGACATACCGGATGAAAAGCGAGATGGGGACGATATGAGATTAGCTGCTGAATTAATGGTTGGCACCGCACCTTCGTCTATCACCAGGGCGTGTAATACACTTGTGGGTGCTGTTTACCTCAAACGCGTCAAAAATCTCCTCAAAAAGGACCCCGAGGCCATCATCAACCAACTCAAAGACATCAACTCTGCACTCTGCCAGCCAGACAATTGGCGTATTCTTGTCGTTGGCAACGTAGAGAAGCTCCCTCACCCGGTCGCCTCGTGGAATACTCTTACCACAAAACTTGACAACGGCAAATCTCTCAAACCCCTAGACACTCGCCTCTCAAGACTCAGTGAACAGGGCAAAAGCCCAGGTAATTCGGCATATGTCATCCCAATGCCATCGCTTGATTCGTCATTTGCGATCGCGGTTGGCAAAGGCCCGTCCTCTTACGACGACCATCTCGTGCCAGCACTCATGGTTGCGACTGCCTATCTCAACAACATCGAAGGACCAGTGTCAGCAGCCGCTCGTGGTAGGGGTCTTGCATACACCGTCAGCTTCCGCCACCACGTTGGCTCTGGCCAAGTATCGTTAGACATCTCCCGTTCTCCCAACGCCTTTGTAGCGTTCGTTGCCATCAAGGAGGTCATGCGATCGTTCGCCCTTGGCGAGAGAGTAATAGATCCTCTCGATCTGGAAAGCGCCGTCAGCTCAGTTGTGCTGGGCTTCGCTAATGCAGAGGCAACCATGGCAAGTGCAGCTGAGATTAGCTTTGTACGGCAAGTCATGAGAGGATTGCCTAAGGACTGGCCAACCATCATACTAGAACGTGTCAGGAACGTAACTAGTGAGGACTTCAGAGACTTGATGAGGAATGTTCTGCTCCCCATTTTTGAAGGCAGGACCTCTAATTTAGTCGTCACTTGCGCCCCGATCATGGAAAAGGAAATCGTCCAGGGTTTTAGAGGGATTGGATTTGAGGCTGAGGTCAAGCCACTGGATTTCTTCCAGGATGACTATGGTTTAGAAGGAGGGGAGAAGGAAGATGAGGATGAGGACGATCAAGACGGAGAAGATGAGGACGAGGACGAGGAAGGAGACGGGGAAGACGACAATTTTCCAGAATGCTGATCATGACATTGCCGCCGTTTTATGACAGTCATCGAAAAAGGCGGCAAGGTCGACCTCCAGCAGAGACGGTAAAAATTCCTTCCTGCGAGCACGTTACGCAGTCATCAACCCCTTTCAGAAGGTCCGCGAGGGAAACAAAAGCCTGAACATTTAGATAAATTGTTTCGAGAGACAGGTCCAATCACAACAATTCAGTTCAAAGGCATGCCTTCCATAACTTACTAGTGCCACAGCTTACTCATACAGCGTAAAGACTCCCACCCAATTCCTGCGAAAGCAATGTTCATTTCAGAAACGGACCTTGAAAATAGTCCAGAGACAGGCGGTGTTGAAAACGTATTTACAGACAGATACCCGCTAAGTCTCTTGACCGATCGTCATCCTCCACCATACTATTTCACCACCTTCTGCTTCAACTCTCCTGCCTTCAGTTTCACGTCGCCGACAATGCCCTCCGCACCAGCCTTTGCGTCCCCAGCTATTGATTTGCCATCTTGAGCAATCTGATTCGCCTCTGTCTTCGCTTTCGCCTCTAGTGATGCTTCTCGTCCGCCGTAGCTAACGACACGTTAGTAGGTATCCACTACCCACAAAAACATAGCAATCCGTTCCGAAAATGCGATTCCGTTCCTGCCTAAGAAGCTGTTCCCAGGTCTACGTCCCCTCAATTTCCCATATCACAATCTCATATCCCATTTACCCTCCAACACCCACACTCTCCGTCCAAGGTACCATCCAGTCCCCAACCTTTCCTAGAAGAGAAGAATATGCCACTCACTTCCAGTACTCTAGATACCGATATCCCTGCGTCAACTGCGCTCCGAAATTGACAAAATGGCAGCCGAACAGCAGATAATTCTTCGGCTGAACAGCCAAGGCGTAGCGCATGAAGGTGCCGGAGTAAAGGACCAGGGCGCCCGTCATGCGGCCGGATATGCTATGTTACCAATCACGTCAGACGAGTCGCGGTGATTTGGGAAAAGTGCGCTCCGGAGATGGCAGCTGGGGGGGGAGGAGTGGGAGGGAGCGTACATGTCGGGATCTTTCTGCGTGTCCATTACGGCTGCGATGGGGATGCCAAAGTTGGAGACCGGGCCCCAGAAATCTGCAGAGAGTGAAGTAGGTCAGTCGGTGATCCGGTCTTGTTTCGGAGCTGTGGAGGCGTGATGGCGCAGGCCGACGTACGGGTTGAGCAGACATAGTTCAAGACCGGCTGGGACCGGATCTTGGCATTGAGCGCTGATATTGCGGCTGCCATTGCGTGAGTGGTAATGAGGAGGAAGATGCGTTCAGTTACAGCGCAGGAGCAGGTCTTGGATTTGAGGAGTTTTGGGTTATTGCCGATAGGGCTGACGATGTCGGCGGAACAATGGTCACGTGCCTTTATAATTTACTATTTGGTCTGCATCTACAAAGAAGGGAGAAGCTTGAGGTCCGGCAAGTGGTGACTTCTGAAGTTTTTGATTTGTCCTGACTATTCTGACGCTTTTGTGGTATATTAGCAGTCCATCCTCCCAAACGCCAGTCCTGGCACTAGTCATTTGCAGAACCACTGCTGGGACTTTCCTCATGTCCCTGCTTTCACTTTGGTCGAGATGGAGCTCTCATGCTCGAATCAGGGGGCTCAATGTCTCCATGTATTTTGACATCGATCCAATCAGCCAACTGTCACGTAAATCACCGCCCTTGGAATCCTGGCGGTGGGAAACCGCGGCCCCCTGGGGGAGGCTGGAACCCTGGCGGCGGCTGAAACCCTTGCGCTAGAAATTTCGTCAGCCACCATCACATCAGGAGTCGGGACATGGGGTAGAGCCTACGTGGTCCTCCGGGAAATCCAGGCGGTGGTGCGAATCCAGCTAGAAACCAATAATTAGCGTTGTGCTTTGGCTCGTTGTTCTTGAATGAGCTTACGCGGTCCTCCTCCTGGGGGTCCTCCACGACCCGCAAACCCTGGTGGTGCACCACCAGGGAATCCACCAGGTGGAAATCCAGGAAACCCTCCTGGCGGCGCTGGTCCTCCTACTCCCGCAGCCGGTCCACCTAGTCCAACAGGCAATCCTCTTCCAGCTGGTCTACTTATGCCCGGTCCAGCAGCTAACGTAGGTGGTGCACCTCCAGCACCTCCCTGGTGCGCTTGCTCCTAACCTTGCCGATGGGTCTGCGGGAGGAGGGCCGTCGACTGAGCAGGAGACGATATGAGTGCCGCGAACAATGGTAAGACCGAGAGTGCGCTTTTCTTCCGATTCGACGAGTGCGGGTGTAGAGCTGCCAGGAGCAGATTGTGCGCCTTTGGTGGGCTTGCGCTTTACTCGGCGGAATTCTTCTGTGTCTGCAAGGACGAGGTTCATGTGCTGCGTCAAAGTTAGCAGAAGCAGACTCTCATCTTGATATGGACTAACCTTATCGAATGCTAGCATTTGCCCAGTCATTTGTCGCCCATCATTCAGTGTAATTCTCATTCGGTAATTGATCTGGACCAGTATTAGTACTTCTGTATGCAATTCTGGCGTCTCGGAAGGGATTTGAGAGCTGGTCGGGAGGGAGCTCGGGAGCTTACGAGGTTTTGCTACCACGTGAATCGATCAGCAAGAGTATCGACAAAGCCTGACATGAAATAAAAGGCCGATTTTCGAGACCGAGACTTACCATCTTCCCCTGTTTGTTCGCCATAATGATTGACTGTGGTCGCTCACGCGACTTGTCTTGTCCAAAGATTGTAAGGAAGCTCCAAGCTTTCTTGGGCTCTCCACTCTTTCGAATGTCAAGCGCGCAGTATGGTGTATGAAGCTTTAGATTCTTGCGGTTGGAGGTTCTCAAAACGACTTGACTTGCGCTAGTTATAAATTACACGCCAAGCGCGCTATACTTTCGCTAATCGCCCACACAGGGCCTCAACTTTCAACGGCAGCGACAGCATTAGCATCTTCGCAACATATTCCTCCGACGCATTCTCGATCATGGCAAGTGGCTGCAGGTGCATGGGCTTTACTGCTCACCACAATGCTAATTTGCGGTCACCAGGCGGAATCCCAAAAAGACAAGAGCGCAAACCCCATGCGCGAACTACGCATCGAGAAGCTGGTCCTCAACATCTCTGTCGGCGAATCCGGTGATAGGCTTACCCGCGCTGCCAAAGTGCTCGAACAGTTATCTGGTCAGACGCCTGTCTACAGTACGCATTCGCTTTCCATACTCGTTTCTGGAGTGGTCGTCACTCTCCCGCAGCGTTGTCTAACATCATCTGCTCCCTTTCAGGCAAAGCCCGGTACACAGTCCGAACGTTCGGTATCCGACGTAACGAAAAGATCGCTGTCCATGTCACTGTCCGCGGTCCCAAGGCCGAAGAAATCCTTGAGCGCGGGCTTAAGGTGAAGGAATACGAATTGCGAAAGAAGAACTTTTCCCAGACGGGCAACTTCGGATTCGGTATTAGCGAGCATATCGATTTGGGCATCAAGTATGATCCGGCAATTGGTATCTACGGCATGGACTTTTACTGCTGCATGTGAGTCTTCTCCGTTGGGAAGACGTGTTGGGACCCTTGCAGAATTCGGATGAGATGCTGATTGTTTGTTTTACAGGACACGACCTGGCGAGCGGGTAGCCAAGCGAAGGCGTGCGCAAAGCAAAGTTGGTGCTAGCCACCGCATCAACCAGCAAGAGACAGTCAAGTGGTTCAAGAATCGATTCGAGGGTATCGTGAGAGGAGATCGCAGTACCTAGGTGATTGGCATGCAACGATACCAGGTGCTTACATAGTGGAGTAAAGCTTGAGGGTCGCTTGAGCTAGTATCCCAGTACAACTGTTCAAAAAGCTACAATGCAAATCATTCAATTTCACAATGGAGGCTTCACTTGGGTGAACTGCCGCTTAACCATTATTGATGATTTGCTGCGTGACACCTTTGGCCTCTCCTTCTCCTTGCTGCGTTTGTGAAATATACTTTTCGTCGAAAGCGGCCTGCATCATTAGACGGTAGGTCTATGAAGCGTGTATTGGAATAAAAGCCATGGCCCGCTCTACACCACGAATATGGATGCATCACGCGAAATTTCCGGATCCAACTGACATGCTGAAGCATAACCCATGCCACTTCTGATCCTGTCTGAAGCCCCTACGCCCAGAGCTGAATGTTTATGCCTTGTGCCCGTATTTTAGAAAATGAGAAAGCCATTTCACACCGGATTCGCCTTAGCAATGCAACGTGAGTCCGCCAGTGAGCGGATGATACCCTACTTTCCCTTTTCAGAATTGTAATGGGCTCTGTTCCATGTCTTGTCGAATCCACTCGGCTGGTAGTCCCCACGAATAATCAGCATATGTAGACAAATCTTGCGCACCGCTCAAGGTCAAAAGTGATCCTCAAACAATTCTCTGCCCATGAATTTCCCAACGCTCCAAAAACTACGGTGTGTACTCACATCTGGTTTCTGCCCCTGGTAATTTGCCTCGTGATGTGGGCTTCCGATTCCCTTCGCCGTCTCCGTATTCCCCTCTACCGAATCAGGATGCCCTCTCTTTGTAGCAGCGCCTGGCAAATGATTCTTAGAGCCGCCACCGGACGAATAGCGCTGCTCGATATTCTGTACACCGGGAGTCTGAAGTGGGTTTGGGAGTATACCCTCAGCGACGCCGTATCCGACACCTGTAGCCATGATGTGTGAGAGACTAACATCTCTAACGACGGAGAATTTTGAGCATACCGACAAGAACAATACCGGCGACGAGCTTTCGAGGGTGCCGGCGGATGATTGTGGCCATTGCGTGTGTTCGGGATGATGCGGATAGGAAGTTGAGATCGTGAATGTGCTTCAGTTTCCAGCGAGCTTTTCGGCCTCTTTCCCTACGATTTGATGGAGACTTGTTGAGGGATAAAATTATTTTGGTTCAACGAACATTCTTCTACTACGTCAATGACAAGAACCCTTGCCTTAGGGTGCCCCTGTATAGCGCCTGTTAGCTTCCGCCGGCTACATTAGCCGCGCTTCACGGGGAGGTCGCCGGACGAGGCAAGAATTAAATCATAAAGTAAAGTACTTACTTAATTCATGAGTGGGGCGGAGTCGATCAATGTCTCGAGTGATCAGGTCTGGCTTACGATCGAGGCATCAGGGAGAAGTGGCATCCATATATGATTGCCTCCAACGACGTATGCGGATGGCTCCGTGTCCAAAACCTTTCTCGTTTGTTCTGCTCAAGAGTGTTCATGGGTAGCTCGACGATCTGAGGGGTCGAGCCCTATGAGCTTTCAAAGATGTCTTTCTCATACGGTTTGAATTTCTATTGTTCATCCATGTAGCCAAGGAGTAAAGCTTGTGCCTTGGCATTGCAAATTAGTCTCTATTGCTTCATACATGGCTGGGCTGCAGTCTTGTGAGCGTGAGGCATGGCAAAATAGGGTTACCTACGCATCATTCATTTGATCTCAGACCAAAGAAAAACCATGCACAGACCCTTGCATCTCTTCCGATCAAAGACGGAGAGTCTCGGATTAGGCTACGAGTATTTTCATTTGGATTTAGATGCTGTGTCTTGTGCTCTAAAGTGATTAACAAAACAAGGGTGCTACCGTGCTAGGAACATGGGAGTCAAACAAAAACCGCAAGAATAGCAACACATGAATTTCCAAAAGCCAAACCAAATCACGTCAACCAAAGCAGAGCACCGGAACAGTCCACCGTTGTCCGATAGGTCATGCCGCCTGCGTCTGAATGAAACCTGATGACCCTGATCCTCGGCGCTGCCGGGGAAAACGGCCCTGCGAACTCCTTCCCGCAGTCCACCCTCACCGCCGACGCCTCCAAAACCCCTCTACTCTTAGGCATGTTGCCCCTCTATCGCCGCCACAAACGTATAGGGTTCATGGTCTGGCGCATTGAGACGACGTGTGAAGATCACCGTATAAATTTTACCTAGCGGAGGGCGGGGGTTTGGTGGTGCGAACTTTATGAACATTGTATTTCCCACATGCTCGAGAGGAAAAGGGAGGCCATCGGATGCTGTAACCAGGAAGGACCAAAGGTAAGGACTTCCAATTGGATCTCGGTTTGTCACTGTGGCCTCCCGCTTAATGTTCTCACAATCGGTACCAATAATGTAGCCGCCGTGGGGATATTTACGATCTTCGTCGCAATCATGTGCAACCGGTTGAGCACCACCAGCGCGAGGTTTAGCAGAGCTCATCGTGCTTGGTTTTCGGTGGCTGGTATTGCGGGTGATGGATGATCTGCTTGCGCAGATATTCGTGCGGTGTGTGGATGCTGGTGTGTGTGCAGGTATGCGAAGAGTCTTATGCTGTCTGTCTGTGCTTGCTGAAGGATATGAAAGAAAACACCAAAGAGGAGGGACGTCCCTCCTCTCTTATACTCATAAGTCTAACCGCCAGGAAATCCGAGACAGCACAGCCGGTGTAAGAAGAGACTGAAATGGTTGAAATGAAACGAAACAATGCTGCGGCGTACGGCCACACTTTTGTAGGTTTGGTGCCTGAACGTCTTGTCTGAGTCCATGGGGCCAAAAGCAAGCGCTTGTCAATTATCCTCGTTTTGGTTCTAGGGTTTCATGTGATGGCTGAGCTCGAGTTGAGGGGAAAAGGCTGGCGAGATGGCACAGGGCTGGGGAAGAGATTGAATCGGTTGAAACATGCGGGTACGAAAACGTGCAGGATTTACCAAACTTTCGCGGTTTCGAGACCCCTTAAGGTCGTGTCTGAACCGAAGGGAAAAGATCCGGATTCCTCCAATACTTTCATTGGCAGCCGTGGCCTTTCGACCTCTCCCGCATAGCGCTTCTCAGCCTCCTGAAGACGGATTGGAAACTCAGATTTGCCCAACCTCCCTCACACCGCCTCAGGCCCCACATCACTCCCATTCTCAGACCAATAATCACAGGGACGCAACATCCGCGGCCGCACAACCCAAACATCCGTCAACTGCATATTGCGAAGCCTTACCGTGCCATCGACGGCAGACGTCGGTAGTGAGGGCGAATCCGTCTCGGAGGACCCGAAAGTAGACTCTTCAGACAGAAAGTCCATCCCGGCTATCTGGAAACCAGTCATTGACGCCTTGAGATGCCTGGTTCCATGACGGTGAGAGACGATGGCGAAGGGGATCGCAGCACTCGAACGGTGAAATGCCGCGGGATGCGGACGCTGTCAATCGAGCCGTGCAAGCGTGGACTTGGAAGAAGCAGAGCGCGCATGCTGCGAACCTACCGGAAACTGTCAAAAAGGCCTGCAAGCGCAAGTCTGCTTTCCTCAGGAGCCTGGAACACGGTGGACCCTAGACCGCCTATTGCAGCGATGTTGTTATTGTATAGATGCTGTCGTATTCTTTGACGCATTGATGAATGATCCCCAGCGCAGATGAGATTGTTGTAGAGAGCCTGCCATACTTTGCCGTTTGACTCTCTTTGCTAAGTGGCTGAGGGCTCGTGAGCCCGCATTAAAGGTCTACTGTAAAATGGCCAAGCGATGCTGCATCAACTGCTGCGACATCACTTTCTGACCAGATGGAACCAGAAGACCAGCTCAAGGCTCAGCCTTGACAAGCTCAAACATCAGTCCTGCAAGACCATTGGAGCGTCAAAAGGTCACAACTTGCGTGAGTAGCGGTTGCCTTATTGGAATGTTACTCTCTAATGATCAGTAACGCCAATACATATACAAACATTGCATACTCCGAACCTAGCAAAGACTGAAAGATCGAAACCTCCAACGATGTAAGTCTCAAGCAGATTTGGGCAATATGGAAAATGAGCCCATGTTCATGACCCCGTCGAACTATCCTGACAAAAGAACACCGTCTGTTAAGCCGCACTCATTCAATGCCAGCCTTCGCCAAGTCCCCCGTGTGTGCTATCCATCTCAGCTATAGTCGGACTCAGCGTTGGTGAAGTGAACGAAGCAAAACGTTGGTCCAGCGGCGGACTGTGCATCTGAGACGTGAATGAAGGAAACTTCTGCTCCCCGGGCGGAGACGCAAGGGACATGGGCGTGGTAGGATACGGCGTCTGTTGCACCGGTCTGCGCCTTCTGAGCAAGAGGACAACTGCTACGACTGCAGCGAGAAGCACCGCAGCTCCGCCAATAGCGATACCCGCAATGGCGCCCGGACTTAGTGTCGCCTTAGATGCGGTCGTGGATGGATTGCTAGCCGTTGATGTTGGCTCTTTGCTCGCTGAGGATGTTGGAGAGGATGTGGATGATATTGTGGTAGGGATAAAGGGCGTGGGTGTGGCCGCAGAAGAATCCTGCGAAGATGAGACACCGGCTGCAATGCCGTTGGCTGTAAGGTTGACATAAGCAGCACAATCCGCATTAGGTACAGCTAATGGGCAGGTATCAGCTTGACACAATGAGAGTAATTGAGGTCCTTGAGCTGGATTCTCTGTGACAGGCGGTGCACAGCGGACATTGTACATGCCGTTCAGGTCTGTATTTAAAGTCTGGCTGTCTTGGTCTGAGAAGCCGTAGTTTGTAGTAGCCATGCTAAGCTGATTGATGAAGTGGCCGAGGTCGGTGTAATTGAGGTTCATGTATTTATGGACGTACGCAAGACTGAGGGGACCACTGCTGCCACTGCTGGAGGGAGGTGGGGCTGGCGGATCTGAGCAGCCGAAAATGTGACTGAAGGCCTGGAAGAAATGTGCAAAAAGGCGACTGCGTGGACCGTTGTTAGCATAGATAGGTGTGGGCGGAAGACACAGCATACTACTGGTTGGTCGTATTTGTCAACATGACATTGGATGTTGAGCCGTTGAGGTAGCTATGTAATGGGTCAAGTCCCCCATCATCTAGCCAATTGATGCCCACTGCCTGATCGTTGAGATTGGTAGAGTCAATTACACCATTGAACCAAGGAGCAAGATCTACGCTTAGATCTTGGAAGGTGCCAGGATTGAGGATCCCTGTTATATCGGATGAGATATTGGTGTTACTCAACGGCGCTCCACCAAAAGCGAGCGCAACGATGTGTTGCACGAGCTGGTTTTGGGTTTGGCTGTTGTTCGCACCGTAAAGGTTCTGAGCATAGTAGTCACATGTTGAAGCATTGCTCGGGCGCTGAGCCAGGCTCACTCCAAACAGAAGTACAACAACGAGCAACATACTGGGCGACCGAAGGCCGTGGCGAACTTCAGCGGTTACAAAGCTAGCAGTAGAAACCAAAGGCATTGAGATGAAGGCATATTCTTTACTGTTGGTTGACAGGAAGTCTCAGCCTTGTAATGAGCCGTCTTTGCCGACTCCATGAGCGATATAATTGATTGGCATGTGCTCTCAGTGGCCATGTATGCAGCCATGAACGCCTGGTTGCATGGGGGAAAGGTAAGCGACTGGAATGGATAGAAAAACCCGAATCAACAGACTCTTGACTTGAAGAGGGTTGTTTCCGCTTTGGTAGCTGGAACGGCCACAGTCCTGTGGCTTCAAGACGGTGCAATTGTTTCGATATGTACCCGGGCATCGAAAGACTGGAGGAGAAATTTCGCTTATCTGTGCTAGTCCGACGGAACTTCTCTGATTTCGAAGAAAGAGTACAGCGAAGTGAATGAGCATATACTCGCCTAGGTCTTGCAATAGCATAAAAAATTAGGCTGGGACTCTGTCGACCTGGGATAAAACCTCAGCTCGCACGCCAAGAAGTCGAGGAACACTCGGATTTTGCGGCTGCCATGCATGCCCTGAATTTAAGGGTGTATTCTGCGGTTGAATCATTGGATTAGGATGATTCCCCTTTGGGATACCGACAGCATCCTGCATGCATTCGAAGTTGCTTGCCTATCATGACCGCCAAAGATTTCCATGGACACGGTAGATCCGGCCTAATAGTGCGGTTGCTTCTTCAAGTTTCAGCTTGAACCACGTCCCAATATCGAGGCACCATGGTTCACAGATTCATTGTCGCCATCAACGATATGACCATCTACTACTAGCACTAGCGATAACTTCAGTCACAGCACCTTCAAATCGCTGAGATAGCCCACACACTTCTTTTCATTCTCGCACGTGCCCTCTTTGGGGCTCGGAAGAGTCGTAATTAACAAGGCTGGTCTTTACTACCTATGCTGTTACGTCAGCTCATTTAGTATAATATACAGCGCGCGGCAGAGGAGACAATGGAAGCTGAGTGGTGTGCTTTTGGGGGAAGAAGGTGTAGCCGGGCACGTATGAGTATGAATAGATGGAGAGTCTTTGGGCGGCGCGACTGGGATGTTGGAAACCGTTATCGAGAGGCCGAGGCCACCACCTTTTTCGTCGTGATATAGACGTACTGGCCTGGTTATTGATCAAGCCTATCGCACTTGAGCAGTCATTGGCACAGCAAAGTATCATCAATTAAGCCACATAGCTTCGTCCGCAGCGGTCTCTGTCCAGACACATAATCTTGTGCGAAGGGGCATTTGCTCGAAAGAACGGTGATTGCTCTGCCATAACTAGCATTCTTATACTTTTCTGCTGTCGAACCTCGCACTGACCGTCAAGATATTGGCTTAAGCTGTCTGAACGACACCTTCATGTCGGAAAGAGCATAAATAATCCTGGGGAGATGCTATGGTATGAGGACTGGCTTCGGGGTAAATCTCCGCAAAAAGCGTCATTTTCTTTCGGGGCTTTCCTACGGCCGTGTCAAGTAGAGTAATCTTGAAAATGGGACTTGACGGCGCTCAAATGCATAGCATTGGGGAACTGGCGAGGTCATTCAAGAGTATTATACGTCCAGTCAACAGGCCAGATTTTTCTGGCATGTGCTGAAGGAAGGAAGGAAGGAAGGGGAATGAAGCCCCCACGGTTCACGCTCACCTCAGCCCTGCCATCCCACGTCAGAGCCGTTTTCTGTTGACCAGTGTTCTTCTAACCAGTGCTTTTTTACTGCGTCACACTTATTTGATACAACAGCATTGACTTTATGATTGTAACGATTTATCGCCTTTGGTGACGAATCTAAGCATACCCGTTTTCCCGCACAGTCTCATCGCCGGACCGTGTCACGCACATTTATTATACAGTGCCCGCGTGATCCAGTACTCCAAGGCAACCTAAATCCCTTCAGTACCAACAAATATCGACACCTATCACTCGTGCTCCCCATACACAATTTGATGAAAGCCCCATCCGACCTTTGCCAAAATTGAACAAGATATGCCCCGGTAACGCCCTGTGTCTGGCTCGATGTCCAGCCAAAGGAACACATCGTCTCCTTCAAGGCCCAGGCCTGTACCAAGCTCAACCTCTCCTGGCACCTCACGAGGCCGGTCGCCCGCAGCGGAGTCTACTCCTCGAGCAACCTCAACCGCCAGACTTGGGTCTCCAATTGCCTCCTTCGGCGCTCAAGGCTCTCCATCCATCCGTCAAGTTCCTGCTCCGAGCCAACTCAACAGCGAAAGTCATACACCTCTCGCCGGGACCGGAACATCTGAGTCGGTACCAGGGTCAGGTCATTCTGCCCTTGCTGCCGCATTGCAGGGCTCGTTTGGGAGAAGTCCACCGAGGTTTGGAACGCCGCCGTTACGACCCGTATCCCCTAGTACTGCGGGTGCTGCACTGCAAGGGAGCGGGCCTCAGACAACATATGGCTCTTTCGATAGCCGGTCCGGGCAGGGTGGTCAAAGGCGTATATCAGGCGCTCCTAATGAAGATCCGAAAGTGGTAAAGCGACATCTTGTGCAGCCGCCGAATCTGGACGGTGTTAACGACAATGGCGAGGGTAGTTCTACCCTCAGCGATAGAGCATCATCGGTGAACGTTGGAAATGGCAATGGCGGAAACGCTGCAACGGGTATAGGTGATGACGAGTTCTCCAGCCTGCGTCTTCAGGGAGGAGACATGACTCGCACAATTTATCGATGGGCTGAAAACGCCGAGGCACCTGGCCGGGCAAAACGTAGCAAGAGCTGGCATATTTCTCGTCTTGAGCCCGAAGACGAGGAACTCAAAGCGAGTGCCATAAAGCAGCCTGGTGGCTTTCGGAGGAACTACTTGAGACGACAAGCCCCCGACCAAATTTCAGGAAGGAGCAGAGGGCCAAATGGCCTGGAATCGCAAGAGGACTCTCCACAGACTGGGCGACCTATGAAGATCATAACCAACAGCTTCTACGAGTTCCTTACCATCTATGGTCACTTTGCAGGAGAGGAGCTCAAAGAAGACGATGAGGAAGAGTACTTCAACTATGAGCCATACGTCGATGAAATGGAAGGCGAAGAAAGGGAGGGTGAGCCCGGGGAAGGAAGTGCACTTTTGACGCCGGGTACTCCTGGGATGCGGAAACGCAAGGTTAAGGACCGAGGTGTAAAGAGTGAGAACACTCCCACCGGTGCAGCGCTTCTACTACTCAAGTCTTTCATTGGAACTGGCGTCCTCTTCCTTCCCAAGGCCTATCTTAATGGAGGAATGATGTTTTGTAACGTCGTCCTTTTGGGGGTTGCATCGTTAAGCTACTACTGCTTCATCCTCCTTGTCAACACTAGGCTTAAGATTGAGGGCTCTTTTGGTGACATGGGTGGAATACTCTATGGGAAGTGGATGCGTGCCCTGATCTTAACCTCTGTTGCACTCAGCCAGATTGGTTTTGTGTCCGCCTATATCGTCTTCACTGCCGAGAGCCTGCAAGCATTCGTTCTGGCGGTGTCGAAGTGTCGGACATGGATCGACATCAAGTTCATGGTTCTCATGCAGCTCGTTATCTTCCTTCCGCTGTCTCTAATCAGAGATATCAGCAAGCTGAGCTTGACTGCCATCATTGCCGATGTCTTCATCGCCCTTGGCCTTTTGTACCTCGGATACTTCGATATTCACACAATGGCGAAGTACGGCGTAGCCGATATCACCAACTTCAATCCTCGAGATTGGACTTTGTTCATCGGCACAGCGATCTTTACCTTCGAGGGAGTCGGTCTGATCATACCAATACAAGAGTCGATGAAGAATCCTTCCAAATTTCCCCCGGTCCTCGCAGGTGTGATGATTTTCATTACAATTCTCTTCATCCTCATGGGCGCCTTGTCTTATGCAGCATTTGGATCGGCCACAAAAACCGTTGTACTTTTGAACCTGCCTCAGGACAGCAAATTCGTCAACGCAATACAACTCCTCTACTCATTGGCTATCCTTCTGTCCACGCCGCTTCAGCTATTTCCAGCGATCCGGATCATGGAGAATGAGATTTTCTCGCGCAGTGGGAAAAACAATCTCTACATTAAGTGGAAGAAGAACGTCTTTCGGTTCTTTCTTGTTGTGATGTGTGCGCTCATTGCCTGGGGTGGAGCAGGCGATCTGGACAAATTTGTTGCTCTTGTTGGCAGCTTCGCCTGTGTACCCCTGGTCTACGTGTATCCAGTGCGTAATATCCTCTGCTTCGGTCTCATAAAGGCTAACGTCACCTCAGGCTATGCTTCATTTCAAAGCTGTCGCAAATTCGAAAAAGCAGCGGATTGCTGATGTCACTTTGTGCGTTTTTGGGTGCGCGGTAATGGTATACACTACCACACTAACGGTCAAGAGTTGGGCCAACGGATCGAGTAGCAAACCTCCGGGCTACTGTGACGAGTGAAATTTGGGAAAGCCGCGCTGGCTTGGGTAATTCTCTCCTGTTTTACAGGATTTTGGGTTCTTTTTGTTGCATAGCGAAGCATAGCGTTGCATCTAGATACCAGGTCGTGTCAGTAATGTTTTTGCATACTTGTTTAAGAGTTTCATATGCCTTGTGAAGAATAATCGTTACCGTCCGAATTGGGAGCGACGGAGATAAAACGCGGGGATAGCGCATTCACTGTAACAAATTTATCTTTGGCGGCAGTAGAGATTCAACATCAATCAAGCGTCATGGCTACGGAGACAATAATAGCAAGTGCCAACGGAATGGCTACCCCTGATCCACCTTCGCAAGTCAGAGTACAGCTATCAACACGCCATCCTGACATCTCACTGCCAGAGAATCCCGGCCCAATCCTGGTCAATACTAGTAATGTGATAGTAGAGCTCTTGAATTCTATTCCTACTGACAACCTCGCTAGACCTCCGGCGGTATGCCCTTTCCACGCTCGTTAATACTCTATTGCAGTCCGAGAAGCCCATACCATTCGAGTTCCTCATCAATGGCACGTTTCTTCGAACATCTTTAGACGAGTACCTCACAGCGAATGGCATATCTGCCGAAACCACTCTCGCAGTCGAATATGTACGTGCGATTATACCGCCACTCTATCTTGCCTCCTTCGAACACGATGACTGGGTCAGCGCTGTGGACGTTCTCTCGGAGACCTCTCCAGCAGGCAAATGGGCAGGCAGCGCAGGAGCAAGAATGCTTGGACAAGAAAGAATATTATCTGGGAGCTACGACGGTCTTTTGAGAGTATGGAGCATGTCCTCTGAGGTACTGGTGACATCACCATCAGCAGGCAGTGGAGGACACACGTCCTCGATCAAAGCAGCAAAATACATATCCCCGTCGCACGTCGCTTCTGCTGGTCTAGACCGCACAATACGTCTATGGAAATACTCTGAGGATTCTGAAGCATCCAACGCATCCCTATCGCCTCAAATCGAGCTTTACGGTCACAAGGCCAGCATCGACTCTCTCGCCGTTCATCAACCCTCGTCCCGCATCCTCTCCGCCTCTGCGGACCACTCGCTTGGTCTTTGGTCGACTAGGAAATCCGATGCACCTGCAGCTCCAACATCTCTTCTTCCCTCAGCTACCTCTCGAAGTTCTAAGCGCAGGAAAACGGGCACCTCAACATCCACCCCCCAACGAGGCCCCCTTTCTGTCCTCAAATCTCACACTGCCCCCGTCTCCGATACCATCTTCGCTCCGAACGACCACACAGTAGCCTACTCCACGTCCTGGGATCACTCTCTCAAAACCTGGGACCTCCCCACCTCGACCTGTGTGGACACGCGCTCAACGTCGCACTCTCTCCTCTCTCTCACCGCTCTTCCTTCTCTTAGCCTCCTCGTAGCTGGCACGTCAGCACGCCATATCACCCTCATTGACCCCCGCGCCTCCGCGACTACCGTCTCAGCTATGACATTGCGCGGCCATACTAACGCGGTGGTTAGCCTGGCAGCAGATCCAGAAAGTAATTATGGGCTTGTGAGTGGGAGTCACGATGGGACGTGTAGGGTGTGGGACGTGAGGAGCTCGAGGAGCGAGAAGGAGGGTAGGGTGGGTGAGAGCTTGTATGTTGTTGAAAGGGAAAGTTTGAAGGGAGAGGGGAAAAGGCTGGTGGAGAAGGCGTGAAGGTTTTTGGCGTGGCTTGGGATAAGGGTGTGGGGATTGTGAGTGGAGGAGAGGACAAGAGGGTTCAGGTGAATAGAGGAAAGGGAATCGTATCGGAGAAAGCGGCGTAGAGGATATAGTTTGGGAGGGATAGATACCCAGTGCCAATTTGTCTCACTTCGTCTTTTGATGCTGGTGCCCCAATGGTATGATAACCTGACTCTTGACGTGGATGTCCACCCCACGCAACAACGCCTGAGCTATGCTTCTAATCCTTTCTCTCCCCGACCCCTCCCTCCCCTCAGCCCAACCGTTCAACCCTGTTGAACTTCGACGCCGTCGCCGTTTGCGTCCTCGTCCTCTGTCCCCTCACCGGCATCCCCATCGCGTGTCTCCTCCCCCTATACGTGCCCATATCCCGCAACCTCGTAATGTTCTCCCTCAGCTCTCTCCTCAGATCGTTTTCGATCTTCATGCTTGCGAGCTCGGCGTTGATGTCCAGCACGGTCTGTGAGTTGAGGGAGCTCAGCCGCGCGGTGGGGTGGATGTGCAGGCGGGCGAGCAGGTGCCGGGATATCTGGGGTCCGATGCCGTAGAAGCCTTGGAGCGTTTTCTGGGATAAGTGTCAGAGGAATGGAGGAGGAGGGTATGGGGCAAGTACGAGGACAAGGCGTTGTTCGGAGAAGTTGTTGCCTAGGATGAAGACCTGGATCGTGTCAATTGAGCTTCCTTGGGGAGTAGAATCGAAAGCAGACATACCATTCTTACGAACGACAGATATTTCCGGGTTGCTGCTCCAAGTCGACGTCCGAGGGGTCAAGATTTCAGACTTTGAGGTTGGGAAATTAGGGCAAATCTTCGGCGATGACACTAGCGTCGATTTGATTGGAGACGCTTTCCAACAGGTGTTCTTCCGCTGCTGCGATCTCTCGTCCAAACATCAAAACTTTTAACATAGTTGATGATATACGACATGGCCAATCTACAGCGAGTCGTTATCTCATTGCTGCTCATTCTGACAGCATCGTTCCTTTTCCTCGCACAGACTTCGTCTGCGGCCAAAGGACCAAAGATTACCAACAAGGTAGCGTTCCATACATCCCCACCTGCTGTAGCAGGTCAATTGACAGCTGCTGTTAGGTCTATTTCGATATTACACATGGGGATGAGGAATTGGGCAGAGTCGTCATTGGTCTCTATGGGAAGACAGTCCCCAAGACTGCTGAGAACTTCCGTGCTTTGTGCACAGGGGAAAAGGGCTTTGGTTATGAGGGATCGGCTTTCCACAGAGTCATTAAGCAGTTCATGATCCAGGGTGGTGACTTCACCAATGGCGATGGTATGGACAAAGTACGAAAGATAGCACAACAGATGGGTGTTGACATTCACATCAGGCACTGGCGGAAAATCCATCTATGGGAACAAGTTCCCTGATGAGAACTTCAAGTTGAAGCACACCAAGACTGGCATGCTCAGCATGGCCAACTCCGGAAAAGACACCAACGGTTCCCAATTCTTCATAACCACAGCTATTACTTCGTAAGTCAGCTATCCTAACTCCCAATCCGGGGCCTATGCTAATGCTACATCAGATGGCTGGATGGAAAGCATGTAGTCTTTGGAGAAGTCTTGGAAGGCTACGATATCGTGGAGAAGGTGGAAAACGTGCCAAAGGGCGCTGGAGACAAGCCTGCCAAGACCGTCAAGATCGCAAAGGCGGGGGAGTTGCCGGTGCCAGAAGAAGGTACCCACGCGGAGCTTTAGACGCTTCTTCATCTCTTGTCACTCGTGATGCTCTGAAATGGCTGATATGTGTCGGTAAAGAACTCATCGGATCGGCTCTTCCTGCGGTGCCAGGCGACGAGTTGGACGTGACATTGGGGGATGAACCCAAGCAACAGCTAGAAACTACGGAATCTGATATGATTCCTCCAACGGAAAGTCACGGTTTGAGCATCTTGACAAAGTTGATTTTCTTTGGCGTGATCGTTGGTGTTGTGTTGAGCTTCCTCAGGACTCGCAAGCCTATGGTAGAGAAAAGTTTCGCCTGATACCGTAGCCATAGCAATATAAGAGAGGAATCTCCACCACAAAATTGGCGTTACTTTCGAGCAATGCAGACTTGCATGAGAAAACGCAGGTTCGGAACGCTCCTCTGAGGTCTAGAAACCAATTCAACCGGCGCTAGTGTCGAGCGCCAAGGCCGGTTTGCAGGGCCGAACAGAAATCACTAAATTATCAAACTTTTTTGCCTGCTGGAAATCTTCCTGCATCTTTCTCACAACCCATATGAGAAATTTTACCCCCAGATCCACTTAACATATAGCACTGTCCTTTCTGTGGAGAGTGTTTCCTTCCGTTTCTGTCAACTCTCATCCACGACCGAGAGATTTACAGGAGCTTCAGAAGTCTCAACTTCTTCACTTCTTTCATCTCACATTACGGCCCAGACTCCTACGAACTCTCTGTATTTTACACGTCGTCCAAGCCTTAGGTACCTCTCCAAAGACTTATCTTACAAATGTAAGTCAGCTCTGCTCCCAGGCTCACCAGCAGACGTCGATGTGATTCTCTTATCAGCTCAGCCTGACGCATTGCTAAATCAATCACTGAGACCAGACAGTAACACAACACAATACTGAATTGCCGCCGCAGTATGGCTGATCAACTCAATATGAACGGATTGTCCTTGGATTCCCAGCATGGACAAGGACGCTCAGCTTACATCCCACCCCACATGCGCGGTATGCCCCCACCACAAATGGACGGACCACCGCCTCCTATGAACGGCCCAGCCAATGGGAGTGCTTGGAACGAACCATCAAAGTAAGCTCGAACAGTCGTCAAACCTCCAACCAGGACGAGCTAATCTTCATGTATTAGAGATGTGAGGAATGACCCCCACGCCGCCCCGAACTGGGCAAATGCTCCAAACTTTACCCCAAGAAGCTATGGAGGCCCTCCTACGAACGGCGTTGCTCCTCCCCCTTCTACTTGGGATAACCATGCTGCCCGTGCATTTGACGAGGGCGCTTACGGAAAACCTGGAGGAGGAGGAGGAGGTTCATCATACGGCGGAGGCGGAGGAGGTGGTTCTGCCCGCGGATCAGGCGATGGGCAGTGGAAAGATGGCAAACACATCCCTGGACCTGTCAATCAACGTGTGGAGCGTGAACTCTTTGGTGTTCCCAATGACCCTTCCAAGTTGCAAACCGGTATTAATTTTTCTAATTACGATGATATCCCTGTTGAAGCATCCGGCCAAAATGTTCCAGAGCCTTGCCTGCAGTTCACAAACCCTCCTTTGGACGACCACCTACTTTCCAACATCAAGCTTGCAAGCTACAAGACTCCCACGCCCGTGCAAAAGTATTCTATCCCCATCGTCATGGGTGGTCGAGACCTGATGGCTTGTGCTCAGACTGGCTCGGGAAAGACCGGCGGTTTCCTTTTCCCGATCCTATCACAAGCATTCATCCATGGTCCATCTGCTGCTGCACCTCCTCAAGGTGGTGGTATGGGCTACCGCTCGCGAAAAGCATTGCCTACCTCTTTGATTCTAGCTCCTACCAGAGAGCTGGTGTCTCAAATTTATGAAGAATCTCGAAAATTCGCCTACCGTTCTTGGGTTCGTCCGTGCGTGGTGTACGGAGGAGCCGATATCGGCACCCAGCTACGCTCCATGGAGCGAGGGTGCGATCTGCTTGTTGCCACACCTGGTCGTCTTGTTGACTTGATTGAGCGTGGACGTATTTCTTTGCTTAACATCAAGTATTTGGTCCTGGATGAGGCGGATCGTATGTTGGACATGGGTTTCGAACCTCAGATTCGTCGTATCGTCGAAGGTGAAGACATGCCTGGAGTTGACAGACGCCAGACGCTCATGTTTTCAGCAACATTTCCCCGAGACATCCAAATGCTTGCTAGGGATTTTCTGAAGGAATATGTGTTTCTCTCTGTTGGTCGTGTTGGATCAACCTCGGAGAACATCACGCAGAGTGTCGAATATGTTGAGGACCCAGATAAGCGCTCTGTACTTCTGGATATCCTTCACACCCATGGTGCTGGTCTTACCCTGATCTTCGTGGAGACCAAGCGTATGGCAGACTCTCTGTCAGATTTCTTAATCAACCAAAATTTCCCGGCCACATCCATCCATGGAGACCGAACGCAGCGTGAGCGTGAGCGTGCTCTAGAGATGTTCCGTAACGGACGCTGCCCAATCCTGGTTGCTACCGCAGTCGCTGCCCGTGGTCTCGATATTCCTAACGTTACACACGTTGTCAATTATGATCTACCAACTGATATCGATGACTATGTTCATCGTATTGGTCGTACCGGTCGTGCTGGTAATACCGGAAAGTCAACCGCATTCTTTAATCGAGGCAATCGCGGCATTGTCAGAGACATGATTGAGCTCCTGAAAGAGGCCCATCAAGAAGTCCCTGCGTTCCTGGAAAATGTTGCCCGCGAAGGCGCTGGCTTCGGTGGAGGGGGTGGCCGTGGTGGTCGCTCAGGTGGCCGCGGACGTGGTGGAGCGGCCACCCGTGACTTCCGTAAAGGCGGCGACCGATTTGCCCAACAGAATGCCTACGGCGGCGGTGTTGGCGGTGGTAGCGGCGGCGGCCCACCAGCTGGTGGATTTGGTGGTGAGCTCTCCTTCTGATAAGCCAAACCATTGATGCTGATACAACTGCAGGATACGGTGGTGGTGCACCGTCATATGGAGGCGGCGGCGGCGGCTATGGCGGCGGTTACGGAGGTGGCGGTTACGGGAATCCCTCTGGACCTGGAGGGCAGTCTTCCTGGTGGTAGATGCCACTACCGCACCCATCGGCGCCTCTTCTCCAAATAATACAGGGGAAGACTGTTCTTGCACGACCCAGTCCTGGCGCCTGGCTGCAGTGCTCGATCACATCACGATAATTCCCTAAATTTCTTGCAACAGCATTTAGATCTTCGATTCTTCACGGAGCCTCTTTCGGTGCCGACATTTTTTCCTACTCACTCTTCGACATGCTAGGACTGGCGCAGCAAAGCGATGCCGACGTCCACCACGGGGCGACGTTGCAACTGTCCATCAGCACGTATCATAGATAGCGTTGGCTTATACCCATTCAGACCGATTGGCCTCGATACCCTGCGCAGGCCTGGAGCCTGACGGCTTACGCAGGAAATGCGCGGTCTTCATGGGCGTTGATCTTACGAATCTTGCTGCGTTTATGCTAGCCCAGTAGGCTCCTGGCATCCCGACGACACGATAGATCTCTTCCACCTCAGCTGTTTCACTCGAATTAATGTGTGCTCCATTTCTTTACAAAAGCAAATACCGACCAATTTTCATCGATCCGGACCTTGCATTGGCCGTAACATACACACTTCCCTCACGGCAAGCTCGGTGTTCATAACGTGTCAGTGATAGACAGCATCTGAATGCAAAGGGCGTTGTTCAGGCGCATAGGCCGCAATGCTCACATTGGGTGGGCTGTTGTGCTTAGTGCGCTGGGGATAGCCTTCGGACGTTGCATTGAGCGATACTTGGGACCTCTGAGCTTTGTCTCCAGGTGTCATACCTCAAAGACAGGATCACAGGATCCGATGACCTAAGCGTTGGTCTCTAAGACCAAAAAAAACAGTCTCCAGCTTCAGATAAGAACCAATTGCATACTTGCCTCCAGTAATCCATAGACTTACCATTGAATTGACATGTAAGGTAGACGCTGCTTCGGTTGAATGAGAACTTGGATTCAATTGGGCCAATTTAGAGAATCTAGATGGCTGATCCTCGGGGATACCGCGGAAGTAAGCCGCCCGAACAGGCCGTGAGGCCGAATTGCTTCAATAAAGCTTGCATCGGTCGTAGGCCCAGTACGTCCACCACTCCCCACACCATCTTCTAACTCACGGGCTACCAACGTTACTGGTCATGAGCAGTCAATCACCGCTTCTGTATCGAATTGACAGGTAGGGGAACGACCTAAATCCCCCGCTATCGATAGGGGATGCATAGCCGCAAGTGCTCGCTTCCGAGCTCCTGAAGGGGAAATAGGTGTCAAGATAGGTCTCGCTCGAGCAGAATCAATAAAGTCGTGAAAAGATGGAAGCGGAGCCCGAAAACCAGCCCGGTGCTCGTTCTACTCTATCACCACGAGCGAACAAGTCCGATCCCAAGCAGAGCTTACAGCACATTCTTACTTCGTCAGAGCCTCTCGTCAAGACCAAACATAGGCCCGATGATCAGCTGACTCCTAGCGAGCCTGTGAAGCCTGAGACCCCCTCGAAACAGCCAATCATATGGATTGATGGAGATTCAGGACAAGTCGATGAAAGGGACAAGGACGAGCCAGCGAGTGTTCAGAACGACTCTTACACTCGCGCAGCCGAATTCAACCCGTCACACACCATGACCGTCGCCCATACTCGACGAAATGCCAATGGCACCATCGGCTCTGTGTATTCGGGAAACAAGATACGGCATTTAAAGAAAGAAGATGGCATACCTCTTTGGCGGAAAGATATACAATTGAATTTTCTCGAATGTGTTTTCGAAGATAACACTCTGGTCTTTACCAAAGCTTACGATGGAACGACGGGGCATACATTCGCCGACATCTACGTTGATGCTATGGCACGAAGTAGCAAAACAAGCAAGATACTCAAAGAGAAGCTGCTGGCTGATCGTGGAGCTGCTATGCACATGGCTATGGTTTGCTTGTTAGTCAACGTGGGCAGAATGAATACGACGCTGAATTGTATGTGGTCTATAAATTTACTCATTGAACGAATGCTTACAAGGATGCAAGTCTTTCCCGAAATGCGCGCTCAATTGCGGACATACCACTCGATACCTTCACTTCAAGCTAATCAAGATCCCAATGCATACAAACAGCTTCAAGATGCTCCCCGCCTCAAATCAATCCTCAAGGGCGCTTCCGAAGACGCGAACCAGCCGGGTACAATTGACAAGATCAAAGCGCTTCCCATTCCTCGTACTAATCCTGTGAACCTCATCTTCGTCCTCTCTCAATATGCTCCTAAAATATCAGAAATCCATTTCCATCCGCCGAGAGATTTTTTCGACCTCGTCATGCGATCCACGCTGAGCAGCAAGAGCAGAGCAAGATGTTTTCTATGGCTTATTTGGTTCTACCTCGAGAGCGATTTTTCCGAAGAGGCGGCTCTGAAGAATCCATTTGGGCCAGGGCAGCACGGACCTGAGACGGGCGGCTTGCCGCTCAAAGTTCCTCCATTCGAGCACTTGACGGAGGCCCAAGCGGAGGCGGAAAACGTTGACACCGAAGATGAAAAGACCTATGGGGAGGTGAAGAGGCAGGAAAGGATCCGCATCTTACAGGAGGATGAGACGGTGGGTCCTCCCATGAAAAAGGCCAAGAAAAGTAAGCCCTAAAAGACAACGGAGTCGTCACCACAAGGCGCTTGAGTGCCTAAATGCCTAGTTAACGACTATTAGATCCAACGACTGACGAACTGGGTGTCATTGCAATCTCGGATAACGACCCCACCCGCACGCCGTCTCCCACCTCAGCTTTACAATACAAGCCGCTTGCCATGGCCTACGACGGCCCTAGCGTAGACATGAATGGAGAAGCAGGGGTCCCCTTATTTGGCCGATTCCCACCTCCAAATAGGTCAGATCCACAGCGTCTGGTCCTCAAAACGCGGATGGACCCTCATTCGTCGTCTCCTGTTCCTCCTGGTTCTGGTCACCCAATTTTGTATAGTGCAGCTTCTAATGGGATGAGTTCACGACGTCCACGCCCAGAAACCTCTCATCAAAAGGCGGTCAATATCAACAGAAAGATGCGGATCGATCACATCTTACACAAGCAAATATTAGCGGAGCATGACGAGGCTCGACGGGAAAAGAGAAGGGTCAACAGCTCCTTTGGGATGATGGTCATGAAGCGTGTCAGGAATCTACCGGACATGTATGATACTGACGACGAATGTTCATGGGGACCTGGAGGCATAATGCCAAATCCCAACGAAGCTGAAGACTTTGGTGAGGAAGCGCTGGCTTACAAGAAGGCCATCGATAGGGCAGTCAGGAGACTGTACAGAGAAGAGAATAGGGGAGCTTTGGGTGGTTTGATGGAGGGATATCGAAAGCGGAAGAGGAAGTCACGGGGTTATGCTGACGATGAAGAAAAAGACAGCCGTTCGAGGAAACGGAGGAGGGACGGTAGTAGCCCGGGTATGAGGGCAGATGGAAGCCGCGACGAAGAAAAGCCTGACGATGATCTTGACGATCTGGATCGCGCTTTACTCGGCGAAGGCGGAGACGACGATCAGGATGAAGAGGACAGCGATGACAGTGAAGGAGAGGAGGGTGACATAACAGAAGAAGATATTTACGAACGAGGCCCAGGGGTCAGCATTGTCTAGCGGTATCAGTCTGGCGCTCTGGCGTGAAAAGAAGATGGGCTGGTCATGCTCGGTAAAAAGAATGTGGTGTATAACTAGGTAGGATAGATCTGGGAACATTTCTAATCAACTGTTGCTTAAGCTCGTCTTGAGCTTGAGAGAACTAAGTGGTGGTACATGGGCAGATGTTTAGTTCTGTTTGAAAGTGCAAGTCATTTTGCATACGTACTCATCTCCATCCTGTGCTGGAGAATACGAGTATTCCGTAAATTGGGGTACAAGTGACTCGTCCCTGCATACATTTGCGTCAACCTTCCTATTATAGATTTGCAACTGCAGTCCTTCCCACCTCTTCGTAATTGATAGCTGCCTACGAGCGGGGTCGATGATTCGAACAACTACAAAAGCACGCAGACTAGCAGCTCATATTGTAACTCCGCCCTTCTCTAGAATCTCTGTCCATAACATACCACCATCTTCACCTGCGACTTCTCGTCTCTTCTGTGCAACTGTAAAATTTCCAGGTCTCGAGAAACGCAACCTCGTTCAGCAGAGATTCCCAGCCAGTCAGACAGTCAGACATTGCTCACATCGAAGAGCCATGTGCAGAAAGAATGCAGATATCCCCGGTGGAAGCGTCCATGTCGAGTCTAATCGAGAGGTGCTGCCAACCCACGTGAAGCCCTTGCACTATGATTTGACCTTGGAACCGAACTTTGACGAGTTCAGCTATAAGGGAACAGTGGTGATTGAGTATGTACGGTGAAGACAATGCAGGTTGTCCGACTTTCCTCTTCTCTGGTCAGCGTGCCCCAGGGCTTCTGGCTAACCGAGTGACTTCCTAGTCTTGATGTCAAAGAAGACACAAAGTCCATCTCCCTCAACACGTTGGAGATAGACATTCATTCAACAAAGATCTCGGCTGGTGGCAGCGAGGTCACCTCGTCCCCAAAGCTCGCCTACAACGAAGACAATCAGATGACCACAATATCGTTTGACAACTCGATACCTGCAGGCTCGAAAGCTCAGCTAACGCATACCTTTACTGGCTATTTGAATGATAAGATGGCTGGGTTTTACAGGTCATCGTACAAGGACGAGGAGGGCAAGACACAGTACATTGCAAGCACGCAGATGGAGCCTACAGATGCTCGAAGAGCTTTTCCATGCTTTGATGAGCCTGCTTTAAAAGCGCAGTACACCATCACTCTCGTGGCGGAAAAGAACCTCACATGCTTGAGCAATATGGATGTGGCATCCGAGAAGGAGGTGGAGTCGAAAATCAGTGGAGGCAAGAAGAAGGCCGTGACTTTCAACAAGACTCCTCTGATGTCAACCTATCTTTTGGCGTTCATTGTTGGAGAGCTAAATTACGTTGAGACCAAGGCCTTCAGAGTACCCATTCGAGTATACGCAACACCGGACAAAGATATAGAGCACGGCCGATTTTCTCTGGACCTCGCGGCAAAAACTTTGGCCTTCTATGAAAAAGAATTCGATAATGAGTTCCCATTAACAAAGATGGACATGGTGGCAGTCCCTGATTTCAGTGCTGGAGCCATGGAGAACTGGGGACTTATCACGTACAGGGTCGTCGACCTGCTGTATGACGAGCAGAAGAGTGGTGCTTCGACCAAGGAGAGGATCGCAGAGGTTGTCCAGCACGAACTTGCCCATCAATGGTTTGGTAATCTTGTCACTATGGATTTCTGGGATGGACTTTGGCTCAACGAAGGGTTTGCAACCTGGATGTCGTGGTACTCTTGCAATAAATTCTACCCTGAGTGGAAAGTCTGGCAAGGTTACGTCGTTGGTGATCTCCAGAGCGCACTGTCTCTTGACTCCCTGCGGAGTAGCCATCCTATCGAAGTACCAGTAAAACGTGCAGACGAGGTGAACCAAATCTTTGATGCGATCTCATACTCGAAAGGCTCTTGTGTGATCCGCATGATATCCCAATATCTTGGTGAACAGACCTTCATGGAGGGAATTCGGCGGTACATCAAGAAGCATGCATACGGTAACACCAAAACCGAGGATCTGTGGGCTGCGCTGAGTGATGCGAGTGGTAAGCCTGTGGAGAAGATCATGGATATCTGGACCAAGAAAGTGGGATATCCAGTGGTGACTGTGACGGAGAGCAAGGACTCAAAGAGTATCCACGTCAAACAGAATCGATTCCTGCGAACAGGCGATACAAAACCCGAAGAGGACGAGACCCTCTATCCTGTATTTTTAGGTCTCAAGACCAAGAATGGAGTCAACGAGGACCTCACCCTCTTTGGCCGTGAGCACGATTTCGAAATCCCTAACACAGACTTCTTCAAGCTCAATGCCGACCACTCCGGTACATACAGGACGTCCTACACCCCCGACCGTCTTGAGAAGCTCGGCCAAGCGGCGAAACAAGGCCTCCTTTCCGTGGAAGACCGCGCCGGCATGATCGCCGACGCTGGTGCCCTCGCCTCATCCGGCTACCAAAAAACATCTGGCATCCTTTCCCTTCTCAAATCCTTCAGCAGCGAATCTGAATTCGTTGTCTGGGATGAACTTCTAACCCGCATTTCGTCCATCCGTTCCGCGTGGGTCTTCGAGGACCAGAAGACACAGGATGCTCTAAAAGCATTCCAGCGCGACCTCGTAAGCCCCAAGGCTCACGAAAAGGGCTGGGCTTTCACCCCCGATGAAGATCACATTCAAGCGCAATTCAAAGCTCTACTCTTCGGGAGCGCTGGTCTTGCTGGAGATGAGAAAATCATCAAGGCCGCACAGGACATGTTCAGGGAGTGGGCTGCCGGCAACCGGAAAGCCATTCACCCGAACATCCGTGGTAGCGTCTACGCCATCGCTCTCCAAAATGGTGGTGACAAGGAATACGACACCATCTTCAACGAGTACAAGATTGCCAACGACGCAGATGAGCGCAACACCGCACTACGCTCCCTGGGCCGCGTGAAGGGCGAGAAACTGATTCATCGTTCGCTGGGTCTGCCACTGAGCGACGACGTCAAGGGTCAGGACGTGTACTTGCCTATTGCGGGGCTGAGGAGTGAGAAGGAGGGTATTGAGGGCCTGTGGAGCTGGATGACAGCGAATTGGGAGTCAATCAATAAGAAGTGTCCCGCTAGTCTGGGCATGCTGAGTACTGTTGTGCAGATGTGTACAGGCGGATTCACGTCAGAAGAACAGCTGGAGCGAGTAAGAAAGTGGTTTAAGGAGAGGAGTACCAAGGTATTCTTGACTTCCGTCTTTTTTTCTGCTGCATGAGGGTCTGGAGAAAGGAGTTATTGCTAAATTTAATGGTTTAGGGCTTTGATCGAGCGTTAGAGCAGAGCTCAGACACTGTACGCGCGAAAGCGAGCTGGTTGAAGAGAGACACAGGAGATGTGGAGAGCTGGCTCTCGGATAACGGATATCTGGCGAAGAGCGGACAGGAACTGTAGGAAAGCAGGCATGAAGACAGTGCAGTGAGCGGTAGAAGAGGCTCATTTCGTATCCTGAGCATGCATGATAGCGAGCGAATGCAAAAGCCCCTCTCCATCCGCATTCGCTTGCTCGCAAGTTTCTCCTCCAGATAAGCAGGAACTCATTCGACCCAATAGGTCCGAGGCAGCCCACTGACTAAGGGGCCGACTCTGCACCATATGCTTCGTCTAGTGTAACCCGGCAAACGGTCTTTAGACCAAACGTCCTCACTCGAGCCAGATCTCGCTAGTGAGCCACATCCTTCTTCATCCAGCCTCTCCATTGCTTCGCATCAAACGGGTGCCATAATGAGGCGCCTGCCAGACTTCTTCAAATCACTCACAATACACGATCAACGCTGACGAAAAACACAGTATGGTATGAGAGTCGAGCTGTGCGCGTGTACGCAAGGATCATATGCGTATGTGCAGCAACTGAGGTACACGGGATTAGGAACTTGTGACGAAGAAGAAGAAGAAGAAGAAGAAGAAGAAGAAGTCTGGCAAGAGCAGAGAGAGGAAGGCGGGCGAATTCAGAAGAGTAATGTCGTCAGAAGGAAGAAAGAAAGAAAGAAAGAAGGGGGAGAGAATGTTCTGGCCAGGAGGACTAAGCTAGGACTGGGGAAATGTTAGTACGTAGGTTCTGGTCGCCGCAGTCGCAGTCGCATGCTGAGACGAGGGTTCCAAATGACTAGAGTGACTGAGGAAGAGATGAAGGAACGAGAAAGGGAGGGAGAGGGAGCTCTTGGGCGGACAATCATGTATCTGTCTTGTAGGCACACATGCGCAAAGTGAGTACGTCAGGAAGGTTCTTGAAGTCTGAGCTAAGTCTTAGATGTCGGGTTCGGATTTTTCGATGTTGACACTTGTGTCATTCAGGCAATATTTCGCTCACCCTTACGGATCTGATCCAGCCCCTACCTATTACGCCTCCTCCTCCAGATGCTAAAGGATCAACAAAGGCGTCAGCATCATCGTCGGGAAACGGGGCCTGCTTCGAGGACTTTGGGTGACCTTGCGGATCGACCATGACGCGCCGAGCGGGACTTGCTGAGCGCATGACGCTGGAGGACGCCACCAGAGTCCTCGGTTGCTGGTCTCTGTCCTCGGCGATCGATCTTCAAAGCTCCCCCGGGATAATCCAAGTAGACGGTCGAAGACCGATCGTCCACGGTTGCGTCTGTTGAGTCGCTGAATGTGACGGTCGGAAGGGAATAGAATGGGGTGAAGCGGAGACCGTTCGTTGTCTTGGGTCGCAAGGATTTTCTCTGGCAAGATGGATGGGGATAAGCTTACGGGGTTGGTAAAGACCTTGACAGAAACCTGGAAAAGAGTGTGTTGTTGTGTCATCATTTGGAGAATGTGTTGTGCAAACGGAGTCGGCAGCGGACAGAAAGTGTTGTCGATGCTTAGCGCCGTCACCGAAAGACTCAACACATTTATATTTGGCCCCGTGAGCTACTTGTGTTAAGACAGGCGAGGCTGTCACGTCCACGCTGGTCAGAAGTGATTGCTCGAGATGCCAATGCGCGAAGACTCTCCAATGCGTCGAGTCCTACCAACTCGGGAAAGAGCCCCCAAGCGGATGCGGAGCGGCGCTTCTGGGCAATGACAGACCCCATTCGTTCGATTGCCATCTCCCTGACCGAGCGCCAAGGTCGCTTCTACCTTGCTCCGAGATGTACCTCAAGGCCCATTAAACAGTAGCGGGGCATGGTGTCGAATTCAGAAGGTCCCGGAGCGATTTCCCGAGCAGATGCAGAATCTTGATCAGGTTGTCCCTCCTCCTGACCAATCGGCCGAAGCAGGATGTCGAGACTTTGGCCCCTCTTCCGTTCCAGCTGCAGCCGTCTTCCGGCCATCTCTCAAAGTCCTCGCGACGGACATCCCACAGGCAGACACATCGATGCTCGGCATCATCATCTCGGCCTCCCTTTCCACCCCGCCATCTCATGGACATCCTGAGCACGTGCACCATCCAGCTCCTCAAATCCTTGCGTTTTCAGGCAGTTGCCATGGCCCAGGAGGCATGATCTTCCCGACAATCCAACCCCTTCATCCTCGCCAAAGCATCAAATCTCTTCCCCCAAGCCTCCGCCTTCATCCCCAACCCCCGCGCGCGCCGCCGTTGCCTCCACAACATGGCCGAAGCTCCCAGCGACGCTAGACCCAAGGGCACCCCCCACACCAGCACCTATCGCCGCCCGATCCTTCGAGCCCGCCGCTGCGCTGGCCGAGGCGGTGGCGGTGGCGGTGGCGTGGCTGTCACGGTGCTGGTGCTGACGATGGTAGCGGCGGCGCTGGTATCGTTCGGTGCCGTCGAGCCCGGTGTGCGGTTGTCGATCACCGATCCGACCCGGGATCGCGAACGGAGAGCTGCTGCCTTGGGTGGCGACGTCGCCGGCGCCGCCGGTAAAGTTGACGGCGTTGCGGCAGGATTCGGTCGGCGAGGACGGGAACGATCCGATCCCGTCATCGGTGTTGACTTGGATGGTGGCATTGTCGGTCGAGGTGGTGTCGTGTTCTGAGCTTGTGGAGGCGGTTGGACTCACCATCCTGACGGTGTTTGGCGCAGTCGTCACTTTGCCACGCGTGATCTGTGCAACTTCCTCTGTAGATGACGGTTGATTCCGTGAGCTGTTAAGGATTTCGGAGTCAGTGTTTCCTTTTAGGATAGAAGGTCGAGTCTGAAGACCAAGTCTAGAAAGTAAAAGAGTGCTACCTGGCTCCCGAGATATCTCCTTTTTGAATTTTGGTTCTGAGTAGGGGAGATTCCCGTTTTGGAAATATGTACTAGTACCTGTGGCAGACAAAGATGGTTATCGAGGCAGATGTCATCTGCGTAACAGCGTGCGCTTTCCTGGCCAGCGGTAGGCGCACGGCAGGGGGTTGTCACGAGGGGATTTCCCTTTCCATTCGGGGAAAATATCATGTCCGCGCCGTCGATGTGACCATCTCTCTCATTCGCGAAGGATTGCAGAGAGCGAGGACGAAACGAGACGCAGAGAACATCTCCCACGCAGACGCGATGATTCTTTTCGCAGTAGAGCATCGCAGAGGAGCCGAGGGCGCAGACGACGTTATAGGAACGGCGCGAAGGCTGGACTCACCGTTCAGGTCCCAATCCTGCGTACTGACTTTATCGTCGGTCCAGCCTCCAGGGTTTTCACGAGTCCACGAGAGGGCGCATATGTACGGCTTTCACGGAGCCGTTGCGGCCCGAACCAGTAAGTGACACTGGCCCATCCCGTCGCTTTTTCGGCCGTGGACCACGTCGGTCCCCCCCGTGATCGCGCGAGCTCGATGTGAGTGATGTCCCCTCAGCCACACTTGTGCCTCGAAGGATTCGTCCTCTGCGAAATCCTTTTGGTTCCTTCCACCGTCGGTGGCGGCTGCGACCGGTTGAAGTCTGAACAGGAAAATGCGACAAGGCGCTGGGGTTGCATGCACACTCACTCGACCGTTGCACACGGAAGGATGATACAGATGGTGGACCGGTATGGGCGATGGTGGGAGGGACATCCAGCGTTGGAATTGCGGGGTTCGATTCCCCACTTCTTCTCGAGTTGGGCCATGGGTCCCTTCCGTCTTTCGTCCGTACGGAGTGGATGTGCGTCGCGGTGACAAGAAATGGGCTGCCTGCATTTTTGCGGAGGCTTTCCCCATCCGCGAAGCCGCTGTGCGTTCGTTTCGGATCCGAAGTGGCGATGCCCCTGCTTGCAGTGTCGTAGTCTCGCTGAAGCCTTGTTCGAGATACTTTGTGGGGAATTTCTCACTTGGATCATAGATTCCATCCAGACTCAAGGCTTCGGCATCTTCGGCCGGGGAGGCTGGATAAGCTGGCTGTATACTGTTGTAGTTTGAGATCATTCGGTTACTATAGGAACATAAGTGGACAGACCCGAGGTTCAAAATCATCTGTATTTACGGGTCGGGGTATCTAAATACAGTCTTCGCCTTCCCCAACGACCCTTCGAAACTCAAGGAGGAAGTTTCAACGCCAGTGTGACCAGCATTCCTTCCCTTCATCCAACGCCTTTGTTAATGCCACCTCTTATGCAGCGCCAGATCTCCAAGGTCCACACGAATGAGAATAGAGGTTCGTAATGCATGTCATTGTGACAGGAAGAAGGTTAGTATGCCTCGCAGCCCTCGCTAAAAATGCTTGATGTGAGACGAAACACCGCGCTCTTATTGGATGCGACCATGATTTTCGATTGCTAGAATGAAGGTAGTTCCGAGCAAAAGATGACGTTTAGCGGTGCTGGAAAGACTATGTTTGATTTGTTGTACAAAGTTCGAAGGAATCTGCATGTGAAGCAGAGAGGGCGGATATGATGAGCTATCGAGGTGGAGTGGTAGCAATTGCCGGTGTCGTAGCGGTGGCAGCGACGACTGGGGATTTCGAACGAGGTGGCGTGGCATTCGGGACGCTATTGCGCCTTGCTATGATCTGCATCTTTTTGCGAAGAGCAGCGAGGCGTGAGCGGATGCCCTGAACGACTGTATGTGCTTGTCAGCTAAAATTGCATCGAGAGCTTCTTGAGGGCATGCTATTTACGTTTGAGTACGACCTTCCGGTCCTCCGCTTCCACTCCGTTCACGACCTCTTCTTCCGTGCTTGAGCCCTTGGCATCCTTGTCCGTAGCAGTTTTCTTCGAAAACGGCCCCTCGTCATCCTCAAGAACGGCCTCTAGAAGCATTATTGCCGTGACATAGTTCATCTCACAGCCCCAGAGATCATCTCCCACCAGCTCATTGACCGCGGCCGACTTGCTCATCTCCAGCGCGCGATCATACATGAGCGTCTCAGCCGTCACGCCAGAAGTCACTATGACATTGTCCGCGGATGTGCCCATGTTCGCAGGATCTGAAGCAGAGGGATGATTGCCGGGGTGGCTTGGGTGATCTGCGGGGAGCTGCTTTTGGGCCTCAATCAGCTTCAGACGTACAACTTCGGCCTTGACAAGGACCTGATTGAATCGATCTCGAACCCATTGGACGACGTTGTTAACTCGGTTACCAATAGCTGCAGCATTTGCCGTGTTGGAATGGGTCCGAGGCGATGTCGATTCGTCGACTATCTCACCACGATTCTTTCGCGCCCACCAAGCTCCCGCAATATCCATAGACCGGGCGAGCAATGACAATGCCTTGACATAGAGTACTAACGCCTCCTCCGAGAGAGTAACGATTGCATCGACGGTCAGGTTATCATCTTCACTTATACTGTTCCCGCCCTCGCTTCCTTCTGGTATTCCTGCTTGATGCAACCCCAATCCGCGATCCATCGATGGCTCCAGAGGAATTAGCTGTTTGTACTTGACCTCTGCGAATCCATAAACGACATCACTTCTCGTGGCAGAATCTTCGATTACTTGAACGGCTTTGGAATCTTCATCCAAGGGAGCTGGGCTTCTGGAACCGTCACCAATCATGAGAGGGCCGCCTTGACTCGTAGGATAGGCGGGGAAGGGGCTGTAAGAAGGAGGAGAAGGGCCGCCTCGACCAATGCCCAAGGGAGGCGAGAACCCCATACTGAAAAGCCTGCCACTAGCCATGTTGATTGCTTTTGAGATGGCTGAAGTAGCCGAAGGAATGTTCTGTAGCCTCCTTTCGTAGGAATTCTGTCGATGATGATCAGGTCTTTTCCCAGACGCCAGCTGCATGGCTCGTGACGGTGTGATTTGAGCGCCAGCGACCGAAATAGGAGCTCCTTGAGTAGTGGCTCGTCTGACCATCGCGCCACGATTTGAATCCTGCTGAGCTTGGGTTGTGCCGTGGATTCTAGGGCTCGCGGCAAGCTCATCAGCGAAAGCATTGACTTCAACTGCTCGCTTTTCTACCACCACGTAGTCTCGCTCGAACGCTACATCATGCGCTGCACGATCTCGAGCCTCCTTAGCTTCCAAAGCCGCTTTGCGCTGCTGGTCTCTCTCATCGGACCTTGGAGAATTTGGGGCTAGAGATGTCCGACTTGGTTGCTGTTGCATGACTGCGGGCGCAGTAGCTTTGCTATTATGTGCAAGCAAGTCTTGGCGTGCTGGTGCCGTAGCATGAGAAATCATACTTGGACGCGTAGCTTGGTGTGCAGCTTCTCTTGATGGTGGGTTTGCTCGAGTAGCCTCAGTACTGTTTCTCTTTTCTCGCAAATCGCCAGTAGCGGTTCGTGGTGGCGTACCAGATGATCGACGATGAGTTGCAGGCTCAGCCCTGAGCGCAACGGTTTGTGGACTGCCTGAGATCGTTCTTCTTGGAGATTGTGACACATTACCAGTCACGTCAACTTTTGAGGTTCTTGGCGCCGAACCCTCTCCCATTGGCCCTTCTGATGCTTTTTCTTTTCCCTTTCCCACTGGTTCCAAGTCCTGTTTGGGAAGCTGAGCTGGTCGATCTTCCTCAGCCAATCCGGGGATCTCATCCTTGATCACAGTATTGCTGAAGAAATCCTCAAAGCTTGTCCTCTCAACCGGATTCCGCTTCAGAAGACTCCGGATAAGCTTCCTCATACTGTCACTCAAGGCCACCTCTTCCGGAAATTTGATTCTGTCCTCGCCCCGCTCAATCTTACGTAGCAATTCCACGTGGTTTGAGGCTCTGAAAGGCGGCTTCCCCACCATCATCTCGTATAAGACAGTGCCAACGGACCAGAGATCTGCCTTTGCATCGTATTTCTCGTATCTTAGAATCTCGGGTGCCATGTATAGAGGCGATCCACATAGTGTTTCTGCAAGAGAAGTTGAAGGTAGAGACCGCGCGAAGCCAAAGTCCGCAATCTTCAGGGTAGGCAGAGATTCAATACCAGCGGCAGGGACCTTCGATTCGTCGTGAGCAGCATCTGGGACGGCTTCGGGCTTGAATTTGGCACAAAAAAGGGGCGATGGGTCGAGAAGGAGGTTCTGCGGCTTCACATCACGGTGGATGAAGTTTCCCTTCCTTAGGAACTCCAGAGCACTCGCTAGCTGCTTGAGGAAGTGTCGGACTATGACCTCGTTCAGACCACCAGCTGCAGGATTGGGGTACTTTCTTATCATGTCCCTGGTGGTATCATGACGGGACAGTGTGTCTCTCTTCTTGATGAAGTAGGACAAGTCCCCAAGCTCGCAAAACTCCATGATCAGATGTATATGGGCCGTGGTTTCTTGGCAATCCATAAGGGATACGATGTGTGGATGTTTCAAGTTCTTCAAGATGTGGATCTCCGAGTATAGATTGTCCTTTAGTTTCTTGTTAAGCTTGTGCAGGTCGACGGATTTGATGGCAACGTAGCCGGGTTGTTTCTATTGTAAAGTCAGGAGCATTAGCATCGACTTGATAGACGACCTCATGGCGACCTTGACTTGTAATAGCATACACTTGAGGATGCAGCACTTGGTGTTGCAAGAGGCTAAGGGTGATGGCGATGTGAGGGAAGTCAGAAGGGCTACTTACAGACTTGGAAGCTTTGTAAACCGTCGCAAAGCTTCCCCGGCCAATCTCCTCCAGTCTTCTGTAGCTACCGACAGCCATTTCTTGATGTGTTGGATCTTTAGTCCGCTTGGACGTCGAGGGCGATGGTTGTTTAGCCGCCATGATAGAAGGTCAGACGCGGGTGTCCTGCTTCTCTCGGTCCAGCTGACTAGGTTCGGAGCAGCGTTACCACTGCAGATGAGGGTAAAGGGTAGCTGTCAAGGAGTTGTACATTGGAAGTGCGTTTGGTGGTTGAAGGTTGCCAAAGGTTGAGGTTTAAGAGGTTGTCATGTTAGATGCAGGTCGCAGATCCTCGCAAGGGGAAGGCCGTTAGAACCATTCCGATTTGCCGTTGGGGGTGCTGCAGATGCAGGGAACTTGGCTACAGCACTGGAGTATGCTGCTTAGAGTAATTCCCAGAGTTGCCAGGCGACGCGGGGTACAGGGTATGATGTGTGTATCAGAAGCAGTAAAGCGTGATGTAGTCAGGCGAGCGGAGGCCTAGGTATAGGCCTATGACTCGACGCGGTCCAGGACGCCAAGAGAGCGATTACCCTCGACGATTAAGGTAGGTGATTAGATGATATATGATATAAACTAATGTTAAAGAAAGGGAGCTGTATAAGTGTATATATGTGTGTTATCCAAGACGGACGCCGAGCAGAATCATGATGGATTTGTAGGAATCACGGGCGAGACGGTGACAGGACAATAATACCTTACTCGTAGGCGCCCGCTCTCCCACTTCACTTCTTATCAAAAGCCGCTAGTACCGATAAGAGGATAAGCATCCGAGGGATCACACAGCACCAGACAGTAGGACATTTGGTCTACAAGCCGAGCAAGTCATACGACGAGCACGTCACTTTTCTACAGTATGGGCAATAGACATTAATATTGACAATAATCACCATGTTGCACAGATAAGTAAGGGAATATATACAATGGTTTGACTCTGGTTTGCTCTGGCTCAGTTTGATGCCCCGGAGAAAATGAAAATGAGTACCCTGGCATCGTCAAACCGTCAAACAGTCAAACCGGGCTTTTCAGCAGTCACATATGCTGCTTTCTCCATCAAGTACTCGATAACACATGTCAACCAATGCATGTTACTGACTCAAAGGGTAAGCTTAGTTTTAGTCTGAGACTTCTTGGCTGTATTGAGTATTCCGATCCTGTTGCTGTTCGGCTGCGACAGCCTACCTTTTTCTATCAGGCTGAGGGAGGAGATGGTGTGTCATGGTCCCTGCACTCTCAGCTTCATTCTAGAAGATATGAACCAATAACATTAAAGTAACTTCCCAAATTTGCCGAGAAAGCTGCCTCATCAAGGCTACCACCAGTTTGCCATGATATTTCTCCGAAACACCGACCGCTAAATCGAGCAAACAAATCAATCATATCCTCAAGCCTCGTACGAGAAGCCAAAGGATGATAGGCACGATGACATTGTCATTGCCGCCTGTTAACACTGCCTCTGTGAGACTTGCGCCTGTACCGGCAATACAGGCTTTGCCCAACGTAGTAGCCCACGAGTCTCCATGATCGCCAGCCCAGCCTCCTAGGAGAAGCCATAGCCTTGCAAAGCCCAGCCCCAAGACCACAGCCACAGCAAAAGCAAAGCTGCCTTCAAAGCTCTTGCCTCCACTCCAGCACCATCTTCGCCGTCCATAGCGTCGTCCTATCAATGACGCCGCTGCATCTCCCATGCCGACGCAGACGACCCCGCTGATCATGCTAAGTTCTCGTCGCGATACGTCCCATCCTTTCCAAGGAGTGTCTCCTGTCCGCTCAATAGCTGCCAGAGATAGCCAGAGAGGTATGGCACAGCCGATCAATAGGAAGATGTGCGATACGATGACCGGACCCCGATGGTCCCTGCCATCAACATAGGGAGCCAAAAAGTAGGTCAATGGCTTCGAAAGTGGAGGCAACTGTGATGCTCGGAAGAGGTCGAGAAGGAGAAAGACGGCCAGAATGAGTATCAGCGCAAGCGAGATGAATGTGGGGTCAATGAAAGTGGTAGGTAAAAACATGACCACCATCATGCCATGGAATACTTTACGTCGTGTGTCGACGTCGGCTACAGTACTGAGGCGAAATACAACTGTCAAGCCAGCGAGGATGATGCTGAGACAGTAAGCGCAGATGAGCAATCGTAGGTTGGCGGCTCCTACGTTTTCGGGTCGAAATAGCTCCTTCCAGCTGCGAATGTCGAGAATTGAATAAGGAGGAGTTCCTTGCGGCAAGCAAATCCAGTCCTCGAGACTCCATTTAGACACTAGGTATCTCGACAGATGTAGGTCTCCGAGTAGGTAGCCGAGAGCCCAACCTACCGGTTCCTGCCCGTGCAAAGCTTTGCCGCCAACGTAGGGCCTGATAGCAAAAGCAATTACCGCAGTCACTGTAGCATACACATAGAGTGCGAACATCCATTTCACAACAGTCGCCTGGGCTTTGGTCAGGGAGCGAAAAGACCATGACTTGGCGGACGAGAATGGAGACATTCTGCTACGTTCGAGAGAGGCTTTCGACGGGCTATCTGGAGGTGAGCCGACGTATGAAGGCAGAGTATATCGTCGTTGGCGTTCCATCATCTTTCGAGGAACTTTGGTTGTGCCACTCACTCCGGGAATTGCTGGCTGTTTCTGATCCTTCAAAGCTAAGATCGGCATCTCCAAAGCGTACTGAGCTGAACTGCCACCTTCCGTTGGCTCGTTCTCGGGCGTGTCCAGCTTCGGCAGTTGCATACTTCGCTTTCGCGCGTGAAATTTGGGGCGTCTCTGGGGCTCCTCGCTTTCTGAAGCTTCAGAGTCTATGGCCATCAAGCCCCAATTGTTGAGTTTCCTATTCAAGAATTCGTCCATCGTGTATAAGGCACCCTTGTTTCCACGGATGTGGTTTCTAGGCCGTCGATAGCGCCAAGTTGGTATACGAGCGAGCGCTACCCCCCATCTGAGAACCTTACCACACAGTATGAAGATGAATAGACCACCTATCCACACGAGTGATTGCAAGATCGAAGCTTGTGGTGATGCAGAGTCTATGAGTAGATTGATCATGGAAGCAGAAAGGAGTTGCAGTTCCGCTGGCAAGAGGCTTGTCGTAGTCAGGTACCCCAACGTGGGCAATAGAGCTTGATGAAGTGGGTATAGTAGTACCAGAACCTCAACACCAACTACATCATGTACAGCATGTTCAAGCCACATTGGAGTTTGACCGTTGTTCAAGTACCATATCTGAGAGGCCAAGACAGGCGTGGTGGATAGGATCCATTGCCAAGAGCTATACCATGGTAGATCACTGCCAAATGGAATGATCTTACTAGGTATCGAGGAAATGCTCAGAACAAGGTTAGGAAGTAGGAATCTTGGATCTGCATGCATCAACGACAATGCCACAAAGACAGGAACAAGTATAGGGTAGAGTAATGGGGCTGGGTCAAATGCTGCTGGAATGTGAATGTAGAACCGAGACCGATTCTTGGACACACTTAGAGCATGATTCTTGTATATGATCCGAACCGGGTAGAGAGCATAGAGACCCAGTACAACGACAGCATGGCTCAAAAGCGCTATCGGGACGTGATCGAGGCGGGATTCCGACGCAAGGAAGCTGGAGTGAAGATACCCTCCAGCCCATAGGCGCAAAAGCCATCCACTGTCACTGCGGCAGGCGATGAAGCCAATGGCTCCCATCAAGCTCGTTTCCGAGACCCTCCGTATAAGCTCTGCTCGTCTTCTCTGATTGAACTTTTGTCTGAGTTTGATCGTCTCTTCATCAGTGCAACTCTGACTTTGTAAGCTCCCCCAACGCTTGATTTGTGCTTTTGAGTCCAGTTTGCGGGATTCCGCGTCCAGGTACGAGGGTGTCAGCAACGGGCTGTCCGTTCCCGAGCCATTGGGGCCTTTGAGACCTTTCCTTGGCCTGATGGGTGGGGCAGGTAACCCTAGTAATGAGTTACGTCCACGCTCATCGTCGGCTTCGGTACCACTGTCACTCGGCGAGGAGGAACCTTTCCGTCTCTTCCGATGGTCAGCGTCGAAATATGTATGTTCATTCTTTTTAGAGTTCAGAGAGGCGGTCACGGTTGGACCGACGAGGGCATTGCGTAGGCATGCCGCGGCATTTCCGTTGTCTTGGAGCACATCGCTCTGTTGCTTGCTGTACGGATGAGGGGAGCGCGAAAGCCTTGGAGATCGATTTGGATGATTGTTTTCATCAGCGTTCGCTTTCAGAAGAGCGGCTTGAGCCTGGGGCATATCGAGACGTGAATGCTCAAACAAGGCTCCCCCGGGGGTGTATGTGGTAGCTTGGATAGCGCTGCGGATAGGTAAATACTGCCATTCTGCGAAAAATTGCTTCGGTCTTTCAACACCTGGATTGGAAACGTTGGGAGGTGTTGATTTCGCGGACCTTTAATGTCTTCTACGGATACGTCGCCGTGCATAGGGCAGAAGTACGCTAGGCCCCATTGGACGTCTCATGCCGACTTTTGTGACAACTATGGCTCAAAGCTATAGAAAGGCTAGAAGTTGTCAAACAAGGTGGTTTCAAACACGATCATTGGTAAAACAATCAATCTGATAAGCACCTATCTACAGAGTTTCAATTGCTCAGGCTTGTGATACTGATTACCTGTTGCTCCTATAAGTGGAGCTCCGGAATGCCTAAGCTTGTTGAAGGACTATTCCAGCAGCAACTTCTTCGCCTTCGGGTCCGTAGACGGCACTGCAGGGGAAAACTTGCATGCTGAGACCGCTAAGTAGTGCTGTACGTTGTGTATAAACCGTTGCTTGTTGCAGCTGAGGTCTACAACCCTCCACAGTCGCCAATAGTACCGTACGAAACTCTTCATCCGATGATGTCAAGGATATTGTGGCATATGAGACGATGTCAACGTATGGGTTCGTAACTCCAAGAGCCTGCCATTCGATATTACAACCACGCGGTAGCTCGTCCACTTGAACCGCAAAGAAACCGGGTGGTCCAACGAATGGGGAGATTGAGAGCCGTGCAATGTCGGGTAGAGACTGAACTTCTACCTCATCTTTCATGAAACTTCCCAAGCCACCGTACTTCTTGTCCCATGCGTCCAGACCATCCTCTTCCACTCCGTCTTTCTCCCACAGCTCCTTCTGGTGCACCCCTTTCCAGATTTCCCACGCTATGATTGCTTTCATTCGCACGTCACTCTTACCACTGATGAAAGCAATGCCTCCTGTCCACCAACTCACATTCATGGTTTTCCCAATTCTCCATAGATGTTGCAAGGCCAAGCATGCCCGCTTTGAGAATGAATCCATTTCATTCTCATTTTCACTATCCATTTGTTTGTTGCCGTCCTCAACTTGCAATACCTCCATCGATGCCGGTACCAAGGGTATCTGTCCAGCAAGGTATACTATAGCGGAGCCATGTTCGGTGTTCGTTGGCACAGATATTGCTTGCGAGTAGGGTCCAATATTGGCAGGTGCCCAGTAGGATCTTGATTGAATATGCAGACCCTCTCGAGCCGCAAGAGCGCCCAGATTGACGACGAATGAGACCATGACACTCACCTCGTCTGGCAGAGACTCTCCACATGCTACAGTCACTCGGGCTGGTGGGTTTGGTCTCTTAAATAATTGCCCATAGATGCTATTAAGTCCTGGGAAATCTGCCATCGATCGAAGCAACATGGTAGTGAAGATGATATCGTCTGTTGAGCGGTCGTTTTCCGTAAGGAATTCAAGTATTCTCGAATTGATATCCGACATTTGGTCTGTGGCAATGGTATTCGGCCCACGAGATGTCATATTAGAGATCGTGAGCATTGCCTGGGTTCTGAAGACGACGGGTTTTACTTCCCAACGGGTTGGAATTTTTCTCGGATTCTTGGCCTTCGTTTGACCAGTGACTATATGCGGATTTGCTTGACCAGTAATGAAGGGTATCTTGCCCCTCAGGTGGTGATATAATTCTTCAAACTCCCCATCCCATAGTCCGATGGTTCTCAGTAATGTTTTCCACTCTTGACCGTCGGAAGGTTCGCTATCGTCGTTGGTCACCATTGTTCCGGCATGTTCTCTAAACGCCAACCATGCCTCACCACCTCCACCCTTTTCTATCCACATCTCTTGGTCGTCGACCACAATATTTTTCCTGAATACTCCCATTGGTCCATTTACAACGAGGGTTTCGTACTCCCCACCCTCACCTAGAACACTACCTCCAAACCTGCGCATACCCTTCTCGACCCTTGCTCGTACTTTTCGATCCATCAAATTCTGCCACAGCAATTCCTCTTCCAGCCCGCCAGAAGCGACCTTCACGATACGCACATCCAAGCCAACAGCTGCCATGTCATCAAGTAAACCGCCAGCTGATGGTGGAGGAAGAGAAGGATACTGCCATAAGTAGCTCAACGGGACAAGATTGAGGCGTCGGGCTACAGACTCGATCCGTGTGCGTTGGTAGGTACTGAGTATTGCTCCGGAGCAGACCGCATTTACATGTGGATATTGCTGAAGAATTCTGCGAAGTAATTCCATCAAATCCTCTGTCTCGTCAACTCGTTGGGAATCTTGTTGATTATCTCCAGCATATTCGTAGACCTTTGACGGGTTCAATGCTGAGCCAGATATCTCCTGACGGAATACTGGCAATCCCAGTGCGTCTGAATAGAGGGGCGTAAGTCTGTGACCAGCTGTTTGATACATGTAGCTGTTGAGATCTTCTGAGATTCCGCCCAGTGACAGTGCCTGTGGCGGATACAGATTCGCAAGAGCAACAACCCGATGATTGTTGGCTAGACAGTGTAGTACCGAGAAGAAAGAGTCCTTGCCACCGGATATGAGCCCAATGACAGTCAGTGATTTGGGGTTGTCACCCATGGTGTTGCTAGGAGGCAGATTTCAAGGGACAAGGATCCTGTACATGGCAACAGAGCAGTCTTCTCCCCAGGATGCGCTTTTGATGTTACTATTCTTCAAAGGGTTCTAATTTCAAAAAAGGATGATGAGAAGTTATGGATACAGACAAGGGCTGGCCTCAGACCCATAAATCGGCGAACAGAAAAGGACTAGTAGACTCGATACGGTGCGTATCACACAAATACAGCTTCCATGGGATTTAACTGTCTCCAGAGTAGGAGGTTCACAATCTGGCTACTGCGTTCACATGTCATGTGAAAAGTCAAGGAAATCGTCGTCCTGGGGTATTCACCATCCTAGTGTCCTAGTAGATAACTTCTGAAGCTGGCAGGGCATCAAAGTATGCCTAGAATGAGCCCATACGCGACCTTGCCAGTACATTGTACAATGATATGTGTATAACACTCGCAACATGCGGAGAAGAACCTTTTATATCCGAGCGCCAAGACTTTTGACGATCCTTACACAATTGGATCACTCGTTCGTCAGCATATGACCGTACTTTTTGCAGAAACCTATTCTACTAAGATGTCGAAAACAGTGCATATAGGCTCGAAAAGCCAGTTTGACAGTCTACTTCGATCCTCCAAGATAGTAGTGACAGACTGTAAGCAAGCTCACTTACCCCACTTAATCCTACTACCTGAGGGCGCCTCATTCCAAGCAGCTCCTTGTAAAGATAATACGCTGATTCGGTTTCCTACAGTCTACGCAGACTGGTGTGGACCATGCAAACAGATAGCTCCGATTTATGAACAGCTTTCGGCGCAGCTATCTCGACCAAATAAGATCACATTTGCTAAGGTCGACACTGAACAACAACGGGAAGTTGCACAACGATACGGAGTTACGGCGTAGGTAACAGACGCCCAAACTAAAATTAGGGACACTTAACTAATCACCAGTCTCCTAGGCTCCCTACTTTTATTATATTCAAGAACACCGGAAATCGTCGAAAGCATAAAAGGAGCCGACCCACGAAAGCTCCAGGCGGTAGTCAAGAAGCTTTCAGCAGAAGCAGATTCAGATGGTGCGAATGGATTCGGGGAGGCAAGTAGCAGTGGTTCAGCATCCTGGATGGCTGCGAGTCTGCCCAAGGGCTACAGCGACGTGACGGATCAAGTGGATGTTCGGGGTCTCGACCTACTGAACTCGGCCAGCGAATGTGGCACCGCGAGAACGCTTTTCGACAACAGCAAGCCGTCCGCGCTGGACAGTGGGAAGGGCAAAGGCAAGGGGCCTTCGAACGAGGAAGAGGATAAGAAGGACTGGGTGGAGAGTGATACGGATGAGCAGCTCATGCTCTACGTCCCATTCATGTCGACACTGAAGGTTCATACGCTACACATCACTTCCTTACCAGGAAAAGATGATGATGAGCCTCCAATGCGGCCGAAGACCATCCAGCTTTATTCGAATCGCGCGCACGTACTAGGTTTTGATGAGGCAGAAGACTTGCCAGCTACGCAGGCTATTACGTTAAGCCCTCGAGATTGGGACGAAAAGACTGGGACCGCCAAGGTTGAGCTACGCTTCGTCAAGTTTCAAAATATCACTTCGTTAGTGGTGTTCATTGTTGATGGGGAAGGGAGTGGGGACAAAGTGAGGATCGATAGGATGAGGATTGTGGGCGAGACAGGAGAGAAGAGAGATCTGGGGAAGCTTGAGAAAGTTGGAGAACATGACTGATGACTGCATACATGGGATACGAAACACTTATTGACCTTTGCGAGCATGAGGCATGCACAAAAGCAAGCAGTGTCTTGCATTTGGTAATTACCAGCCAAATTTTGATAATGCCATCCTCCTTTGGAGTCCCATATGCTCTGTTTGTCCCGACCATCGTTCCTTGCGCAAACTCTGCCAATTTGTAATCTTTCTCCGTCAACGTGCAAGAACAGAGCGACAAAGAGTTCTGTACTCTAATGTCTCAGCCCTCAAGGTCAAAGTATGTTCGATCTTCACCCTCAGCTCTCTCATTCCCACATTGCATGGGGTGTAGTATTTCAACGAATAGAGCCTGCCCGGGATCACAACGACGTGCAATTCAATACTCTGTGGTACAACCGACGCTTGGGTACATCACTGAGTAAGATGACCAGGCAACACGAGGTAGAAGTCGTACCGCCGCACGAAGAAGGAAAAGAAGAGGAGGGCGAAAAGTTCGGTTGAATAGAGAACCGTAAGGCTGAGCTAGGCTTGAATTTGGAGGTACCTTAGTGGGGTGGATGAGGAGGTGGTGAGGTTTTCCTGCTGTTTCCTTTCTAACATGATATGGCTGATGATGAACGATACGAGCTGTATCACCAATATAATAGGAAGAGAATGACTTGCTCTTTGAGCAGATGATCTCAATATGACAAGTTCTGAAGCCTACGTCTTTGACAGCCTTTGGAGTGGTTGGCCCCGTGGCCGCACAACCTTTCTCATCCTTCCTTATTCACAATGAAATTCTTCATTGTCAAACGAAAAAGAATGTGGAGACCTGTGAAACCCTAGAGCTAACCGTCTGGATGACAAAATTGATCTTTTGGACGAGCACATGCCCACAGCCACGCTCTTTCGAGTAGAAGATCAGAGGCATAGCTCTCAGATTGTGTAAGCTGCTTTGCACACGAGGCTCTCTAGCTGCATTCCAAGTCTCAAGCAGCAGCTAGCAGCGCTGTTCGCGGTGGCTGCCGGGTGGAGTCTGCTCATACTTTCTTCTGTTATTGAACCAATGCCCGTATCGATCACGTCTCCCGTTCGTTCCAAACCTCTCCGAGTGGATCTTTCCCGTTGCACGTATTTGACACTCGCGGATTACATAGAGCACATTCCAGCCAGACTGTGGAGAGGCTGTTCTGGCAAACAAACACCAACGGTAACGAGACCAGCTATGATATCACTGACATATGGAAAACCATAGATCATATACGCCTCTTGAGCGCTCAGGCGTTGAAGGAATAGCCCGAGCAGCATGCCGTCCCTGCTAAGCTCTTGAACGTCCAGCCAGCTGCTTCACCAGCAAGGCAGGCTTCGTGTCCCAATGCTGCACCGTCTGGATTAAGTCGAGTCACTGCATTTTGAAGATTCTCTGGAAGGTTCACCATTCTACCGTCCCCAAGATCTATCGGATTTGTGGCATTAGTGACGTTCGCGTGTCTGCTACGGCTAAACATTCACAGGTGTGGAAACATCGTTCCGCGTATTCGGCTGCTATCGCTGGCTCGTAAAAAAGGCTTTCGATCTTGTTGCAATTGATCACCTGTCCAACCCATTGGCAGCCAGCTCGATCGCAGAGGCCTTCCACGTCCTCGATGTACTCTACTTGACCCCATTGATCGATGTACTGGATGGATTCCACTGTGCCATCCTTTGCCACGTTCCATGGCTGCATAAAGATGTTCCTAGGATAATCTCGTGGATCCTGGGGCAACGTTCCAGCACAGTGGCCTGTCTGATAGCCGAATCAGTGGACGTTAGGAAGAAGGATCAAGAACCTACGAAAAAGGTGCTTCGTTTGGCAAGTGGTTGTGCGAGTGTCCGGTCGACGCTGAGAGGAATACATGAGACTAGTGTCCACACGAGCGAGGCGACAAGGAAGAGCTTTTGTACATGGTGACAAGTCAAGCTTGCCATATTTTCGATCAGGATGATCAGTTATCAGAGGCATCAAGAGGATCAATGAGCCGGTGGAAGCGAAGCAGACTCACTCTACGAAGATCAAGCCAATTCCACAGATGAGTCTCGTTCCTCTTACACCTCTCCTAGGCGGGTATTCGGCTTCATCGACAGACAGGCTAGCAACAACTAGGTCTCACGCATTTCTTCCGTATTCAATGATTCTTGATGTCTTCAACCCGCGCTTTGCAAATCTACCGGCCTCTATTTTCCCACACGACAGCTTCATGCAGGGTCTTTCCCCAAGATCGTCCACCAGCCAGCGAATCGAGGAGGAAAGTGCGGGAGTACAAGGTGGGTCGGGCGCGTGTTCGGTTGAGAAGAAATGAAGTCCTCTACCCAAAAGTACCTTGTGAATCTAAGACAGCCGCCCTTTTCCCTCGTCGATCCGGGGGCATTGTGCCCATGTCTACAGGTACATCCAAGGTCAATGAAGTGCAATTAAGATTCACACAATCTTATCTCTCCGTACTGTGATCGTTCCGTTCAAAGAAGGCATTTAACAGCCAATCCAACCTCGCTTGCAGTTGCAACCTGCTCCGTCTACTCTTCTCCTCAAACCGTCAACCTCAACAGCTATGCCCCTCATCATGAGCCCCTGTCTCCTCGATGACGCCAACAACCTAGCACAAGCCCACCTCGCCACGTTCGCCTACTCCGCCTCTGCCTCCTCAAAATACCACCTCAAAATCATCGACACCTCCACCAACGAGATCGCGGCCTACGCAATCTGGATCTCCGTCCCCCCTTCCTTCTCCTCTCCCTCCTCAAAGACGCCAAGCCGACGACCATGATCCATGGCTCCTCTCGTCATCAGAGCTGGTGACGACGACCAACAGCAACAGCGGTCTGTGCATAGGGGCACGGGAGAGGTTGTGGAGTACCTGTCTCTACCGAGGGGCGAGCGTGGCGTCGAAGTTTAGGCGGTTCGGGCTGAAGCACGGGGGGGTGGACAGGCAGTGCAGGAAGAGGGTGGAGAGTGTGAGGCCGTCGGTGGGGAGGTGCGTTGGGCTCGTGGGGGCCTGAGAGGTGTGGAGTCGGGAGAGTGGAGGTCATGATCGATCGCTCGCTACGGCCATGTTTGACGAACCGAAACGAAACGAATGTCCGCCTCGGTTATGTTTTCAGGGAGGGGCACGGATCGACTTGAGGCTCGCGAGGAATAGGTGTTTCTGTCCGATTTGAAATGGAAGGCCGGCTGCATGTGACCCCGTCATCGATTACTTTCAGCTACCTACCGGCCGGAACAAAAGGTCCGCTTTTTTTTGTTTTTTTTTGAAACAATCGCACGACTCCACGGCTTGCAGGTCGTATCCGTGTTCATGTCAAGCGATGGGAGGCGTTCTGCGTAGTGGTTGCCATTGATCGCGTAGCATTGTACTGGCCGGTAGTAGGCGAAAGGGGCCGGGAGCACATGCTCCGGACCACTCTTCTCACAGGACAAGAACCGCAGGCGCTGGCGCGACTCTGTGAAGGGCCTCGGTCCAGACCCGTTCTTCCTCTACTTGAAGCTGTTTCTCGCCAAGGTATCATGCTGAGATGGTATGAATCGACCGTACCACAGGATAAACTTAGACACCACTGGACTCGTAGACCCACAGCGATACTTTAGGTAAATGATTCTAACTCTGGGCGTCCGGGCTCGAGATGGGCACCGGTGCTCGGTTTGATCCCCGTGTAACATATGTAAAGGTATCTCTCCTATCATGGACATGACACGCTACACCAATTACGCCCCGAAGACTTTGACTACCCATCGACATCGACATCGACATCGTCATCGTCATTCCCCCCCCTGCCCCCTGCCCCCGTCCCCACCCACCAGATCTACAGAAACCAGGTTGACATAGAGTCCAAAACACGGAATGTAACCTCTCCGCATGGCCAAAAAAAGGTTAAAAAAGGGCAGTCGTAACTAACTGGTAAAAAGAAAAGCCCGGGAAAAAAAAAAAAAAAGGAGTTTCCTCGAATCGCGGCCAACACGTGGTTCGAAACTTTGGGGTTTTCCGTCGTCGCTTTTCAGCCAGAGGAGGAGGACAGCTGGTCGGTTGGTCGATCGACGGACGGGAAAAAGGAAGGAGGGGAAAATGAAAGAAAGAAAGAAGAAAAAAGAAGGTGATCTTCAGGTACCGTACGACCACACCCAAGCCTCCGAAAGAGCCTGCTAGCCGTGTTTCAGGCTTCCGGGTCCCCACTCCACATGCTTCTCCCGCAAGTGCCTCGTGTGGGCCCGGGAGACTCGGATAGGAAGTCGGTGGGAAGTGTGTGTTTTGGTTTGGACTTTGGACGTTGGAGTAAAGTGCCCCTGGTTGCGGTGAGAGAATTTGATTTTTTAATTTTTTAATTTTTTAAATTTTTCGCCATGATTTCATTTGGCAAAAGTTGAGTACCGTAACTACATTACTCTAAGCGGAGGATTTCCGATAAGGTCGATAAGGGTGAATGGTGGAACAAGTTGCAGACTCGCACGTCAGGGTACCTATGCAGGTCTGACAGAGTCTGGGCCCCGTTGGGCTCCGAGTCCGCTGTTTGGGCGGCCAAAGCCTCCAAAAAGCCACGGGCTTGGCCTTTTTCCCCGTGTGCCCCAAAAAGAGACGGGAGGAGATTCAGCGAACGGCAACTCTAACCACGGAGGATACGAAAGTTCTCCCTTCGACAGTTCGTATCAAGTTATCGAGACGACTCGGTATGCTGTTGGTCGGTCTTGGAGCCTCCGCTGGTTGTTTGGAAATGTTGCTTGCTGACGTCCCCGCGGTGTCGAAAGAGCGGAAGATGCGAATATCCGGTAGACCTTAAAGTAGGGCATTCCCAATTGAACATAGGCACATGTAGGTATTCAATCGTGAAGCGGTCTAAAGATAGCCCCCACCGTTGGGCGACGAGCACGACGAGATACGAATTCGTTCTGCCTTCTCCCAAATGGGCCGAAGATTTGACCTCAATCACCTCGCGTCTTGACTTCACACCCGCAACGACTTTTTTAGAGCATCTTCAAAACACCCGCCAAGCCGCAAGATTGCGTTCCATGCTTCTGCACATCGCTTTGACCCGTTCTCCGTTTCGACCATTTGCTGTCAGACTTCACTCCTGCCCTCCTCCATGTGATACCAGGCCATCGGTAGACTTCTAGCGGTCAGGAAGTAGCACTTGGACCTACGTGGCACTACGAATGCTGGATGACGGTATTTCGCCGGCCTACAATGTCGCTTCAAGCAAAGCGTTAAGACCCTTGGGTCCATTTCATCCCTCTTTCAGCCTCTTCTGCGGAAGCTGCTGGTGTATTCGTCGATGAGACTTTTCGGCCAAACTGCAAGAGGCTATCTAGGTAGATGTTTACCAATGTCCCCTGTCACGAAGTGTTGATAAAAATCCAAGACCAGATCCACTATCCTGGTCTTGAATCTGGACTAGAGGCAAGCCCTATTCGAAAAGCCTTCGAACTTTCTTCGATCATCTATGCCTTCGGCGATTTTTCATGGGAGCAACAGGCTTCATGGTGGGCCGGTGGCTGGTGGGGAAATTCCCCCGGCCCGTTGACCCTAATTTCAAGACCCTGGAGACTGTACTTATCGTGTGCTGACTCCTGAGTGCTGATAGAGCCAAGCAAGGGTCGAGAGGGGTAAGAACTCTGAATCTGGAAGATCAATTTTCGGCGGTCCGAACAGCGGTACTCCACCCGCTACGGAGTGAGCTCGTCTGAGGGGTTTATTCATGATGATCGGTAGTCTTTGCGGGAGAAAGATTACGGTGTTCAAGGACTTTCTGATCTGTAATTTTGTTATCGGCATCCTTCCATGACGCAATGTCGTTAGGATTTTAATCGCGCTTTCTTTTGCCGAGGGAAGAAATGTTTGGAATATTCGAATTTTTTTACGTTTTTCATCAGCATCATTGGCAAAAACAAAGTGCCGTACCTGCGCCGTTCCTGCATTAGCTTGTGGATAGTCCCAGCCTATTCCGATTGGCGTTCTTCTATCGTAGCTCACTAGCAGATAGCAGGGGATGTGCATGGCTGGAAGGGACCCCTGGCGAAGTCGAGCCAATAACGTGACATCCATCTAATGCAGCGTGACGAAACCAACTTGAACGGCATAAGAGCTGGGATCCGCGTATAGCGGCGAGGCTGTCTTGCCATTTTGGTAACTCATCTCTTGCCACTCAATAGTGTAGATCCTATTATTAGTAGCAGTGTCCCAGGGCGGGTTGTGCATGTCTTCTGCATAACTAGTGGTGTGTCGCTACAGAATTCCGTGCCATTGGCTGCGCCGCTCTGGAGTGGCGGGTATTTTCTTGGTGGTGTGCTGATCGTGAAGAAATAGCATGGTGCGGATTAGAGCATACCACTGTGTGGTACTTTTTTATGAACCGCCGCAGAATAGTTATGCATGACCAACAGACTCTTCAAAGGCCCAGAATTTGCGCACGGCACGCACAGAAGGACCGAACCTTTGAACAGTCAGACGCATTGATCTCATTTGATTAATTAGGCTATGTGTCTTGTCGACACATATCCGTGAGATATACGCGCCGCAGCACTGCTGTTGATGCGCATGTTGCTGACCCCGCACCGCACGGCGCACGGTTGTTGGTTTCAAAGGGCATCAAAGCGGTGCAAAAATGACACATCTCCAATCTGCTATCGATACGGTCCAGTGAGACGAATTAATTGGCGCCTATCTATCAAAGAATCGGTACCTTGCAGGCTTTGCAGATCATGAAGCAGTAGTCAGAAGTTCTGGAAGCTCGATTGGAGCACCTTAGCACTGCAGTCATGGCGGCTATGCTTTTGACCAACCAATATGAGGCCGAGCTGTGCAGCAGGACCGCCCATTATTCCCAGGCAACGGGATCCTATCGATATGGGCGCTATCATCGATAGCGGGTGTGTGGTCCAGTAAGATGCTGACGCGGGGCCTTCGTAAGCTGATTCGTATCATCGTACGGAGATGCTTTTCTCAGCTTTCTGATCCAACAGGAGGCATCTGTTGCGTAGAATCCTGTCTTACTCCGCTGAACCATAGTTGAGATGTCACCTTTTTAGATGGACCTGTGGATTCATCAGGCTTGAGGGTCGCAGCTGAAATTCACATCATGTGGGTAGTATGCGCTTGCTTGCAGGTGGAACAGCGTGCCCCTCATCGGCATTGGCCAGTGAGGGTGCTGATCCTTGCCTGAAGGCCCCAAAGTATCCTGAGTACAGTGCCAAGTCACAGGTCGGTATGCACAGCAAGACACCTTTGGGACTGGAGTTGAGTGGTCATGCACAGGCAAAGTCTGGTACCAGGCCAAGTTTGTCTGAGAAGAGTCGTCGCTTGCTTCGTTGGGGCGTCTTGGTCGCTCGCAATTTCCCAATCATGATAAAAACAATAATGTCCCTAATGAATCTCTACCAAATTATGGCCCATTCAGGGTTTCCCCAAATCCCAATGGGAGGTCATTCATTCGTCAGCGATCTTGGCTTTGTCACCGTAAGTCGCACGCCTATTTATTTTTTCGGTTCCGCTCGCTGCTGTGTCAGCCCTGGAGAGAGGGGGGGGGTTTGTGTGTGGGTAGTACTGCGACTGGGACAATAATGGTACAAGTGATGAGAGAAAAGCGGCGTTGGAAAATGGACTCGTCAAATGGGTTGGACTCGGAATGCTTTCTAGGTAGTAAGCTTGGGCTAGTGCATGCGAGCTGGAGAGGCAAGGAGGAGAAAGAGGATGAGGATTCGAGGATTGAGGATTGAGCTAGAAGCTAGATGGTAAAAAGTAGAAGCTACTCAAGTTACTGGGATGCACTGCGCCATCATCACATCCCTCCCGAAATCCCCATACGATTTGATCCGTCTCTACTTTACTCTAGCTCATGTGCTTATGTTCGAGCCTAGGGTTCTTAGGTCGATTTTAACTCCATTTCGTTGTCCTCTTTCGCCTAAGTGGAGAATGGAAGAATAACTGGCCTTGCCTTCTTCAACGCTTGTCTGCGTTATTCTACTTTACCCGCTGAGTGCCCTCCACATTCATTTTTCTTCTCTCTCCTCATTATCAGGTCTGCTCGATCATTTCGTCGACACTCCCAATCTCTTTTCCATTTTTACTACTAACCCACTTCTTTGTAATATTTTTATTATTTTTGAGATCTTTGACCTCGGGCTCTTTCATTACGTGCCCTTCTTCAATCCTCTCACTGTCACTCCTTTGGCACTTCTGCCCACCAGACAAGCAAACACTTCGAATTCCAGACCGAGCCCGAGCAATACTACACCGATAAACATATTAGACAGACGTTTGGATAGTCCAGCTCTGTTGTTCAGTCACTCCTTCGACCAGTCGACAACGTTTGGAACAAACAAGTATGGCATGATCCTGGAATGTAATATGTCAGGGAAAAGGCAGTGCTGACAATCTTCGCTCTAGCCCGCCAGATAATTGCACAACAGCCATGGAATCTTCACACTCGATGCATCCTCCCCACCCAATGGGACAACAATCCTTTTTCTATTACACCCCAGACCCTAATGCAGACCGTCGGCAGCACGGCAACTTCGCCCCACACCCTAATGCAATGCACGGTGGCATAGCAATGCATCACTACCAGCAACAGCTCTACCATCATGAAATGATGATGCACGGACAGTACCCTGTGTTCGCTCCGTTACCCTCGTCCGGCCCGTCCATGTACCAGCCTCAGAAGTCAATGCTCCCCATGGCATCTCCTCGTCCCATGCAGCAGAAGCCCGCGTTCTTATGCCAATATGAAGGCCAGCAGCTTTCAGTGAACACCGAGTGCAGCACACCGGATCTTTACGTTTACCCATCGACACCACCGCTATCTTTCTCTGGGAGTGCCTCCAGTAGCCCACCGTCAACCTGTGGTGTTCTGCCCACCCCAGTAACGGGTGCATACATGGGACTCGAGAAGAACATCGAGGGCGTCAAAGAGGGATGCCAAAGTGATGTGCAGAGTGAAATTCTCGCCGGCGGGGATTGGACTCGATGTTGCTCACCACCATTGACACCTGGTACGTCACATGAATCATCGATCTGTTTCCATGTTCGACCACAACCATCGATTGGTTATTGTGGATTTGAGGAAATTCGATACAATTTTCAAAGTGTCGTGTTCTAATGATTGTGTTGTGTCCGTAGTGTTTATCCACCCGCCTTCGGTAACGGCTAGCCAAGCCTCCGACCTCCTTTCCATCAATTCTTGTCCTTCACTTTCTCCTTCACCGTCACCAATCTCGCGATCCAGCACTACCACTTCCACTACCGATTTTGATTTTTGTGATCCTCGCAATCTATTCGTCGATGCGCAAAACTCAAGCAACATCGCGATCGACTTTCCACCTTTGCCAACTTTGTGCTCAGGGGACGACGAGGAGCACAAACTGATCCTTGGAGGTGATCTCAGCCTAATCAAACAAGAATCTCAATTCAGTAAATCTTTCGAGTCTTCAGCGACATCTACCCTCGGTGGTCTGCCAAGCTTCGACCCATTCTCTGATCTTGACGACTCTGAGAACGAGTTCGTCACTGACCTTTCCCGATTCTCACGTTCAGAAAGCACTTCTTACCTTGGCAACAAGAGACAGCGACTCGACCTCATCTCATTTGACGACGAGGAGTTCCTCAGTGAAGACAGTTTCGAGGACTTTGAGAACGTTGACCAAGTTGCGTCGGCCGGACTTCCAACACCTCCTGAATCCCGGCGCTCCTCTGAAGACGTGTCTGCTAAGATGAAGACCACCAAGAAGCGGGGTCAGACCAAGAAGCCAGTGAAGAAGACTAGCATCAATGCCGACATATCTGACTCTGAGCCCAGCATAAAGCACGAGACGCACTCGCACGCCACTGGCTCGTCACCAGAGCAAGGTTCTGCTGCTCCCGAAACATCTGAAACTCATGATAGCAATGCTGCCTCTGACAGCAACGCTGTTGCATCTAGCACTGACACTGCTGCGACCTCCCTCCAGCCAGTGGCACGTCGAGGCCGCAAACAGTCAGTCACGGATGATCCATCAAAGACATTTGTTTGCAATCTGTGCTCTCGCCGCTTCCGTCGCCAAGAGCATCTAAAGCGTCACTACCGCTCTCTCCACACTCACGACAAACCCTTCGAGTGCAATGAATGTGGCAAGAAGTTCTCCCGTAGCGACAACCTTTCACAGCACGCTCGCACTCACGGAGCCGGCGCCATCGTGATGGGAGTCCTAGAGGATGGCGAACTTCCACCAACGGAGGCAGGCAGCCCCATCGACCATACTGATACAGGTGCTCTCGGTGCCGTTCTTTTCGAGGCCGCCCAAGCCGCCGCCGCCAACGCTTCAAGCAGCTCTTCATCCAGCAACAGCTCTCGCCGAGATAGTACCAGCCCAGCACCATCGATCGAGAATATCAGGACGAACAGAAAGAGGAAGAGGGAGGAATAGACAATGTCAAAATTGTACCATATTTACGACGACATAACGATGGAACGTATTCGTCCGCTCCAGCCAGCGTGACGCGGATCAAGCACAGCATGGAAGACGGCTGTCCTAGCCGCCAAAAGTGTTGCTGTATTCATAAAGGGGTATTACTATCTTAGAACGGCGTTTGCACTTGCTCTAGCGGCTTACGGGCAACCAGACAGGACTTGCTTGGAGGTTGCCAATGGGTGTTGCTGACCTTTTCTCCTTCTCTGTAATCATACTTGGGTGCTTGATGGACGGGGCTTTTCTTGCTGTGTATGCTGTATCCCGCCTTGTTGTATGCACTATGCTGGTCATTCTGCTACACATAGCTTACTATCTTATCAATGAAGACTGTTAAATAGCTATCCTAATGCTACACTGGTGGACCCGATATACTTTCAAAGGTGACATATCCTGCGGACGGGGTACTCCGTCTTCGACTTATCAACATTGGGTTTCAACTCCGGGACCACACATCTGCGGCGCTAATAGCACAGTACTGTATGAAAGACCTCGCTCGGCCTCACCGACCAGGCCACCAAGATTCTCCTCGCGCCCATCCATTCGTCATACTACCCTGGTGCGACCATCCTTCAGACCGTAGCCGCTATCTTCCTGCATATACTGCCTTCACGCCAGACTTGCATAAGATAACTTTCTCTCCTTAGCGCGCGGTTGCAGGTCTCCTCTCAGCAGACCACCCAAGACCACCATCAATCAGCGACACGCCTGTTCGTCTGGAATGGACATGACGAATCCAACGCTGCCGTAGACAGCTCGTAGCCGCTCGAATACTGGCCATGTGATGTCTCTGGACTCGCTCCGTAGACTCAGAGGCATCACGTCCGGGCAGCCGTCCACTCCCTTGGCCTTGCCACCTTCACGTGAACCACAGATGTGGGGCATCCAGCGGCACAGGACCGCATGGCTTTGCTTGATACCTTTCGTTTTCTCCAAGAAGAAAAAACCATACCTCACCCATCCTCGGCGACAGCAAAAGTCACCCTCAACCAAAGACTGCATCCCTGACAGGGCGTAATCGTCTCCCCATACTCGGCGTTCAACTCCAACTCTTCCTCCGTAATCACATAGGCACCATCTTTCCCACACCGGCAGCCACGATACCACATCTGTTCTTTCTCGTCATAGCCCATGTCACCTAGATCCACGGTTTCCAGGCCTGGGTGTGAGGGTTGGACCGGGACTCTTGTCGCGGACGACGATGTGATGAGAGAGAGGTCGTGTTCGGAGCGGGCGCTGGGGTCAGTGAGGGTTTTGTAGGCGAGGGTGATAGCGTCTATGGTGTATTTTGAAGTCGACGGTGAGGCGGGGCAAGGGCGGGATTTGTCGGGGTGATGAAGGAGGAGGGCGCGGCGGTAGGCGTGGCGGATGTCTTGGTCTGTGAGGTCTTTGCTTGTAGAGGGGTTAGATGGGAGGCCAAGGACTTCGTAGTGGTTTTGGGTGTAGCTTCTTTCCGGCATGGCAGAGGAGAGTCGACCAGAGGGTGGGACTGGACTTGCTGCAAAGCACGGCGAACAACCTTGCTTTGTCAACACCGTAGCTCGCTCTCACGGTTCTTCGAACAAACAAGCCACAACCAGTCCTGACCTTCTTCCCTGGGAAATCGTTGATTGACAGTCACTCGGAGAGTTTTCCTTCAATCATACACCGTAAGGACCAGAAGACCCTTCTTTTTCCTTACCCCACAAATGACATCCTAGACGCCGATCTTTTAGATCTCATCGCGCGTTCCTTGGCAAAATCCGTTGTATCAGTATCAAATCAAGTTTAGAAAATACTAACCTCATTCGACTCCTTCCCTATGTCATTCTACTTACTGTTTGAAGGTCCATGTAAATTAGCATTACTATCAATTCCCAACATCGAGAGAGAACAGTTGCTTGTTCAATTGACTCTGTATACAAACCCTAATTTCCTCTCCATGTCCTGCCCCCAAACCCCCCGTGATTCTATGCTCTCGTTCACTTCAATAGTGCCGTTGGCCCACAATCATGTCGAACCACGACGACTTTGACGAGAATGCTTCAAGCCGTACCAACCAGGCGCCATACACCGAGCGACACCCTATACCAACCATTTCGCGGTATCAGGATCGGAAACAAGAGCGCCAGGAGGACTCTGAAGCCACTGTACCCCAATCCAATATAGAGCACGAAGCTCCGAAAAAAGAAGAGCATTATGGGCTCTTTGATTCTACAAAACGTTTCCTCCACCTCGATGGCCATATCAACGATGAAACGATAAATGAACAGTACCCATACAGCTCCTACAACCGAAATGTTGACGGAAATCCTCCTGATTCGGAGGGAAAGAACGATCATAGAGATAGCCTTCCGAGTGAGGGTGGGGACCAAGACGGATCTGAAAAGTCTTCAACGCTCAAGGATACGTCGGAGGCAACCGACAATACGTTGGATCCACGACAAAAGAGGAAGAACATGAAGCACATGAAGAGAGACCACGCCCCTCGAGAAGTGACGGATCCTGTAACGCACCTCAAGGTCATGGTCCATGATACAACTAACAAAGAGCTCCAAACTGTTCCTGCGAATGAACCTCCTCCGGGCTCAAATCATCGAAGTGCTACTGGTGCCAGTGCAGGCTCGAAAACCAAGTCTGAACTTGAGCAGGAGACGCAGGAACAGCAGGCAGTCCACCAGCGAATGGAGAAGCTCTTCCCACCGCCAAGTTTTGCTGCTACAAAAAAAGAGATAAGCAGTGTCTACAGTCTTGCTTTCACAGTGGGAACAAGTTCTCTTCTTCTCACCGCGCTTTCCCTTCTTGTTGGAAGCCATTTCATCAGCGGTAGGACTGATATGCAAAGATCCTGGCCTCATACCCTGCTACTGTCCTCACTATTGCTGGTCTTTGGTGTGGTAGCTGGCGGCGGCATCATCTGGGGCATACGGGGTTGGCTAATTCACAGGATCAACGACATCTGGGATGAAGAAGTCTGGGATAGCGCAAGGAAGCAAGAACAGGAAACTATCAGTTCTCCAATGCCGGAATCGACTCAATGGCTCAACAGTCTTCTGTCCAGTGTTTGGCCACTCATCAACCCCGAACTTTTCACCAGCCTGGCGGATACTCTTGAAGATGTCATGCAAGCGTCATTACCCAAACTAGTGCGCATGGTCAGCGTCGAGGACTTGGGTCAGGGTAATGAAGCCATTCGTATTCTAGGAGTCCGGTGGCTTCCCACAGGAGCGGCTGCTAAGACGGTGTCCAAAGATGGCAAAGTCAAGAATGACAAGGACGAAAGCGACCGTAAAGTCCCTGGGCAAGGCGGAGTCGACGATGAGAGCAAACCAGACGACGTGGGATCATCTGGGAAAGATGAGCAGTCAAAGGGAGATGAACAGAAGAAGGAGGGTGACGAGGAGAACATTGCTGAGGGCATGGAAGCAGAGGAAGGTGATTTTGTTAATGTTGAGGTTGGATTTTCATACAGAGCGTCAAGTAGCGGCAAAGGCATTAAGGAGAAATCCAAGAACGCTCATCTGTTTCTGGCTTTCTATCTACCTGGAGGTATTCGTTTCCGTAAGTTACTATCCCAATGCTACCTTTTCTAACTAGCAGTAAGACGTGCTAATCGGGTCCAGCTGTCTGGGTGGAGCTCCGTGGCATCGTCGGTACGATGCGTCTCCGTCTCCAACTGTAGGCTGACCGAGTCTTTCAAGCTCGCTGCTAGCACAGATCGATTGACTTGCTGACTCTGATGAAAGATGCCCCGACCCACCATTCTTCGCGCTCTGCACTTTAACCTTCCTTGGGCAGCCCAAAGCAGACCTCTCCTGTGTGCCACTGACAAAAAGGGGACTTAACCTAATGGATTTACCGCTCATCTCGTCCTTCGTGCAAAGCTCTATCGATGCTGCGCTCGCGGAATACGTAGCTCCAAAGAGCTTGACGCTGGATCTGAAAGACATGCTTGTAGGAGATGATTTCAAGAAAGATACCACGGCCCGAGGTGTTTTGATGGTCAAAATCAAAAGAGGGCGGAACTTCAAGGCAGGAGACCCAGGCTTGGGAATTTTGAAAAAGGCTTCGTCTGACGCGTACGTTGCCGTGGGATGGGCAAAATTCGGAAAGCCTGTGTGGAGTACACGAGTTATCGTGAGCGACATGGAACCTGTGAGCACCCATTCTGTGCCTTGAAGCTCATAACTCTTATTCTAAACACAATGCTAAAAACCGGATTCGTGTAGGTCTGGGATGAGACTGCTTTCATCCTTGTGGGTCCAGAGGAGCTCAATGCGGAGGAACGTATAAGGGTCCAGCTTTGGGATTCTGACCGTACTTCAGCGTAAGGCACCTTTCGGAGTTATCCCTTTCCATTCGCGACTGCTTTTTGAGTCGCGAGACACTTTGGAGGAACGGGTCACCCATTTTATCACCTTTCTGCTCCCCAAACATGTCTTATCTCCCAAACTTGATCACGAATGGGAATGCTGACTTCGAGATGTGCTAGCGATGATGATCTTGGCAGAATCGAATTAGACCTCAAAGAACTGATGCACTCGCCTCAATCTAAAGAAAAGATGTGGGATCGAACCGATGGCTTTCTTGCTCTAGAAGGTGCGTACACCTCGGAGTAAAGTCCCCTTCCGTGTTCGAAGGTTGAGTTGCAAACCGTGTTTGGGAAGTGAATCCAAACGCTAGCTTCCCTCTTAGACCGTGTCTTGTAGCTCAAGCATCTAATTTACTGAAAACATGCTGACCCAGAATCCACGCAGGGAGTAAAGAAATGCCGGGGACTTTGGATTGGAGTGTGGGATATTTCTCGAAGACAAGCATCCGAGATGAACAGCTAAAGAAACAAACAATCGAGGAAGATGTCAGATCACTCCAGGGATTAAAAGACAAGGTTTCCAACGATGCTAAAAGCAAACTCCGGGAAGCCACGACTCATGATGAATCCCACGAGCTAGACCAGCAAAAGGCTCAGATGTTGAAGTCCAAAGAGGACGCTATGATCATTTCAACGCCCCCGCTCGAGGACTACCCGACGGGGATTCTCGCAATTCAAATTCATCAGATTACAGGCCTAGAGTTCGAGAGAATTAATAAGGGCCAATCCAAGGGAGACGAGGGCGATGATGTCGAAGAGGACAATGATCTACCATCGAGCTACTCTACTGTGATCTTGAATCACCAGACCGTATTCAAAACACGCACAAAACCTAAGAACCCGAACCCATTCTTCAATGCGGGAACCGAACGATTCATCAGAGACTGGCGGACCACCGAAGTGATTGTCTCGGTCCGTGATTCTCGAATCCATGAGAATGATCCTCTCCTCGGGATTGTTGCCCTACCTCTCGGCAAGATCTTGAGGGGGCGATCACAGGTGATGGACAATTATCCCTTGGTAGGGGGACTGGGCTATGGTAGGGTTCGCATATCCATGGTCTTCCGCTCCATAAAACTACAAGCTCCGAAAGAGCTTCTCGGCTGGGATAGCTACGGCACTCTGGAAGTCACAGGGCCAATTACTTCAAAGGACATCTCGCCTGGCCTGCGAAGTTTGCGCATGAAGATACGCACGACGATCAATCGGGGTAAAATGTACTCTTCCGAAACAGACACGGAAAACGGAAGCCAGTGGACAGGCAAGCATGAGCGGCCGGTGCGCGTTGCAGTTCGTAAACGCTACTGTTCTTGCGTTGTCATCGAGTTCCGGAAGAACAATCTCGGCTTGGACAAGACTCCCGCTTTCGCCGTGCTGTGGCTCAAGGATATCCCGGATGAAGAAGATCGCACCGTTACTCTGCCAGTCTGGAAGAGTGACTCGGATACTCTAAAGCGGGCACAGTCCAATTGCGACGATAATTTAGGAGAGCGAATGGGCACAATCGAGGTGCCAATTAAGTTCTACCGCGGACTGGGCGCTTACCACCATAAGCTTACCAGCAAGAGTCCGAATCTTTCAAACGTTTTCGAGGTCCTCAGCACCGCCGATGACAACCACGAAGTGGATATGGCCATGTCTGACGAGGAATCAGCGGACTCCAGCGATTCCAGCGATCCGGATGAGGAGGGGCCTCATCATGCCGCCAACGGTCTTATCCGCAAGCTCAAGATCAATAGCAAATCCTCCACAGACGGCGCGGAGGATGATGGCCACAAGGGTGGAGGGCCAATAGACCAGATTAAAGACTACAAAGTGCATAGCGAGCAATTGCATCGAAGACATAGAGGCTTGATGCAGTGGAAGGGCGCTAGGACCGCTAATTATCTGAAGACTAAGGTGCAGCATGGGAAGGATCATTTGACGGATCATTTCAAACATCATGAGCGGGATCCGGGGATAGAGACAGAGGTTTGATGGAAGGCGCGGGCACAGGAAGAGGAGAAGAGATGTACAAGCGTTGGTCCGTTCTGCTTTTCTTATACGATACCCATCATTTGGTGGCGCTGAAGGAAAACATCGAGGCTCGTTGGGATTGACGCGGATGCTAGAATTGGTAGTCGAGCACGCAGTATTCCGAACTGATGGTACGAACGAGCGCGACGCTGCATCTTTGGTATTCTGTTTGGATCGGATACGAAACATGCTTTCGTACCACGTCCTATACGTCCAATCCACCATTCGAGAGGGGTGCTCCATCCAACACCCAAGCATCGCAGCCCCTACTCCCCATCACCCGGTATAGCACCACGACCCCGATCGAGTACTACGAGACCTCCACCCCCCCATCCGCCCAACGTCGCGCCCCATCCTCCCTTCTTTCCCCCCTTCCTCCAGCTTCCCGGCCTCCTCTCCCCCGCCCGAGGAACGTCGTAACTAACCACGTACCGCTACCCTCCTCCAAGCACGGCCCCCACCACCCGCTCCGGAACCCGCTTACCCGTCATGCCGGCATACAAACGACGGTGCACGCGGCGAGGGCATGATGCGGGTTACCGCGCGCTGGTGTGATTCACTCGGCTCGCGGGTTCTCAGGTCGTCAAGGGTGAGATGTCAGATGGGTGGGTGGGTGATGGGGCATGATGCCATTGTTTTGCGTGATGGAGTCTGGCATGGGCTGTATTCTGGCGTTGGGAGGTAGGCGATTTTTCTTGGGTGGGTGGGGGTGAGGCTGCGAGGGTAGGGGGTTTGGAGGTTCGTGGTAAAGTATGCTTGCGGGTTGTGTTGTGGAGGGTTTGGGATCTGATGCGTGCGGGTTGTATGAGCGATGGTGTTGGGATTCTACTTGGTGTGAATTGGGTATGGATACTGGAAGGTTGGGATTTTGGAGCATGACTCGGGCATCTCATTCGCAGTGCCGGGCGTGTTCTCCCATCGTATGAGGGGACGAGGAGAGGTTGGTGCAAGGAGTCGTCGTAGATGCAAATGGATGATGATACGTACTCTACAACATTTACACCGCTGCGAAGTTCTTGGAATACAGAGCTGCCAAACACCAGTTTCGGCTGAGAGTAGAGTACATGATGATAGCTAGCCCATAAGAAAGACAGAGACCCACGCGAAAAGTCCAGTCCAGTCCAGTCCAGTCGAACGAGGGGGGACTATCACGTTGTTACGGAACGACCAAGGGACTTGAGTGAACAAGGCAACGACTGCCACCAGGAACCGTGGTCGATCCAACCCCGTCCAGCGCAGCGCCCCCTCTACCGTCGGCACCAACAAGCGTTCCTTCCTCCATCTCACGCATATCAGCAATGATCAAACCCAGAAGCGCAGACTTCAACGAATCAAGCACGCGGGTCCGTTGACACGGGGTGCCGGCCCTTCGATCCCGACCGCGCCATCGTCCGGGAGGTGGTGCAGAGGGGTCGCGGCGGCGTAAGGGGTCGCTGTCGTGGTGAAGGAGGTGGGCTCAGCGACCAGTTGACCGCGTCCTCGTCGCGGCGGCGTAGAGGGTCGTTGTGGCTTTCGGATGTGTACCAGTGGACGGGGAAAGCGGGGGGAGGGGTGGTATCCTACACGCCTTGGATTAGGCGTCGGGATTGTCATCGAAGAGCTTGGGCAAAGGGGACATCACTTACCGCTGGGGATGTCGATGTTGTCTGGGTTTTTGGTGGTGGCATTAGAATTTTGTTTTTTTTACCGGTCAGACAGACCCCTGAGCTGTCATCGAAAGGCTTAGGGAAGAAAAGTATCACTTACTGATGTCTGTATCGGGAAGTTGTGGTTGTGGTCGTGGGAGTGGGAGTGCAGAAGCCGAGAGAGCACAGACGACTGCTGCTAGGGTGCGGATAGCGAGATGCATAACGAGGATATAGAGAAAATTCCTCCAACAGATGTTGCTGTTGTTAGGCTGTCTTGAGATGATAGGGAAGAGGATAGGGTCTGCTATGAGAGTGACTCTCAAAGACCACCTTCATACACAAGGTCATATCGGGTACCCATGTGAGTGCAGGCCTGACCCGTTGCGGTGTAGACACGTGCAAGATTCCTTCGAGGATCATGCAATATTGACTACCTGCAGTCGCAGGTGTTCCACAGCCCCAAAGACGTCAAAATGCCCGCAACGCGTACACCCTCGTACATGATGAGTAGTTTAACTTCATTGGTAGATGTTAAGCAGCCCGCAGTCATTTCTTCCTCGTTTCACAACAAGATACTACCGCCCAGAGGATCCAGGTGAATGCGGAGATGGCATCCCACGCGGGAAGTCAGGCCTTGGAACTCAGGACCGCGTTTTCAAGAAGGAAGGCACAGTCTTTCCATCAAACATACCGAAAATGTCAACAGTCTCGATACCGGTGGCGCTCTCCATCCGCACGTCTTTGATAATGAAATTTACCGAGCCCGGAGCAGATGAACGGGCCTCGCAGAACCCGGATTGTCCTCGCTTCCTTCAAAGACAATACGCGTGAACAATCTCAGCCAAACACACATGCCCAATCATCTTCGCCGAACTGGCAGGAAGAGGTTCAGTCACTCTCTGGTTCGACCGTCTCACTGCAGCTGTAACCTGTCAGCAAATCTTCAAAACCCCCCCCATCTGCACCGTTGCGGCACCGTAATGGAGACATCGGATTCTAATGCCTGGAGGCCGAGAGCATGTTAATGGCCGAAGGACCACCGCAAAGCGATACATTCCAAGACTTGATACATCAGGATCATCTTGAAAGGGGCAGGCTGCCACAAATCATGTGGAGTAGGTTTACGTGAGAGCTGTGCATTGTTTCTTGGCATCACATGAGAAGCTCAATCTCTAGAGGCCACAGTGGATGAAGCGTCCTCCCAGGCACTGGGGAAGCCAAGAGAGGTTGCAGCAATAGGAAATGTTCCGACGACAGTGTGGCATGCAAATTGCCAATTCTGGTATTGCACCGTCGCCACCCTTCTAAATGAATGTAGCTGGAGATTGAGCCGCATTTCAGCTAAGGTAATAGGCATCACCAAATGAAACCCATTGTATGGAACATGATACAAATGATCAATACGGAGAGTCGCGGGCTACGAGGAATCGGTTTAGTATTCGTTTAGGGTTCCGTGGGTGTGGCATCGGGATCGTCGTCAGTAAGTCCTCCTGATCTCAAGCATTAGCAGTAGTCGGATGGAAGGTGAGGCGCAACTCACCTGGCGTCACCAGAGCTACATCCCAATTGCCATGCGTAATTGTCCAGCGCTTCTTGCGCGTGGAATCAGTATCGGCAATAGCAGACTCTTCTAATACGATCCATTAGCGATGAATAATCTGAAAATATCTGCACAACACAGCTGGCTGTGTCTCGACCTCTAATTCTTGCGGAAAGAAGCTCCGGCGCTGTTTGGGTGTGCGGACAGCACGAGAATCTACTTTAGGGCCTTCCTTCCCCACAACCAAAAGTGCCGATTCGACGTCGCGGCGCACAGGTCCTTCAGACCCAACGATAGCATGTTCGACGATATCCTCGCGCGGTTTAAGCGCGTGGATGGCGTTAGCATCAGCTACTTCCTCTGAGTTCAACCGTCAGCAACAATGAATGCTGCGTGTGTAAAAGGCACTCACCGGTCGATCGGGCTTTGCAACGTAGAGGGTCTTGTCCTAGGGCCCAGTCGGCGCGGAGAAGCCCAAAAGGGTCACATGGGACTGCGCGGTCATCAGGCAAAGAAGTGAGGTCTGTATATGCGCATCAGCCTGGCAAATGAAGAGGGTAAATGTTAGGGATTGACACATCGAGACATGATGGCAGTGGCAGGGCAAAGACCAAGAGAGGCCAGAGAAGAAGCGCCGATGAAAGGTAGAGGGCGGAACGCATTGTGAGGGTCAATAAAGAGGCGAGTCGACGTAGCTTCTGACTTTTGAAGCAGCTGGGAGGCAAGGTGATTGCTTGAGGATCCTTGGGTATAGGTCACGTACTTTATTCACGTGGATTATGAAGGCATCAGGGGTTGACGATGCTTGGAGATCGGTCGAAAACTTTAATCGGGCGTCTTGGGACGGCATTGATGGCCGATGATGTGGGCTTCTTTTGTGCGGCGTGCGCATATCGAGTATTTGATTCGTATGCCTTGTGGCTGCATCAACAATCGACAATGTCGATTTCTCTCGTGAGGCGGCGTGTGCATTTCATGTGTTTCAATTCATGCAAACAATCCTTCCGCTTCACACGTGATGGCCCCCAACATGGATGTTTCACAGCCCCATACACGCCGCAGCGAATGTACCCGCATACCACCCGGAAGAACTCAGCCTTTCGATGAGAGTACCTTTGCCGTACGAATGCATGCTTGAAGAGAGTAGAGAACCTTTGGCTCGGTTCCGACGCAAGAGAGCTTTGTTATTTCCCTAACGCTTACTTAGCTCCCACGGACACCACATGGATCTTGTAGGATCAGAAGAGCCGACTTTAAAGCAGCGAATTGATGTTTGGTAAGCCTATCCTTTTCCGATACAGCACTCGCGTTCTGAAACGGGACCTCCTCGGAATGGGTCTCGAACTTCGCTTGCTAGAGGATCAGTGTGGCAGGACGAACGGTGGCCCACGTCAGATTCTCAGATCCCCTGAATTGACCATGGTACATACTGGCAGCGCTTTGGCTCTCAAAAGAAGGGCACAGCCTCGGTGCTCACTCATCCACTGTGCACATTCTCGATTCTGGCCGTGGTGCTGGACAGAGACTGAGAGCCGGCTCTTCACAATGGCTGTGGCTTTCAGCTGCTTTTCTTCGGAGCTGAAACATTTACTGCGTCTTGTGGACAAGAGAGTGGGCGTCGTAAGACCCTACTTTCAAACCGTCGTTCATGCATGACTTCGTTTTCTGTTGTGGTGAGGGCTGACTATTCCTGTGGCCCCGCCTGCCTCGGATTGCAGGGGCTGGCACAATGCAGAGATCGAGAGTATTTTCTCACTGTCTCGATGTGCATTACTGCGGCACTGTGATCGAGCGTTTTCACCTGACGCCTTCTGAAAGGCCGAGAGCGATCCTGTGGCCGCACTGCCTTCATGAAAGCATGCAGGTCAAAAACCCACAGCGATACCGTCATGCATGCTCGCTCGTATGGCCGCGATCGTAATGAATATCTAGTATCCTTGAAGTCTCCTGTTTCCTTCATTGAAGGCCTGTTCTTCTCAATCTGCAGTGGTCTCGCATTGCATTCGAGTTCTCAGCACTAGTCTTCGATCCTTTCACCATGGGTGAAATACACCGGGAAAAATGTACGCGCTGGCGACAGTGTTGACCCTGCTGGCGGCCGTAGCTGTTCTGCTTCGCCTTCATGCTAGAAAGATTAAGAATGCGGTCCTTGCATGGGACGACTACCTGGTTGTTTTCGCACTGGTAGATCGGGTCCAACGAGTGGCGCATCTGTCTTGCGATTGACAAACTGACAAAGGTGGATCCAGCTTTTCACGACTGGTACCGCATTGTGTATGTTCGTTGGTCGGTACTCGACCTCAGAGATTCGGTTGGCTGTGGGCTGATTCCGAGATACAGGAACCGCACTTGGGGATCTAGGACGACACACAAAGATCGCATCAGATGGATCACTCGTTTTTACCCATCATCTAGAGGTCTTCCAACAGGTAAGACCTTTCTCCAGTCTTCCTGTCTGTTGCATCTCCAACGGTGGTGTCTAGATCAATTATGCTTCACTGATGACCTCAACATTGACGTTCGGCCTGACGAAGTTGTCAGTGCTTCTTCTTTACAAGAGGTAGATCTATCTCATGGATGTTCGCAAGAATGAGTTACTCACAAAAGCTGCAAGGATCTTCCGCGGTGCTTTGTTCTTGGCCCTCGTCTGGACCATGATCACAATCATTGTGATATGGACCGTTGGCTTCTTCTTCGCGAATATGCTCCAATGCTACCCAATATCAGAGAATTGGACTGGCTTTGGAGGCACTGCTGACACTTGCATCGATGAAAACATGATGTACATTGGACAAGCGTTCTCAGACGCTATCACAGACCTCATGATCCTTGTAATGCCCATCCCTTGCGTAAGCCTTCCTATGTCTCCCCTTTAGACTCGGGCTGATTGCCACCTAGATCTGGGCGTTTCAGCTGCCAGCAAAACAGAAAATCGGCGTGAGTGGCATGTTTCTGCTGGGAATATTGTAAGCCTCTTTTGCACGCAGTTAGGAAGTCAATGCTTATACACCAAAGGACCATTGCGGCAAGCGTTACGAAGCTCGTGTTTTTCTTTAAGATTGCTGTCGGTAAGCTTTTCTTCATGATCTCATCAGAAATGGAAGGCCACTAACGACCTTCAACCTCAAGAGTCCAATACTGGTGACGAGGATTTTACTTGTATGAATATCTGCAAGCCCAACAGTAACGACCTTGGCTTACCCATTGACGAAAAGATCTGTTTACCCCAACTCTGTACTGGCCAATGATGGAATCTTCGCCCGGGATCGTTGGGGCCTGCTTGCCTTTGTTTCGCCCCATCATCAGTGAACTTTTCCTAGTCCGAAGCATTCGAGAAATCATTTCCTTTCCGTCCACAGGCATTACAAGCTCGAAAAAGCCCCTGAGGGATGCTGGAAACCTGGAGGATCGCGACAACAGCTCTTCTGCGGTTAGCTCCGAAGGCTCCATATATGCTGGCGGAGACCATAACGGGTAAGCCATCTAGGCAGAAGATCTTATCTTTTCCATCGCTAATTGTAACGTTGTGACCAGGGGTCAATATCTTGGTCGCGATCAAGTCTATGTACCCAAAAAGACACTCGAGAAGGTTGGCGATGTCGGTACCAAAAGGAACGCAGTAGAGCAACGCTACCATGCAAGCGGGTACATTTGAAGGAAAAGGAACGCAACAGACGCGAACGTGAGGGGGGGGGAAGAGGGAATTCTCGAATAGATCTTATAGATTACAGATTTTGCGCAGAGAAAGGAGAAAAAAGTATGCCGGGCACCTTCAGAACATGCCATCATCTCTATTTTCAAAGCCACTCCATCTCACCGTTTTTCAAATTTTCTTCTTCGAATTCGGACTCTTATGCTTATTCCTCTCCTCACCTTTGCTCTCACCATTCGCCGTCTTCTCCTTCCTTGCCCTATGACTCTCCACCTCTTGCCCTTCTTTCCTCTCAGCATACCACTGCCCGGCTTGCAACACTAGCACTCCAACCAGTACGAGCGCCAATATAGTGTTGCTAGCTGCCATCACTTTCAAACTGTCATCTCTCCCGAGAAACTCCTCTGCTCCCGCTTCCACACCTTTCACGCCAACAGCTAGCTCCCCTTCAACAAGCTCGCGGTCGTATACACCACTGGTAACGACCCTCAGGCCTTTGACAATGTTGGCAAGGTATATAATCACACCGCACATGTACAGTACCAGGCTGGCGCCGTCGAAGAGCATATTGGATTCCGAGGGCCTGTAAAGCTTGATGAAGAAACCTAGGAGGCCTGTTCCGATGACCGTGTGGAGAATACGGGGGATTATGAGCGGAGAAGCGTGCAGGAATTTCAGGTGGTTCTCGAGCCTGACGTAGGCTTCAGGCGGACATGCGGCTGGGTTCCATAGGATGGGGTAGTCGTAGGGGAAGAGGGAGAAGAGGATGCCGAGGCCAAAACATGTCGCTATTCAATAAATTCAGCGGTATTCATGATATAAATCGGTGACGAGTTAGATGATACGCACGGCAGAGAATCATAAAGGTTGCAAAAGCCGTTGCGCCATGGCTTCCCCAGGCCATATCTCTGCTGGACTGTCAGGGAAGGTGCGCACCGCGTAGTAGTCGAGGTGTACAACCAATCTCGGGCGGAGTGCGAAGTAAATGTAATCAAGTACGATCGGGTAGGGTCCCACGAGTTATCTTGATTTCGTTCGCTGCAGATGCTGCTTATCAGGCAACTGCTGAATGTGTGTGAGGAATCTTTTTCTGCGAAATATCTTTCTCCAATTGGAACAGCTTAGGGTATCAGGATCACTTCGTTCAAGGTCTCTTGAGGTAATTGTAGTGACTGCCCCAAGTTATGTTGGAGAATGAGAAGGAAAGAGGCCTGCAAGAGGGTTGTCGTCAATTAGGGATTTGGGCTTGGCTTCACAGTGAATTACCGTGTACGGCAAGCCGGCTACGCTAAGTCCTTAATTAGGTAAAGTATAATCTAATAGAATCCACAACGATTATTTAAAAATTTCTTTTTTTTTTTTTTTTTTTTTTTTTTTTTTTTTTTTTTTTTTTTTTTTTTTTTTTTTTTAAATTTTTTTTTTTTTAAATTAAAAAGGTTTTTAATTAAATTTTTTTTTTTTTTTTTTTTTTAGGGCTTTTGAGTGAAAAGGGGAGCGATCTTTGGTAAGCGGGCTGTCCGGCTGTCGAGCGAACTTTGGTGAGCGATATTTGAATTCCTTGCGCTTTAATAATTATAAGACTAAATTTAAAAATTATTTTTTTATCTGAAAGCCCACATTTCGTTCTATAACTTAAAAATAAAATCTCAAAATTTTAATAGAAAATAAAAAAGTTATTTTATGTGTCAATAACGTACACCTAATTTTTGATGAGGAGGCGCGGGAGGGCGAGATTTTGATGGTTGCGGACGCTAATTTATTTACCCGCGATGACTCAGCCGGTCTAGTCAAAAAGCGTAGAGGACCCGAATTTATAATTGGCTGTATATACAAATTCAAGGTTTTCTAGTTTAGCTCTATCTTATTCTTTTATATATATTAATTTACGAGTATAGAGATAAAGGCCTATAAATTAAATTCATAAACATTTTTTTTTATTAGAGCTATCGAGTAAATTTGATAAGCGATCTTTAGTAAGCGATATTTGAATTTCTTACTCTTTAATAATTATAAGACTAAATTTAGAAATTCTTTTTTTATTTAAAAGCTCATATTTCGTTCTATAATTTAAAAAAAAAATCTTAAAAATTTAATAGAAAATAAAAAAGTTATTCTATACATTAATAATATATATCTATTATTTTTCAATTAGAGCTATTCGACTATCGAGCGAACTTTAATAAGCGATATTTAAATTCCTTACGCTTTGATAGCTATAAGATTAAATTTAGATTTTAGAATTTTTTTTTATCTAAAAGCTTAGATTTCGTTCTACAATTTAAAAAAAAATCTTAAAAATTTAATAGAAAATAAAAAAGTTATTCTATTTGTTAGTAACGTATATCTATTATTTTTTAATAGAGACTATCAAAATTACTTCTAATTATCGAGAAATAAACTTTCTAAAAGTTTAATAAGCTACTTATTCTTTAATAGCACTCTACTATTAAATAGTAACTTTTTAAATTTATTAAGTAGTAGACTCGTAACTAAAATATCGTGCTAACTATATTCGATCTACGGCTACTAGATTCTTAACTTAAAGAAATTTTAGAGATATTAAAGTCGCTGCTATCTAGGGTCTCGATTATCTACTTAATAAATAGATATCTAATATAGACGTCTATAAGGGCGCGTTTAGGCGTCTTTCTAGCTATAACGTTATTAAAGAATTAAACTTAATAAAGAATAGCGCGTTATATATATAAGAGGCTACTCTAGAGCGTATATATAATACGAAATAAGTAATTTATAGAGTATACTTATTAATCTAGAGTAGTAAGTTATAAGTCGATATAATTCTACTTATAATAGAGTTAAAAATAGAGCTATAGAGGTAAATAAGTAAATTATTCGATAATTAAAAGTAATTTTAATAGTCTCTAATAGTTATAAATATTAATTTATTTACTCGCGATAACTTAGTCGATCTAATTAAAAAGCGTAGATTTAATAAATTTATAATTAACTATATATCAGACCTAATATATTATAAGCCTTGGCGCTACTTACGCTAAGGCGCCGACATCGCATATACTACGTTAAAGTCTCTTTCAGAGTTTAATTTCAATAACGTACCTCGTATATCTAGGGGCTTAACGAATATAGATCTACTTCGTATACCCCGAAGTTTTAATATTTCTTAGAGATTAATTCTACTATTAAATATACTATTAAACTCTATAATAATTCTATATCTTTTATAATCTATATTTACTAATTAATTATTAATAAACTACGCCCTTATAATTCTAATCTCTCTATCTTTTAAAAAAAAGATCTATTATTATTATAATATCGAGTTTATTACTAAATTATATAATAAAAAATAAAGATAATATCGAGAGCCACTATAGCGTCGATAATAAGTTCGAGAATTTCTTATTAATAAAAGACCTTACTATAAAAAAACGTCTTATAATTATTAGAGCCGAAAATCGTTATTTAAAATAAAAATAAGAATTAATTATATTAAAGGCTTATAATCGTAAACTTTATAACGTTAATTTACCGTCTATAACTAGCGAAGATTTATTTATATTAATTACTATCGCGTCTCTAACGAATATATTAATTAAAATAAAAATACTTCGCTTTAAAAGAATATATCTTTATAAAAATATTAGTAAAAAAGAGTATCTACGCTAATTCCGCGAAGTCGAAATTAAGTTTTTTATAAATTCTAAGTATTTTATTATTAACTAATTAAGGATTATTTATTATATATAATTTTTAGAAGATAACTTTAATATTTAATAATATAAATATTATTAAATTTATAGTCTAAGAAATATAACTTTCGAATTCTTTAAGTAATTTCTACTTAATTTAATAGCGAATCTAATAAATTATTATCTTCTTATCTATAAAAAGTGAGAGAAGATTAAATAACGCTTTAATTAGAAAATATCTATTTTTAAGATCTATCTAGAGAAGCTAGAGGCCTATATAATTCTATTTTCTAAAAAGTATTAAGCTAATTTCTTCTTAATTAAGCTTAGATTAAAACTTAAAAATAAGATTTTAAATATTAATAGTATATCGAAGTAACGAATTTTTTATTTTATTTAGATTATTATATAGAAAAAGATTTTAAAACGCATACACTTTAGCGATAATTTCTATTTAAAATCTTCGAGAGAGTTCGCTAAGAATAAGCCTCTAAAGAATTAAATTTTAAAGTCTAAATTAACTCTAAATAGCGGCGCTTATATAATACGTATCTAAGATAATAGCGTAAAGCGTAAAATCGAATTCTTTAATTCTAATTATAAGAAGAATAGTTATTTCTATTATAGAAAATAGAATTATTAAATATTTAAGTATTTAGATCTTAATAAATCGTCTATAGTATATATCGATATAGTATTAATAAAAAAAGATTTAATCTTATAATCGTCTTAGAAGCGAGATAAAAATAATAATTAATAGAGATAATTTCTTCTATTTTTACGAAGAAGTAAATAAAGCTTTAGAATAAATAGAGGTAACTTATTACTCTACTCGATATTAGAGTATATATTAATTTAATTTTATATAAATTCGTAATTTAATAAAATTTAAAATCTTATAATATTATTTTATCGTAATTAAAAGCGCTAAGTAATTAAAGTATATACTACTATAGCGTATATTAGCTAAATTACTAATTAATAAATAGCTAGAATTAAAATAAAAAGTATAATATACTCTTCTATATTATTAACTAAAAAGACTTTAATATTATATTAAGTATACTTAGATTAAATTAATTATAAGTATTATTAAATTTAGCGATAAAGTAATAGCGATTTAAAATTAACGCTAATAAATTATAAATTAAAAAATTAATAAAATTTATTTAAACTATTAAAAAGAAATTAAATATATTTATAATTATATACGCTATAATAATATAAAGCGAATCGAAAAATAAGCGTAGTTTAAAGCTCTCTTAAAAGTTATTAAAGTTTAATAATATTTTTTTTAATAAAAAATAGAGATCTTATTTACGCTTAAATAAGAAGATTTTATTATTAAAATTAAGAGCGATAAAAAGCCGCTATATAGCCCTTTATATAATTTATTTTAAACGAAATTAGCGAAACTATAACGCTATCTAAAAAACTTTTTTTAGAAAAATTAAATTTATTACTCGACTTTCTTAGCCGAAATATTAATTTTTTTTATTCTTAAAAAAAATAGAGAACTTTATTTTTATATTAATTATCGAGGTCTAAACGCGATAACTATTAAAAATTAATACTCGCTATCTCTAATTATCGAGACTCTAAATTACTTATATAGATTTAAAGTCTTTATAAAGCTAGATCTTAAGAATATCTATTATTAAATTCGAATTAAAGAAAATAATAAGTAAAAAACAGCGTTCCGCAGTTATTACGATTACTTCGAATATTTAATTATATCTTTTAAACTCGTTAATATACTAATAACTTTTTAAGTATATATTAATAGAGCTCTTATAAATTTAATAAATATAACGTATATAATATATTTAAATAATATTCTAATTTATAATATTAATTTAGCGAAGTATTAACGATACGTTAAATAAGTACTTAAGTATTTATATTAGTTTCAACTATATATTAGTCTAAAAAAATATTAATTCTATATTAAATAAATTAAGTTTCTAAAGTTTATCGTATTTATCGAAGATATTATAATAAATTAAAAATATATCGCTACTATTAAGAAATAATCAAAATTAAAAAATTATCGAAATATATAAATCTTTTTAAACTTTATTAATTTCTATTAATAATATATCTATAGCTATTTTAATATAATAATATTATTTACTAACTTACTTAAAAAGAATAAAAATAATAAAAAATCTAAATTACTAAAGTGAATAGATAGCGCTAAGCTAGCGTTTTAATAGCTTTAAAGCACTTTTAT